TGTGAGTCGGTTGGGAGGTGGAGGTGGGGATGGTGGGGTGAGTGAGGTTGTGTGTATGAATGCGATTCTTATGGCGCTTTATACGCTTATACTTCGGAGGGATAGAGATGGAGGTGGGGATGGGGGAAGGGGGTATGAGCCCCCGGTGTTGTGGATGAATATGGCAAGGGGGATACGCACGGTCATTGGTGGTGCTTATTATGGGTTGTTGGAGAGGGGGGCGAGGATTGTGCCGCTTTTGGTGGCAAGGCCGGTTGTTCATGCGAAGGGACAGTTAGGTTTGGGGGGTGGGGGTGGAGATGGGAGGGGTGTGTTGCAGTTCCTGGTGGATGTGAATCCGGATGCTGCCGAGACGGAGGCAATTAGGGCTGTATATGTTGAGTGTGTGCGGTATCTGGAGGGGTTATTACTCGCGGTAAGGACCGGAGAAACCGAGTTTGATATTCGGAAGCGGTTCTCGTCGTTTCCGAGTATGATGCCTGAGCTGTTTTTTGAGGTTGGTGGGGGAGAAGAGGTCCCGCGCGTTGGTCATTCTGGCGTATTTTTTTGTGGTGGCCAAGGCAGCAGAGGGGGTTTGGTGGCTCAAGGGTATCCCGGAGATGGAGGTTAGAGGGATTGAGGGGGTGTTGGGGGTGGAGTGGAGGGGGGTGATGGAGTGGCCGGGGAGGGTGGTTAGGGGGGAGGTGGAGGTTGGTGATTTGAATGGGTTGGATAGGGTTTCGGAGGAGACAAACTCGTTGGATGGTGATGTATGATGTACTGGATGCAGTACTAGACGGGTATATTAAGAAGATGATGCCGTTAAACATGAACCGGAACAAACTGACACCTCTGTTCACCCTTCTCCAGTCGACTCCTGGCCAAGTTCCTTGTAGCTATCCCCACACCCACATACAGCAACATAACGAGGTACTCAGGGAGTGTGCCAAAGATAATCCTCACAGGCAAGCTACCACCATCGAAACTATCAGTAGCAAACGCAGTTGCAATAGCATAGATGATCCGCACGCCAATCAACGGCATAGAAATCGTAACAGCGAGAAGAATCTATCATGGTCAGCCATAATCTATATACATGTATCGAGAACATACCTGTCTCTCCTCCCCCAGTCGACGAGAGTGCGCGTCAACCGTACGTGAAAACCACACCAACGCCCCAACGAATACCCATCCGGTCGCGAAGATAATGAGCCCCACATGGAGAAGGGTCTCGTTTCCTTTACTAGCTGCTGCAAGACCGATTCCACCCGCGATGACTATATGTGTGATGAGGTAGCCCCAGATGTTGAGGAGAGCGGGGAGGTGTTTGCGGATGGAGTGGTTTCTAGCAACGTTAGCTGGCGTTGATTAATATAAGTGGTGTGCATACGCTTCATGAAGTAGCCCCGTGGCAGCCATAAGCAGAGGCGACAGTCCGATGCCATTAATGATTGCGGCCGTCGCGTTGATTTGATGGTGGTGGGCGGCATTTAAGGCCATGGCGTTACCGGCAAGACGTAGACCGCACATGGCGAGGACGTATCCCCAGCCTAGAAGGCCATGCTTTCCATGCGTGATAAGGCAGTAGATGGCTGGGAGGGAAATGATGGCGTAGAAGACCAGATTGGCTATATCGAGGTGTTCGCTTGCGGACATCGTGAATATATATTTATCGTGAAGGAAATTCAGATGGTTGGATGTAATCCATACTGAAGATGGGATCCAATGAGCTTTTATTGTATTGCTACAATCCAGAATAAAGCATCAGCCTGAGCAAAGTTGATGCCGATCTTATCGATTAAGCAGCGAAACCGAAACCGAGCTGCAGGCAGCCACATTGGCCCCGGCTTCTGGGCTACGACCCACCACGTGTCCACAATTGCTCCGCCTCCATAGTGCGGGCCCTGCGTTCTGTCAGGGTATCACTTTCAGTGCCTAAAATAAACTTGTGGGTATAGAGCTGCGGCTGCATGATACTAAGGCTTCTGTGCTCACTGAAAACAGATAGTAAGGATGAATTGCGGGCTTCTGTTCTCAATATCTTGTCCTGGATAAGCCACATGTGCTGCATTTTATTAACAATCTTCAATTATAGTTGAATGAAAGGTGTGTCACGGCCCATGAGTGCCACACTAGCTGAGTGGTTTGTAGACGCCCTCGTTATTAAACACAGTTTTCCACAGTCTCGCTTCACGCTATTAATACAACCTTGAGAACTTGGCCTCCTGGCCCTCACTGAAAGCATACTGTCCTTCTATTCCTCCATTCCTGTCAACACATTCATCGGAGTCACAATGACTGACCCCCTAGTCCTGGTTAGAAGTTGATTCACTGTCCGACTCTCCCCCGTCACCCTCTTCATCAGACTCATAATCCTCATCTTCGTCGTCCCCAAACCCGGAATCGCACAGCCTTTTTCGTCGTGCTTTAACCTGCTTTGCTGCAACTTCCACAAGTAGTCCCTCCTCCCCCTTCTGGCCCGATGCACCACACAAGAGGTCCTTGTAGTCATGGCCTAGTTCCTCAACCAGAGCTAATAGCATATTTTTGGGTAGATATCTCCCAGGTGTGCCCCAGAATGGCTTGCCCATCTCGTCCCGGATCGTGGCGCCTGGGGTTCCATCTGTGTTTTCCTGCCAGGCTCGACGTAGAACCTGTAGGCAATAATGGAAGTAGATGTATCGGGCGGCTGGTCGAAAGGCCGTCTTGAACTGTAGGCGCCTGCCGTCTAGCTCTCGGTATGTCATCTGAGAGCCGAGTTCGATCGTCTTGCCCAGCAGTTTCCAATTCTGGTCCAGGATCCTCACTTTATATTCTCTGGTCTCTTGGCCAAGCCATGCCAGTAGTTCTGCGAGCTTGGGACGATCGGGCAAATCAGGGACAATAACAATCTTCCCGCAGTCGAAGACGTCCTCGATGAAGCTGGCCATCATCAGGCCATTGCGTGGAGAGAAAAGCTCGGGGGTCTTCGTTACCCCAAATATGGCACCCATAGTGTCCTGGCCGTGCATATACGCAAAAAGATGTGCTGCAGTCATGAGCCTCTTGTGAAAGTACTTCCCCATGATGGGGCACCAGAGATATTCATCTCTCTCGGGGTTTCGACTCCCGTACACTTCGATCATATCGGTTCGGAATTGCGTCTGGGACCGTCCATCCCGCTCTCCAGCACCAGTGTTCTTGATTCCTAGGCCCATTTTGCTGGTCGTAAATAACTTCATAAAGCTTGCCCTAAGGCGTCGGCCCCAGCTGGCTCGTGGCTCAAGCTGTTCGATTCGCTTGTTACAAGCAGCGGTGGTCACTTCGTGCGCCCTGATCTGTTCGAAAAGCATTTTGGCCTCTTCTGTCTTTTGCCATTCAGCTTCAGGCCCTGAGAAATCCCTCAATGAGATCTTTCGCTCGACTTTTATGCGCTCCAGCAGTATCCCTTCTACCTCGGCCGCTCGTGACCAGAATTGGGGGTTGAAGGACCCCTGTGCCTTGAGTCGTTTCTTTGCCACACGTAAACTATCATTCAATCTGCGCTGCTCTGTTTCCAGCATTTCATCTTCCGCGGGGCGTTTCATGGCACAAGTAGTTTTATCAAGTCGACCAAATTCTCGCAAGGAGACCTGGCTATCCATCTTGGAGCTTTAAAGAGCGCTGAAAGAAGGACAAAGATAGTATGAAATTGTTTTCAATAAACGAGACCGAAGGAGTAGTGGTTGACGCCAAAATAAGCTGAGGGGTGAAGGCTTGAATTGGGCGATATTCCAATAGTGGTGGTTGCTGGTATACTGAATTTAACTAGGAACATAATCAGCACATATCTCTAGTGTACTATATGACTCATTCAATGGTCCAACGTAACTATGCGGTCTTTCCGTCCGCGGGAAAAGAATTACGTGGTCAAGGAAGCCATGACCAATCGTATTCATGATCTAATCAAAGGGCGTGGATTCCGTAGGACCCGGGAGGTGAAAGACAAGCAGTAAAAAAAGCATGACAGACAGGTGACAGACAGGTGAGAGACAAGTAACAGACAAGTAACAGACAAGTAACAGACAAGTGACAGACAGGTGAAAGATAAGTGACAGACAAGTGACAGACAAGTGCCAGGTTCCATATGTATTGAAGAAAAGTCTTCTCAGTACTCTGTACTACTATCTGTTGTAGTAGATTGACCTTGTTGGTTCATGGGTTTAGTGAGTCAGAATCATTTACGCAAATAGGTCCCTTTATGGTGAAGCTTGACCAGGTATATTGAAGGGAGTATAACAGCCGCTACTAATTCCATATGGAGTTAGTGACGACGGAAGAGTCGGAACCTGCTTCCCTTGGCGGTGTTCCCCGCATCTCCGGGGAGTTTCCACTTCACTTCCACCGGAACCCAAGCCATCTCTCCACTACCCCGGACTCTCCCCTGCTGTCATCGTCTTTTTTCTTCAGGCTCTTCGGCTTGCATCAATCTCTTGGACAGCTGCCTAATTCGTGGCACATGCAGAAAGGCCCCCGCAGATCAACCGCCCGGTCGCGTACTCCCAAGGCTTGCGACCGTTGCCGCCGGCAGAAACTCAAGGTACACATCCCTTTGCCCATATTCCTTAGGCATTGTTCTAAGCACCAGCAGTGCGATACCATCCGTCCTTGCGTCTTATGCACCCGCGCGGGCCACAAATGTGACACAACTCTGCAGCCCCGGCGTTCTGAGCGTCGACGACCATCCACCGGCACCCCTTCCGTTGAATCACCTGACACGCTTGTCTTGCCGGACCGAGTGCCTGAGGCTCCCCAACAATATGCCACGGGCACCTCGGCCATTGCCTTCGCCAGGCAGGTGTATAATGAGGAGGAGATGGGCCGTACCTTGACAGAAGCCTCCGTCCCCGGCGATATTGGCATGGCGGGGACGGATGATGACCTTTGGGGTCTGAAAGAAACCAATCTGCCTCCACAGGAAGTGATTCTGGCGTTGATCGACACATACTTCTATCGCATGCAGTGGTTCATCTTGGTCCTGCATGAGCCGTCCTTTCGAGAAACGGCCCAGCGGATTATTTCTCAACAGCAATGGAGACGTCGGGATCTTGGTGCCGTCATGACTGTTCTTGCGGTCGCTACGATCAGCCTGCAGGCGGTTCTACCAGACCAGGAGTGGCCCGGACATAGCCTTCTATGTGCCCATTCCATTGATGCGAAGGAACTATTGAAGAAGCTGATCGCTGAAATACGCTCCCGTCTCCTCGACCTCCTGGAGGACTGCCGCATCGAAGGAGTGCAAGTATGTCTTCTGCTCTCTTGTTATTACATGTTTCATAGCTCCCCAAACCTTGCCTGGACGATGTTTGGCATGGCTGCCCGGGCTGGCTACGCCCTCAACCTCCAGTCAAAGAGCCCCTCATTGCACCCCTCTATCGCTGATGAAACCCGATCCCGTTGTTGGAACCATATCATTGTGTCGGATACATTCTGTTCGATAATCTATGGACGCCCCGCCTCTCTGGAGTCTACGATTGTTCGTCCGCTGCAGCTCGTTGACGACTTGACCATCGACCCCTGGTTGCTGAACCAGTTTCCCGTCCATGACGGCAGCGGGCTGACCTCACGAGCTGCCTTTCATGTCCTGAAAGCAGAAATATATGCAGTCGCTGGAGACATTCTTCAACGTTTTCGCCGACTCAATCTGCCATCCGAAGCAAAGGAACAAGGCCTGGAGGCCATTGTACAGACCACCCAGGAATCGGATGCTCTTCTCAATAACTGGCGGGCCAGGATCCCAAGGCTGTACGACTTTGAGTACTGGAATTTAGATGGCCGATGGGACAGGATGCACGAGCAGCTACAGACGCTTCCCCTTAGCACGAAAGAACAGGTGGAGACAGTTTATCTCCAGGCTGTGACCCTACAGCTGACGTACGACGGCATGGTTATCCAAGCCCATCGGCCGCTTCTGGAACAAAAGATGAACAGACTCACCCCGAGGACCGTGATTGACGCTGTCCATCGGTCGCTCAGCTTAGCCACGGCGGCAGCTCTCCGTGTGTCTCGGATCCCGATCCATATCTTCAGGAATCATTTTGCTGTAGCATTTGCATCGATGCAGCAATTCACTGCCGGTGTCATTCTTTGCATACCTCCAACCGTTCAACCTCTCACAGCTACCGCTCATGAGGCAAAAGACGGGGTGGTGAGAATAATACGTGCGAGCAGAAGCTTGGTCTGCTATGATCGAATTGCGAGACAGACAGAACAGCTCCTAACAGAGCTCTTGAAAGTGACCATTCAGCGCGAGTTAACCCATGCTTTGGCTGAGAACCCAGAGACAAACCCTGATGCAGCAACCTCCACCCGTCACGGCAGCTCTGTAACCGAGGACTCCATCACTACCCACGCAGTAATAACTCCAGCCACAGATCAAACCTCAGACCCTATACCAAGGCCTTGGGCATCGGACCCCCTGGCGGCGGTAATGGGACCCTATGACTTTCTCCCGGCGCAGGCATTCCAGCAACTGGACGATACCTTTGGGGCATTTGGCGAATGTGAGTGTCACTGACATAGTTTTGATGCCGACTGACAATGCCTAGCCATGTTTAACCTGGTCCCTGACGACCAGAATAGTGCGTGGAACTGGGGGCGAACATTTCCTTAGCCCGAGATCTATACCACTGGTTTATACCATGTAGCTGGCATTTTTGGTAACGCAAACTTAATGAAGGGTGCCCATATTCTGATAAATCTATTGTCCTGGAGGTGTGTCACTCGATAAGAAGACTTTGTTGCCATAAGAATGCAGCAGGAAAGTGGCCTTTAAGTGAACGCCACGATGATTTCGTCCACCCAGCCGATCATTGATGGGGTGTCGATCAACCTTGTTCCGGCAATTCCGGTGGGTATTGACTTCCGGTGGGAATAACGCGCCCGGAGCTGCCGCGATCCTCGTGATTATTCTCACCACATTTTTTGCTCCTTTAAAACCACCAGCACTCTTCTTATATACTGCCAAAAACTACAACTCAGGTTAGAGGCCGCTTCTGGAAGATGGTGAAAACCGAACGTGAGGTACTTCGTTAGGACCTGTGAATGGGACCGCCACTCACGCCACTGGTGTTCCACTGTCCCTGAATCCAGATTTTGGGACACATTGACCAAACCTTGATTATGCTGCCCAATGATCAGCTGCAACAGCAGGAAAGCTCCACTTGGCTCCACCGGTGGATCGTGGCGGGGATACTCGAATGCCACCGGAAAAGGAGCTGCTTATTGTCGCTCCGGTGGTGCCCATCTCGGAAAGGAGATCATGATGCAGTGTAACCATAATAACTACCGACCACCCACCTACAGCTCCTGAGACGCATTCTTCTCTTATTTCTCCATCGTGGGGTGATCCATGGAATCCCCGGCAATGAATAGTCCACCTCAGACTCACGGCATGAGTCGCGTCACGCAGCGGCCTCTACTGGCCTGTCTTGCATGTCGGAGCTCGAAAGTGCGCTGCGAGCTACCACGAGGGTCCAGTGTCTGTCGCCGATGCGATGCGAGGGGTTTAAAATGTGTTTTCATGAAGGCACGAAGGTAAGCCATCTTCTCTGTTGCCTATCATTTCCCGACTCGCTACGTTTTATCCGATGGCAACAGCATATGACAAGCAACGTAAATGATTAGTTTCTAATGAGTCTGCATAGAACGATCAGGCGATCGTCAACTAGTCCTAAGAAGGCACTATCGCCCGACACTAATACATTGCCTTCGCCATCCTCAGACTCCAGCGGGAGCCATGATGGTATCCTGATCCCCAATATGGATAGTCCGTCTAGTGAGGAAGGATCCAAGAGTGATTGGAATGATGAGGGTAAGTAGACAAGGCATCTCTTTCAGACATTCCACTAATCGGCGAATCAGGATCACTTTCCCATCTATTGGCTTCCAGGAGCAAAGCCATGTCTCAGGAACCACACATCGCACTCCAGCCACATGTACCTTCAACGTACCCTTTAGATCATTTCCTCTCGGTGATTGATGATTTACTTGAGCCATCGATATCTCCGACATGTCGGAGCGAGGGAGATCATACTCCCGAACCCGACAGGACATTCCAGACTTGTTTGGCGGCGGTTACACCTGAGGATTATCAGTATCTGACGGCAAAGGGAGCCTTGCAGCTGCTACCACGTGCCTTGCGAAACCAGCTATTAGCGGCGTACGTGAAATATGTTCATCCGCTCTTGCCGATCCTCGATTTGGCAAAATTTCTGTCCGGAATTATTGATGGCGATGACACTCAGTTTGACTCACCGTTGTTGTACCAGGCGGTCATGTTCGCTGGCAGCATATATATTCAGGAAGATATCAATGAAGACGAAGCTCAGTCCACCAAGAGTTTGACTGGTGTTCTTTTTGAGCGCACCAAGGTTTGTCACTTCCAACACGATGACATGCCAACATACTAATTGATGATGAATGTAGGTTCTGTATGAGTTCGAAACGGAGCAATGTGCATACACTCAAATTAAAGCGCTGCTGTTGATGACTCTCTGGCACGGGGATATGTCACGTCACAAGGGTCCATCCTACTGGCTTGATCTTGCCTTTTCAACCGCCGAACGAGTCGGCCTACTCCACGACAGTTGCTGGACATACAATGGCCCTTCCATCAAACCTGTCATTTGGTGTTGTCTGTATGTGCGTGACCGGATCATCTCCCTTGGATCCCGTCGCCCGGTACGCATGCCTGTGAGCCAATACCCAAGCTCAGTCCTGGGTCTTACGAGCTTCATACACGAAGAATATAGCGTCCCTGTCCTCGAGGCATTGGGCAGTGCCGCCTCTATTTTGACCCGCTCCAGCCGGGAGCAATCCGCCCTGCTCTTCACAGAACTCGTCAAGCTCTGCTACTGTGTGGGGGCGATCCTCGATTATCTTTACGAAGGCGCATGGATTCCACTTCCCCGTCGCAGCAGCTTATATTCTCTCACCCCTAAATGCAACATTCCACCGATCACGAAACCAAGCTGCGAGAAGCTGCTACAATCTTGGATCCAGCTTCTACCTCCGACAGCCTCGTATCACATACCGCTCCTTCCTCCAGACGCGAGGCAAGAGTCGGTAGATACTGTGTTCCTCGTTCACAAAGCATTTCTCTACCTGCTCTACCTGACAGCGATGGCCGTGATATACCGCACCGGGCCTGGCGAGCGGCCTTCCAACACTACGCTTCCGAACCTGAAAGGCTTGCGGGCCTCGACGTCACAGATCAAACGGGTCCTCACAGAGCTCGACGATATGGATTTGCTTCGCTTCCTGCCAGGAACGTCGGTCACGATTATCATGTTTGCGATCGAGGCAAGTCTTTTGGATCTGCAGGGGTCAGATTCGATGGTTCGGTTGCAGGCCATGTCGAATCTGTATGCCTGCGAGGGGGCTGCTTTGAACCTGCTACAGGTGTATCCTACGGCTGAGTTGGCATTGTTGAAAACGCGAACCGCGCGCTCCAATCTCCTAGGGTTGGTGGAGATATAAGTATAGATCGTTGTCCCTAGACAGATCACAATAGCTTTGTGGCAAGCTTATTCGTGATTAGGATGCAGCTGGCATGCATCACTTGCGATATCTTCTACTTATAGGCATTCTGTCTCTATCGTATAATGTCATGATTAATGAGCCGTACTCTTGGTGCCTGCGACAACCTCTTTAGTCTATCTATGGCCATCCTTGCTAAGGCATATAGTCACTTTGGTCTAGTAGTGGCTTGGCAGACCAGCTTTAACCGAGGGTCATAGCCAGCCCAGCCAATGCTGCGAATTCGTCCGCTTCGGCCTCCGAGACATGCATTTGTACCCACAACCTGGTTTGTCCGTCCGGTCTCCGGATGGAAACATATATTGCTCCTACAGAGATCGACTTCCTTCCTTCTCCAACAATCTTGTGAGCGAAAATGGCACCGAAAAACATCGTCATTCTTGGGGGCTCATATGGCGGCCTTTCCACGGCACACTATCTTTTAAAACATGCCCTGCCAGTGCTCCCTGCTCAAGACCCTTACCAGGTGATTGTTGTCAGCACCTCATCCCAGGCCATGTGTCGCCAGGCCTGTCCGCGTGCCATGATATCCGACGACATGTTTCCGCAAGACAAGCTCTTCGTCAACATACCCGAACTATTTACCCAGTATCCGAAAGACCAGTTTCGCTTCGTCCATGGTGCTGCTACACGACTCGATCATGTCACCCGGAGGATCACCATCACTCTCAATGCCAGAAGCAACCCAACGGCAGAGACCGAAGTGATCGAATACCACGCCATAGTGATCGCCACTGGCGCTTCAACGCCATCTCCCCTCCTTGGTCTGAACCAAGATGAAGTCTTTCTCCACGAGCAATGGACCGAATTTCGCAAAGCGCTTCCCACCGCCAAACGCATTGTTATAGCAGGAGGAGGTCCTGCCGGCATCGAAACGGCCGGCGAACTCGGAGAATACCTGAACGGTCGCTCGGGGTGGTTCAGCTCCAAGCGAGCACATCCTAATGTATCCATCACCGTCGTGAGCAGTGCATCGCAGATTCTTCCTGCCCTGCGACCCGCGGTAGCAAAGAAAGCTGAGAAGTTCCTCGCTGATGTCGGTGTGACTGTGTTGAAGAACACCCGCGTGAAAGGCGTTTCTCCTTCGGATGCAGGCACACGCAATATCACAGCTAAAGCAACAGTGATCCTCGACAATGGACGGGTTCTTGATGCTGACATCTACATCCCTGCCATCGGCACAACACCCAATACGGGGTTCCTCGACCCGAGCCTCCTCTCTGACGACAGACGGGTCAAAACCAACAACACGTTCCGCGTCGAGGACGCTGGTCTACGCATCTATGCCATCGGGGACGTGGCCTCGAATGTGCAACACCCTGCAGTGCATGTCATCTTGAATTCCATTCCGGTTCTGTGTGCCAACTTGAAGCGGGATCTGCGGCTCGCGGCTGGGGTAGACCCGGCTTCGGTGGGAGAGGACCGGGTGTTTGAGGAGGATACTCGCACGAATCAGATGGTGCCGATCGGACAGAGCAAGGGAGTTGGAGAGGCGATGGGCTTTCAGTTACCGAGTGTTTTGGTTTGGTTGGTCAAAGGGAGGGATTATTGGTTGTGGACGACGGGGATGTTGTGGAGTGGGAGGCAGTGGGTTAAGGAGAAGTGAGGTTGTATCTTTCAACTAATTTATGGCGATGGGTTCTTTGTTGGGTTTTATAGATACTTTTCTTCTCTATCCTTCTAAGTTGTGTTCTGGATACTACTTTCTATTCTCTACTAACTTTCATGTCTTTATGATGTTTTCTCATTTATTGGCTGGCAGCTTGTTCGGGCGGAGCGGCCCAACCGGCGCTAGCATCTGACATTCGTCCGCTTCGGCCTCCGAACGGAGATCCTCCATCTCCTCTCCTTGAGTGAGATAAGTTCGTGAAATAATGTCTCACGTTTCGATACTTTACACTTAAATCTACAACCCATGAATACGCCACCATCATCCACCCCAAGACGCGAAATGCCCCCCAGAAAGCTCCGAAAAGGCACCCACAGCTGCTGGGAATGTGAGCTATCTACCCGCCAAGTGAGACCACATCTAACAAGCGAACCAGGTCGACGACGCAAAGTCCGCTGCCAGTTTCCCTCACCCAATGCTTCAATCTGCACTCCATGTAGCATCCGAGGCAGTCCTTGTCGGAGTCAGGATGTAGTGGATTCGCAACCGCCGCCGCGGGAAAGAACCCATGCGCAACGCCTCGATCGGCTCGAGGTGTTGATGCAGAGGTTGGTGGAGCGGATTCTGCCGGAGGATGTTTCAGCGAGGGGTCTCAGGGATGAGGTGTCTATTGAGGCAGGTTCGATCTCGTCTATATCAGGGACAGGGGAACATAGACACCGAATTCCGCAGGATGAAGGGGTAGAAACGCCAGGTGCTGGTGGAACGTCTCTTGGTTTGCCACTGGGCTCTCAAACCATCCCTGACACATCTCCCGCATTGGTTCTAGAGACGGGGGGCTGGTCGGACAGTCCACTAAGCCTCCATGATGCGAATTGGGTGATCTCCCAACGCCTCCATGCACTCTTTCGATCCCAGAAGGACATGAACACCATCGTTGAATCAAGCCCCGGGAGACTCTTGCTTGCTGCTTTACTCAGCCGAGATGCCGATGGTACACTCATCCCCACCGAAAATATCGCAACGATTCCCCACATCACAAGCAGTCCGTTCATACTCGCGCGAAGGCTTCTCCAGCTGGCCATTTGCATGCAGCAGCTCAGTCCATCCTTCGACACAAGGCAGCTTGCACTGCAAGTACCTGTCGCATCCGTCATGACCCATGTAGTTTCCACGGTCTCCAGCATCATCTCCAATGACGATCTGGTAGCCAATGTCGATGGTCTCCAATGCATTCTCTTACATGGACTCTGGCATATGAATGCAGGCAATTTGCGCAAAGCGTGGCTTACCTTTCGCAGAGCAATCAGTCTCGCACAGCTTGTTGATATTGGTCCCGGAAATGCCATGCTGCACAGTCTCATGTCCAGCGAGGCTTCAACCCATGACAAACTCTGGTATCTCCTCGTCGCCTTCGATCGATACCTGTCACTCTTCCTAGGTCTCCGCATCGATATGCGGGACGATAGTTTTGCCTCGGAGGAGTCAACCAAGAATCACAGTCCTGAAGAAAAGCTTGAGAAACTACACACTGTGATTGCAGCACGAATCGCGGATAGAAACCTCACCCAGAGCAAACAAAACTACGCTATCACGCAAGCCATTGACTATGATCTCGACACGGGCGCCAAAAGAATGGGTCAAGCCTGGTGGTTTCATTCAAGCACAGGGTTGTGTGAGATTCCTGAGCAGAGCTGGCAGCGCATGAGACAGCTCATGATTCAAATCCACCATTTCAGTCTGCTGGTCCTGTTGCATCTGCCATATCTACTCAAGGACCCCACCGAGGATCGATATATATATAATCGGATGACCTGCATCCGCTCGAGTCGGGAGATCCTGACACGATTTATCTCCCTTCGCCAAGACATAGAATCTATCTTTTCGTGTCGCCACATTGACTATGCGGGGTCGATTGCTGCGATTACACTCTTATTGAGTTATCTTCCTCAAGGGCACAGCGCCCCTGTTCCTGATACTCAGCGGGAAGAAGATAGGAGGCTGGTCGGTCGAGTGAAGGACAGAATGGAGCAGGTGGCTGTCTTGAACCAGGATAAATTCTTGTACGAAACCGCTCAGATCATTACGCAGCTTCTGCCTGTTTTTGACGACTCCACAAACAAAATGACTTTGTCGACGAAAGACAGCCCTAATGAGACTATTCAACTCAAAATCCCATATCTCGGTTTGGTCAACATATCCTTGGAACCGAGGCAGAGAGAAAATGAGGCCATCTCTAATGTGGCTGACGAGCCCTCGACTCGCGGACCATCTCATCTGCCTTCACCCAGCCACCAACTCCAGACGAATGAGTGGGATATACACGACTTCATCCATGTCGAGGAAGCTCTCGCTGACGGTCAGGGCCTTCCGACACTCACCGCAGAAGCCAATGACTGGCCGTTTCAAGGCATCGACACCAATTTCTGGTCTCTTTTGCAGAGCAGCATGGCGGTGGACTCGGATTATGAGCCTACATATTAGACCATCTGCAATAGTTGAATCATCATATGAAAATAATATAGCTTGGCACCTTCCTCGCGGTACCAGTATTGATCTAACAACGCTGTCCGATTACTGCACATTTCGCATAATCCCCGGCTCCAGCTTCTCCAGCCTTTTACAAAGCACCTCCCAAAGATAAGCGGCCTTCTCCTCATCCAACACAATGGGTGCATAAGCCTGCACCACTCCCGCCCGCATATACAGTCCATGCGTCTCCCTCCCCGCCGACGCCGTCTGCACCACCAGTCTCGACCCCTCCTCCGCCGTACGCGCAGCGATTGCTTCGAATGCCTTGAAGAGAATCTTTCCCACCCCACACAGCTCCCCTGCAAGCCCAGTCTTACAGAAACAAGGGTCAAGCGAGTTGATCACGATAGGGTTTGGAACGTCAGAGCCTATCGGATCAACAATGGATGCTAGCTTGATGATGGAATATAACTGCAGGAGTTTGGACAGGTTATACCTAATCATCATCAGGAATCCACATCGCCCATATCTTTGAAGGAAGAACTCACTGATTCATACCACTCATCCTCGACTCCTCAGCGTACCAATCAAAGATATCTCCCCCATGATCCTCCGGAAACTTGGCCACGTCATACAACGCTGACCCGACGAACGTCATATGCGGCGTAACCCGATACAATCTTGCCGTTTCCTTCAACTTCGGGATTACCTGGAACGCAAGAAGAAATGTACCGATGGAGTTAATCGCCAGCGTGCGCTCCGTTCCATACACTCGCTTGAATTTCTGGCCCTGGATGCCCGCATTGTGAATTACCACGTCCAGGCGCGGAAGTTCATTAACCTTGTTCACGAAACTTTTGATAGAAACTTCGGACTCGAGGTCAACCTCCCAGACCTCGAGAATCTCGGGGTTACACTGAAGGGTAGATTCAATGGCATGCTTGGCCTCGTCGCCGCGAGATTTGCTCCGGCACCCGAGGATGACTTTGCTGGCACCGAGACGGACAGTGTGGGTGACGATTTCTTTGCCCAGGCCGCCGTTGGCACCAGTTATGATGACAGTCTTGGAGGCGAATGAGGCGGTGGGTATGGGGATGGTGAGGCGGAATTGAGTGTAGATGAAGTCGCTGAGGGTGGGCATGATGAATGTATATTTTTGGACTTGATGGAGGTATACAAGAGGAGTGACTTGATGATATATTCCCTCGAAAGGGCGCACATCATTTTATATCAACTCTCACAGCCATCACCGGATTTAACAACTTTACATCCCCGACAACCACATCCATGGGCTTACCACCCCCAGATACCCATCCCAATTAACAGCGCCTAAGTCCGCGGAGATAAGTCACGTGCCATACCACCCCGGCGGGGCGATCCTGAGGCCAGGACAACACTATCACATCTTCACAGCCACCATGCAATCATGCCATCCCAAGGCGCTTCATCCACGGGGATACTGAAACCTCCGCCGAGGTCTAGCCGACGAAACCGAATCCCGTTGTCATGTGACCCCTGTCGAGCTAGAAAGTACCTCCCCGTGCATGCCCCACACTCATCTGTGATATGGTATCTGACAAACCCAGATTGAAATGTAATCGCGAGAAACCGTGCCAGAACTGTACGGCGCGGAGTGAGCAGGCGGCCTGTCGGTTCAAGGGACTGAGTCATGGATTTGCATCTACTACGAGAAGGGAAGGGAACGGGGATGAAATGAAGCAGAGGATTGATCATTTGGAGGAGTTGGTGACGAGGCTGATTCGGGAGAGAGAGTTTGGGGAGCCGTCTACGCCGGAGAGTCAGAGGGGAGAGGTGAGTATGGTGAGGTCTGATGCGTCTGAGGTGGCGTATGCTGGGACCACGGTGATGGATGGGGTGCGGTCGGTGTACCGTGGGGGGGATGAGTGGGAGGATGTGTTGGTGGAGGTATGCCCCCTTTTTCCTGCCTCCCCTCTCATTTGTGAACATTCGTTCTTCTCTTCGTAATACTGGACCTTCACTGTCCATCTATCCATAGTTGATGGCTTCGTTTCTCTTCTTCCCTTCATTTCATTTCATGTCATGCTGCAAGTATACTGATTGTCCAGATCAACGCACTCAAAAAATCCTGGACCGAAACTCATGACAACCCAACAGATGGACTCGTGCGTCCCACCTGCTCGCACACTGTCGACGGCTCAAGTCTGCTCTTTGGTCAGGTCAAGCCGTTGGAAAGAATCGAGATCATATCCACACTACCGCCAAAGCATCAAGCCGACAAGCTGATATCCCAGTTCTTTGACCGCGATAACTTTCCTATATCTCTTCCTCGTAAGTAGCATATCCGATTCATGCTTCATAGCTCACAGACCAAGCGATCCTACACCAGCCCACCTTCATGCGCGAGGTATTCACTGTGCCCACTTTCGCAGGGTCCCTACTGATCACATCTAGTACAACGAACACTGGAAAGACCCGTCTCGCACCAACTTCATCTGGCTCGGCCTTCTCTTCTCTATACTCGGCATTACCATGCTCTCGTATCTCCAATTTGGCGAACCCCCCGAGTATGAAGGCATCTCGGAATCCCTCTTCCAGCTGTATCGCATCCGCACCGCTCAATGCCTCCTCAGCGGCGATATCGCCAAATGTCTTCCCTACACCGTCGAAGCTCTCCGCTTCAACGCAACCGCTGAACTAAACCGCAAAGACGACAATCGTCGCGGCCTCTGGATCATGACAGGCGTCATTGTCCGCGCTGCCATCAACATGGGCTACCATCGGGACCCTTCTCACTCCCCATCTATCCCTCCACTTCAAGCTGAGTTCCGCCGTCGTATCTGGCTTTCTGTGATTAGCATGGACGACATGGCCTCCTTCTTGGGAGGCTTTCCCCGCATGAGCTCAGCCATCTACTCCGACACACGCGAGCCGCAGAACCTCTACGACTGGGAGTTATCCGACTCCTCTGCCACCCTACCGCCATCCCGACCCCTAACGGAACCCACCGCAGCAACCTACCTCATTGTCAAATCGCGCCTCTTCCGCGCCATCGGCCGCATTGCCGACTTCAACAACACTCCAACTCGTGTTTCCTACGACACAGTCCGCGAAATCGATCAAGCCGTCTACGGTGCATACGACAATTTCCCTTCTCATATGAAGATCCCCCCTGGTGGTGTGCATGCCCTGCCTCTGAAATCTGCAGCAGATTTCTCAACCCTCAACCTCGCAGCCATGTACCATCGAAGTATGTGCACCCTGCACCGGAAATTCATGAGTAGGGGACATCGAAATAATCAGTGCCAACTGTCCCGTGACAGATGTATCTCTTCTGCCCTTGCGCTGTTATCTTATCAAGAAGTACTGCAGCCGTATTGGTATAAAGCCTCTCAAACGAGACAAATGCTCAGTCTTGCGGCTATGATTCTTTTACTAGAGCTCGAACTCAGGCGGAGAGTTCCGGATGAGGATGTCACCCCGGACAGTACGTCGCTTCTACAGACGCTGGAACGATCTTCTACGCTCTGGGAAAACGCCAAGGACTCGTGCGATGAGGCGGGCAGAGTGTATGAGATCCTGGGTGGGATGGTTTCAGGGTTCCAGACTAGTTCTGCATCTAGCTCTTCGCATACTGTCACTCCCTCATCAAGCCTTGAGATTCCGGGGTTTGATACTTCGGTTCGGGGAAATGGCGAAGAGTTGTTTGAGAAGGAGTTGGCGAGTATGGACGTTGATTGGGTGAGTTGGTCCTTCCTTTGTGTGGGTTATGCTAATGGGTATAGGCTACGTGGGATGCCTTTATTCAAGACACGGACTTTCAGGATGGGCCTATTTACTAGGCTTGCAGCGAGTTCAGCATGACTTCAAATCAAAGCGACCACTAGATTTGAATCTGTAGGGAATCGGTGCGTTGACCGCTTTGGTAGCAAACCTGATACATGGATAATATCGATGGGGTTTGTTCTCAGGGTATAAAATTGCCTATTTAGAAATTCAACCATAGAGCTACTTCAGCGAACCTATCATCAAAGACAATAATCCTCCATGTCTCAGTGCCACCGCTGCCAAGAGCCGTCGGATAGCCGAGACCTCCCCGCCAGAGGGCCGTGATGGCGGCATGGCGCCCACTTCTGACGTGCCATTTCAATTTCCTGCACGGCTCCTACTTAGTGTCTCGGGCGTTAGCTTAGTTCTATATTTGGTGCGGCAGAGGCTGGTCGCGCGGGGACAGCGTGAATGGGCGCTACGGCTCACGTGCGTCAGCTTGTGTTTGCTTATCAGCCTCCACCGCTTGATTTTCTGCAGCGGACCTCCAAGATGTTCCCTGCATCGACTGACAGTCTTTGACCCCGCACTGATTGGGATTTGGATTCGGGCTGGGATCATATTACATCAAGCTGAAAACCGAGGAATCCCACAACAATGGCTTTCCTCGGGCTGTTAGACAACCCATGGGTGTCCGGGTCACTCATCCTGTCATCGGCTTTTCTCCTTGCGTTGCCAAGGAGGATTCGCACTATTCGCAGCTCCCCAAGGAAGTCAATACCTACCGGGCGGGTTACCAGGCAGATGGTGAGCGATAAACAGAACCAACCAAGCTTATTATCGCTAAATACTCAGATCTTCGCAGTAGCGCTGCTTATCATCCAGTTGATAGCGGTGACACGACTATGGTCGTATGAGAATAATCTAGATGATGTGGCCATGTACGACGCCTATCTATCAGCTATCGCAGCACTGGGAATCGTCGTCATCTCGGTGCTGCAACATAACCGCAGCGTACAGCCTTCATCTCTCGTACCAGTATATCTGATCCTCTCACGGTTACTAGATATTTGCCAAGTCTGGACAGAAAGATGCAGTCCAGGCAATTGTCAGCTAGTTAACTTACGAGCGTGTCTGGGTGGCGTCTGGCTGGCCTGGGATCCCCAGCTTAGAGACTGGATCTGGTACCAGACTCTCTCCGAATCTTCCACCTCGGAAGAGCATGCTGGACTTCTTAGTCGGGTATTTTTCTACTGGATAAGTCCCGTGTTGAAAGAGGGGTACAATGCTACACTCACTCTGAAAGGATTACCTGAAATTCACAGCAAGCTATCGTCAGAATCCCTTCGAAGGAAGGCTTTGGAAGCGTGGTCCTCGAGAAGTGAGATCCTACTAATTTGTTAGCGTGCTATGCTACCGGTATACTAACATCTGCTAGCTGAGCCGGTTACAAAGTGGACTCTACCGCTCACATTGGTACGCTGTCTGAAAGAGGCCTTCCTCTCGCCGATCATCCCTCGTCTATTTGTCATTCTATTTCGCTACGTTCAACCGATATTCATGGGCGCCGCGATTCGCTTTGTGAAGGGGACATCGTCTGAAGTCTCTGGCTCTCACTTGGTACTCTACGCTGCGGTGATATATGTCGGGATGGCGGTAAGACCATCATTTATTCAGACATGGAACGCAAAGCTGAGAAAACAGGTATCTGCAGCAGTTTACCAGCATCAAATCAATCGATTACGAATCATGGTGCGAGGCGCCTTAATCAACCTCATCTACCACCAATCTTTGACCATTCCAAGCACATCTGATTCGGAGAGTGTAGCGCTGATGAGTTCCGAAGTTGACAGCGTCGAGTCGACCGGCGAGATCTTCCACGAGACCTGGGCCCAGCTCCTCGAGGTGATTGTTGGAACCGTGCTAATGGCTGCTCGGATCCAGTGGTTTGCCTTTCTTCCGCTGATTATAATTTTCGGTTCGCCAAACTCATCTGCTTTGAATTCAGTACTAACAAATGACAGGGTGTTCCCGAATGAGCGCCTACGTTGCCAAACACTTAGAAGGCCGACAAAAAGCCTGGAACGTTGCGACTCAGGAACGCATTGTCACGATAACAGCGGCGCTGGGAGGGATCAAGAGCCTGAAGATGATGGGAATGGAGGATGCGATTGAATCCAGGGTCTCGCAGCTCCGGGACAATGAATTACGCATGTCTGAACGGCTGAGGTGGATTTTGGTCGCGTATAATGCCAGTGGTTTGTACTGCTGTCTTTCCTTAACCGCTCAGCTCTGATGTCTCCTAGCAAATGCACTCGGGATCTTCGCTCCGGTTCTGACGCTCATCGTCTACGCCATGTCCTCTCAAAGTGAGGGACTGCATGCAAATGAGGTCTTTACATCTATTGCTCTTCTGGTGATGGTGACGCATCCCGCCAACATGGTCATGACTTTGATTCCACGGGCTGTTGGCGTGATGGCGAACTTTTCTCGGATTCAAAACTATCTCAGCAAGCCCTCGGGTCGAGATGTTCGAGAGTATTCAGATCCTGCCCGACAATTCGCTTCAATTGATAACGTCTCGATCCAACCTCCTTCGGTGGCTCAACCCATCCTGGAGGATGTCTGCTTGAGTCTTGGAAAAGGGGAGATGATGGTCTGTGCCGGTGCGGTGGGCAGTGGAAAGACTACATTGGCCATGGCCCTACTTGGAGAGGGACATTTGACATCGGGGTCTATCCGTCTGGCATCCAAGAAGATCGCTTATTGTGTTCAAGCACCCTGGCTACCTAGTGTCACCATCCGCGATGCCATCACCGGTGGCTTTGATCTCGATCACAGATGGTATAAGACTGTCATTGATGTTTGCAGCTTGGTTCCTGATCTGGAGTCACTCCCGGCTGGGGACAGGACGATGATTGAAAACAACGGTATCAACCTCTCTGGGGGGCAGAGACAACGGATAGTGTGTCACACATTTTCCCATTCTTAACTCGTCTACTAACTATGGAAAGGCACTCGCTCGCGCAGTATATTCGCGATATGATATGCTGGTCCTTGATGACCCGTTTAGTGCACTCGACGGTGCTGTTACGGATCGTATTGTAGGAAAGCTCTTGGGTCCGGGCGGGTTGTTGAAGAAGGCTGGCACGACAGTCCTACTGATAAGCAATTCGGGTAAGTTTACATCCTCGCTACCACTACTGTCACTAATCATCCCAGCGAAACTCTTCCCATTGGCAGACAGGCTATTAGTTTTACGAGATTCGAAGGCATATTTGCAAGATTCTAGCAGCCTTCAGCAGAAGGAGTGGGCCGGAGTTTCTGTTTCCACCGAGAGCCAGCCCATAGAGCCCCAGCGAGCAAAGAATCCCGGCCATACGCATCAAATGAATGATGCAGCCGATGATATCTCCCGAAGAACGGGAGATATGGCTGTCTATGGTGCGTAACATCTAGGCGATGAGAAATCGTGTTAACTTCTGCAGGTTACTATCTTAATGCTGTCGGTCTATCGAATATTTTGGTCATGACAGGCTGCACAGCAACCTATTCCTTTGGCTTGACATTCTCGCAGTATGTCCTAAAATGGGCGACTGAGTCTTCTGACGGGCTAAGTGTCTATCTGGCACTTTATGCAGTCGTCTCGTTGATGGCGTGGGCGGCCACTAGCGGGACGGTGTGGTTAGTCCTCTGCTCCGCTGTCCGTCCAGTTCTAATATTTGAAGGTCTGCGCAAATGAAGATTGCGATTCGCTCCGGAGCGGTGTTGCATGCTCAGTTACTCGCGCGAGTCCTGAGGTCAGATCCTGCTCACTCTTCAATAGGATACAGAGCTAATTGATACAGAGCACCTTTGGCATACTTTACTGAAACGGACATTGGTGTCACCCTTAATAGGTATGCACCTAATTCCTTCCTGTAATCAGGATCGCTGACGATTCAGGTTCGCTCAAGATATCAAGTTGATTGACAAGCAGCTTCCTCCAGCTCTCGGCAACTTGAATACCCGTGAGTCTTCATATCCGCAATGTTTCTCCACTAACGCTATTTAGAAATCTTCAAGCTACTGATGCAGGTTATCCTCATTCTCTCTGTGCAACCAGTCATGATCATGACAGTCCCGGTCTGCTCCCTCTGCGTCTACATTCTTCAAAAGATTTACCTCCGGACATCTCGCCAACTACGCTTCCTCGATCTCGAGTCACGATCACAATTGTACACCAATTTTCTCGATACAGTAAGCAACCTCTTCTCCCTAGTTCATCTATCTAATGCCATAACAGGCAAACGGCGTCACCACAATCCGCGCCTTCGGATGGCAAGACAAATTCACCGCCGAAAACATCCAAGCTCTGGATCTATCCCAGAAGCCATTCTATCTACTTCTCTGCTTACAGTGCTGGCTCAAAGTGATCCTGGACTGTCTTATTGCAGTCGTTGCGGTAGTCCTCATCGGACTGACCGTCATGTTCAAAAGCACTACTACCGGGGCAGACATTGGTCTGGCCCTCAATCTGATCATCGTGGCTAACACCACGCTACTGCGGCTAGTTCAGAACTGGACATCTTTGGAGACCTCGTTGGGGGCTATTGCGAGGTTGAAAAGTGTGCAGGAGTGTGTTCCGAGTGAGGAGCGTGGTTTGACTTTGGAGCCAGACTCACGATGGCCGGTGGGAGATGTGCAGATTGATGATGTTTCTGTCTCGTATTCTGAGGCCTCCGAGCTAGCTTTGAGAAACGTCTCTCTACGTATCACTCCAGGACAGAAGCTAATCGTGATGGGTTGGACGGGAAGGTAGGATTCCCCCACTCGCTAAATCTCATCATACTAACGGTAACAGCGGCAAAAGCACTCTCATGCTCTCACTCCTCCAACTTCTCAACACCAAAGCAGGATCCATCCGAATCGACAACATCGACCTCGCACAAGTATCCGTACGGACCCTGCGTCAACAAGGCATCATCGCAGTACCACAAGACGGATTCAACATTCCCACAGCGAGTCTCCGATTCAACCTCGATCCATACCACACCAGCACCGATGAAGCCATTGCTACCGCCCTGAAAAGGACCCGTCTCTGGGAGAAGATTCTAACATCCTCCTCGACCCCACCCGACCAGAAAAGCACAACAATCGACTTGGCACTCCTCCTCAACCGCCCTATGTCACTCTTCCTCCCTCTCTCCGCTGGCCAACTCCAACTCTTCGCTCTGTGTCGTACTGTACTCCGTGTTCACGCGAATACCTCTACGAAGCCTATTATTATCCTTGATGAGGCAAGCTCATCTCTCGACCCGGAAACCGAGTCCATTCTTGCGGAGATCCTGCGGGAGGATCTGAGGTATCATACGGTGGTGATGATTGCGCATCGGGTTGAGGGCATTATGCATGTGATGAGAAAGGGGGTGGATGCCGTTGCGACGATGCAGGGGGGGCGGGTGCGGGGGGTGGAGGTTGTTGGTGCACTTGGTTAGAGGTTGGGATGAAGTGAGGTTAAGAATTAAGACTGGATATGAGTATGGAATGGAGAGAGGGTGTATTGGTCTCCTGCTATTCTCGGTCTTGTTTCCATCACGGTAGAAACATAGTACAGCAACAGGACATAGATTCCACACTATGCGTCGGCACTAAAATTAATAGCCAAATGACAAAACTCACTCGGCCACCTTGAACATGACGCACTATCTCACCTCATCCCGGACGAAGCATGTAGTGGATAGCTGTGGATCGCAGGCTGTCAAGATCCCCACTGCAATCCCTACGGTAATAGGCTACATCGCTTCAGGTGGATCCATCAGCACTAGCACGATGCCATGATACCAACATCAACAGCTCTTGACCCTATATATACACCTCACCCACTCCCACTTCAATCCTCCTCAATCTCCTCAATCCTCATCACCTTCTCAATTCCTCCATCCCAACCTTCACTCACCATGTCCACTACACCCCCCTACACCCCCATAACCCTAACCACCAAACCCACCGCCCAGCTGATCTACAGCTACCATCCCCCGTCCCCTCCCACCGCCACCTCCACCTCCACTCCAACCCTAATAACATTCATCAACGGCCTCGGCCTCCCCCAAAACTCCTGGACGCCCCTCATCACCGAGCTTCAATCCCACCCACCAGCTACCGGCCTCCCCGCCCTCCTCACCTACGACCGCTACGCCCAAGGCCTGTCCACGGACCGCGACCCCACCGACCTCACCACCGAATCCCACTCCCACGACTGTCTCTCCGTGGTACACGACCTTTACCAACTCCTCACCCAAATCGTCTCTCAACACCTCCATACTTCGCTGAGCGAAGTACAATTAATCCTGGTCTCGAATTCCATCGGGGGCGCTATATCCCGTCTTTTCGCTCAACACTACCCCGGATTGGTGGCTGGGATGATGTTCCTGGATAGTGTATTAGCGGGGTCGGATTTCGTGGGGATTTATCCGGATCCGGATCTTCCGGGCTTCAGGGCCGAGGATCTACCCGGGGGAGTGACAGTGACCGCACTCCGACATACGAGAGCATTCATGAGGAAGGTCTTCCATCCTGAAACGGGCATCATGGGGCAAGCAGAGGGATTCAGTCGAAGGAATTTACCCACTCTATTACCCCACCGCGACAGTCCGAAGGTAGTTGGGCCTCGGGGCAAAGGACCGTGGGTCACGGTCATCGGGCATGACTTTGAGAAATTTGAAGAGGAGTTTGAGGGGATGGGTGGTGGGGAGAGGGTGTTGACAAGGGAGTATCTCAATCCGTATTGGGAGGGGTATAATAGGGGGTTGGTGAGGATTACGGAGGTGGGGAGGGGGAGGGGACCGATTAGGGCGCCGGGGGCGGGACATTTTGTGCAGAGGGATAATCCGGATTTCGTGGCGGGGGAGGTGAGGGGGTTGGTGGAGAGGGTTGTTTTGGATGGTATGGAGTGATAGGGGGGGAAATGTCAATTGGTACATGATATGAAATGTTCCAACAATGGTCTACCTTCTATACCAGTATGTCGTTCAGAGTCTACGCGGTAGGACCTGTGACAGGGAATGATAGGGATATTGATCGGATCATTGCTCTCTCCTGCTCATCTGGGTCTCGTCGGTATCGGCGGTGGCATTCCTTCCCCAGATGCTGATATCCAGCTCGGAGACGTGGTCATCAGCACTCCATCTGGGTCGCATCCAGGCGGCGTGCAATACGATCTGGGCAAGCGATACCATGGCAAGTTCGAGTGAAACAGGACATTTAGCTGCTCCGCCAGAGGAATGGCTTCTCGCTATCAGCCAGATGAAGAAATGGGAAGATTAATAATCTCCAGACGGTTTCTTCACAGGGAAGTGTGTATTAGGGATTTAACTGCATGGGATACATGGTGCGTCACAGGGTTGCAGCTTGCTTCAGGTGGGTATGTGGGTATGTCCCCTTTCTCCTTCCCGTATATCCCGGGATAGTTCACAGCGGGTGGAGGAGGAGGAGGAGATACGTGGGGATCTGGTGTGCAGGAGCGGTCTTCAATTCTCGGCTAGATACGTGAGCATGGTCTGGGTGAGTGGGAAGGGGATTGGTTGGGGGAGATCTTTCTACACACGCTACCATAGTGGATATTGTGAAGGAAAGGAGAAGCTAGAACACAGAATTGACTTATGTGGATCATCAAGGTATATCCGGAACATGCGAATACCCTCGCTGCGCCAACTCAAACGTATCTCCCAGCATCCGCGCCTTCCGACTGTCAGACACATATGGCTTCAGGCCCTGACCGAACTGCCGGAAGCAGAGCGCCGTCATGCCGATCGTACACACAGAAAGAAGACCGACGATGATACCGAAAAAGGTCAAGATTCGGCGAAGGGGGTAAAACACCCTGAAGGTGGCGGGCTGGTAGAATAACGCGAAAAGAAAGAGATGAAAGCCCAACAGGGCCAGGTGCAGTGTCTGATGAGCAGGTAAGCCAGAGTTTATGTCTGATCAGACTGTAGCTTACCAGGCAGACCATCGTCCCGAGTCGCTTCTCATGTCTCACCATGATGCCCGTCGTAATGAGCAGGATCGATACCGCGGGAATGACGACGAGGTTTGTATAGAACAATCGGGGCAAAAAGTCGGCGGCCATGATTGTCACCTGCACCAACTGCCCGAGGAAGAAAAAGGCATCGAATTTCAGAAGGGTGATAAAGAGCTATACGGTGGTTGGCTTAGCGGCGAGCGGGTCGAGGCTCCGACCTACCTGGAAGTAAACAAATCTCCGGCGCATGTCGAGGTCGGCGTCGACCTGGTGGAATGCGACCCAGGCAAATTCCCCGTACAGTTTGTAGGCCACCAGGGACAGCCAGACCGTGAAAACGACGGTGATGACGGCCACCACAATGACGGCTTTCTGGTTGTAGCGGTACGTATCGATGGAAATGGCTGCCATGTCGATCGTCACTGCCACGGAATCCATCAATTCTCCATACTGGAGCACGTTATAGATGCATAAGGTGAGGGAGTACAGACACAGCCCGATCACCTGCGGGGTGCTGTGTTTGGCCAGGGTGTCGTATGCAAGAAGCAGCTGGTAGACAAATCCGAAGATCATCATACTGAAGCTCGTGGAGGGGACCCGAAAGCTAGACGACTTCTCGCCCTTGGGGGAGAGGGCGGCCATGAAGTTGGCATAGATCACACTGATACCATCAGATCCGAGACAACAGGAGAGGGGGCCGTCAAATTGCACTCACGTCTCTAGGGTGATGAGGATCCCTGCCTCCAGAAGCAGGGAGACCAAAAAGGTCCATGTCCAAGAGGAATTAGGACGGTAGAGCATCCTTGGGAGTACTAGTTGGCAGCAATGCGACGGTGTAAGGAGAAGCCGTCTAGAAAAAGACCAGGTTGGGCTCAGCCTTGCGAGGCTTGCTGTCAGCCTCGTCCACGTAGCGTCAGGCCCCCGGAGAGCCTCGCATCACCAAAACCCCGCCTCCTTCCAACCATCCGTCCGGAGTAAATCCCCCCCCCCGATGGAATCATCATGGCACAATATCAGGGCTGGACATCCGGTCCCAACACTCGGGGATCGTTCGACATTCTCTGGACCTGTCTCACCACCATGGCGTTATGCGTGTGGACCGCCGTCCATCCGAATATTCCGGTCGTCTCGCGATTCGGGCCAACCCTGCTGGAGCGACTGGGACTGATGATGCTCGCCATGATCTTCCCCGAGTTTGTCATGACCGCCGCGTGGGATCAAAGACGACGCGCCCAAAGGCTCCTCCAGGAGGTGAATCCCTCACCCGCCCGACACGAAGACGAGATACTCCGGGAAGCGGCGGACGCCTCGCTTCTCCCCCCGGACACCTCTCATCGGTGGTCCTTACTGCAGGCCCTGTTTGCGGTCATGGGTGGCTACGCCTTGGAAACGCAATACACGAGCCAGGTCACCAAGCAGCCCCGGACCATCCGGCGCCTCGTCACCCCCGAAGGAGTCGCCATTCTGGCCACGACGGGAACCCTTCCGTCGGTGAGTGAGAGAGATCTCGAGGAACGAAGCAAGGCGGATGTCTTTGCCAAAGTCATTGTGGTCTGTCAAATCCTCTGGTTTGCCCTGCAGGTGCTGGGGAGGTTGGGTCAGCGCCTCCCGGTCACTCTGCTGGAGACACACACCACCATTCATGTCGGGTGTGCCATCGTGGTCTATGCCATCTGGCTCCACAAGCCGTACAATCTCAGTCAGTCGGTGATGGTCACGGGGCCGGACAGTCAACGGATTGGGGCCTTTTTCAACTTCCACGACATCAGCTACGCCGTCTATCGGAGACAGTGTGAGCGATACGAGACGCATCGGATCGAGTATTGGAAACGGCGCATCATTCACGCCTCCCGGGGAGTCACCCGCTTCGAGTCGCCTCCGGAACCACCGACGCGGAAACCCTTGGTTCAATTGCTGGCCGAACATCGGTCGAGTCCGGCGGATAGAATGACCGCGGTCGACGAGGACGAAGACCTCCTGTATGCCCTTGCACCAGAGGCCAGTGAAGGGCTCGAGATGTTGCAACGTCACGGATGTCGCGTGGCCGACACGACGGATCCAAATGACCCCTTCCTGCGCCAGACCTCGGCCAACTTCACGATCCGCACGGTCTGGGGTGGCTGGAGCACCGACGTCGGGCATGAGCCGAGCTGGAGCAAAGGCATCCACGTCGGCTTCAACGTGCTGTACGGCGGGTGCCACCTTGCGGCCTGGTCATCCGCCTTTCCCAGCCCGGTGGAGCGCTGGCTCTGGAGGGCATCCGCCCTGTTTCTCATCTCGGTACCCGTGTGGGGAGCCTTGAGGATTCTCTGGTGGACGGCCGTCCGATCTCGCCATCGAGCGGTCTATCCGATCCGCAATGGGGATCTGGATGTCATTGCCGCTCCCATGTTCTTCACCATCTTTGTGGTGTATACCGTGGCGAGGTGGTACTTTCTGATCGAGGCTCTCATGAGTCTGAGGCGGTTACCACTCCAGGCATACGACACCGTGAACTGGACATCTATTTTGCCCCATGTTGGCTAATCGTGCTGTGGTGAGGGAAGTTGGCAATGTAACCTGTCCCTATCTGAATTCCTATAGCAAATTTCATCTCCGCTCCCCTTCCACACCACCCGCCTCACTACCTCCCCGAACGACAACCCCCATCGTAGACCCTCTCTCAGAAGGGCATGTTCATACCGTCGTTGGAAAAGTATCCTTTCCAGGGCGAGAGTTCGTTCTTGTGCGGTGGGGAGGGTATTCTCGTGCATGGATGGGTATTGAGTATCATGATGCTGCAGATGGTGATTGTGATGATGATGTTGATGCTGATGTATATATGTATACGGGTAGGGTGTGATTTTTGGAGGTGTTATATGTGCAGGTATTGTTGTTGTTGTAGTAAGTAGTTGCGTACCGGCTTGGAGAAGTGGATGGATCATAGTAGGGTTATTCATTGGTGGGGAAGAATATGGCTGTGTAGAATAAATACGAGTATGATAGTCTTGGGGATATATCCCCTGCGTATAAGAAATATATTGGGCCATTGTGTCTTTGCTCACTTCTCGTACTGCTCAGAATAAACTATAAGAAAATAGAGTATGCTATTCCGTGGTAGCACGGGTAGGGGCACTTAATATCCCACGGCATGTTCAACCCACAGCAGACAGACGCCAACGACCACGGCTGACGGCAGACACACACGCAATCATCTCTAGCGCTTAATTCTGCGATCAGCTCGCGTAGTATATCCAACACCTGTCATTGGATATGATGGGGCCGATTACGACAACCGACTGTACTGCCACTGTACGCGACATGGGTGGAGTCCCCCGTCAACGGGCGGCAGCGTTTCAGGTTCCACAGGGTCCACTGTCGCTTCATCTACTCGTAACAATCTATTAAACAGGTAGCTCTCGTAGGTTCAATACTGATTAGATGCTTCATGCTTTGCATCTTCGTCTACTGTACATTATTCATAAGGATGCCATTCCAACCAGGAGTGAAAGAGAGGCAGGATGAAGCAGGTCTTGAAAACAATACCCACTGTATACCACTGGATGACTGTGCAGGATTGATGCAGCGCACTAGCGAGGATGCTGATGTGGATGCTGCGGCGGTAATCCCGCATTCGACCCTTGACTATACACCCGGTGGTGTCCTGGCGTGCCATGGCCGCTAGGCACTTCAACCAGCGATCCCGGTCGCGCTTGCAATGGATGCATCGATCCGACCGCCGAAGGCCCGCTCGGCGCATAGCTCAATCCCCCACCCGGACTCGGTTGGAGAATCGCCGGCGGCGTGTACGAGCGAGCCATCGACATCGGCGGCGGCCCTGGCATGGCAGCTGCCCGAGACACTTGCGCCTGGGACGGCGGCGGCGTGTTGTGGCCGTACGGCGCACTCGCCAATCCAAGCGTCGACCGATGCGCCGCCTGCTGATGAGCCCCACTGACCATCGTCTGGACATGCTGCTGATACGATTGATGCGCTGCATGCTGCTGAGCGGACAGATGGCTCGGTCCAGGAGTACTTGGGGCCGGGGACGCGTATGACACCGTAGCCGCCGGCTGTCGCGACGACATCCCCATGACATTTGCGGAGGACTGGATCGGCGTGGGCGGACCTTGACGGGATCCATACCCGAGGTTGCTATTCCGGGGCGTGGGCGAACTGATAGCCTGGCGATACATCTGGTTCTGCGCCGCCAGTTCACGCGACGCCGCAGCCGTGGCCTGCGCATGGGACACCGGTGAAGGGGCATACGCGGACGCATGATATGCTTGACGCTGCGGCGCCTGCGAAGGAGTCGGCACGGGCGAAGGCGCCGTGAGGTTCGGCAGCGACGGATTAGACAAGGGTTGAGCGGACGTGTAAGGAGAATAGGGTGGTTGAGGGGCAAGCGTGGTGGTCGGCCGGCTACCCGGCTGCGGTGGAGCCTGCGGTTGCTGTGGCGGCGGCTGTCCGCGAGGGTCAAACCGTGCCATCCAGTCGTTATTCGCAGGCGCCGCAGAGCCTCCCGGGACCGAGCCATAGGGCTGGTACTCGGCATAATTGCGCGACGGCGGTAGGTACTGATTTGGAGGAGCATACGCCGGAGCCCTCTGTTGAGATGACATGACAGGCTCTTCTTGACGCGGGGGCGGTTGCGAAAGCGAGTGCATGGCGCCGTACACAGGTCGAGAGGGAGAGCCAGTGTGCGCCGCCGGTGTCGATGCCTGATCGCTGGCGAACCGCTTGCGGGGCTGGGGCTCCTCCGGTTCGTCATTCAGAATACTCATAATGTTCGACCGCTTCGCGGGCACCCGAGGGGCCGCCTCCGGCTGCTCTCCCAGCATCGACCCAGGTCGAGGCTCCTTGGGAGGCGACAACACGGGGGCTGGCTGGGAAAGGCCAACATGTTGTCCATGCAGCGCAAAATACGGCCGTTGGGAGATCGAGTCACGTCGGACGGGAGAGGAAACTGGCTCCGGTCGCAATGGTTGTGCCGGTGAGCTGGGCGTTTTGGTGAGGCTGGCTTGACGGGAGTGAGATGCGCCATGCATCAAGGACGGGGCCTGAGGCTGCAGATACGTCTGCTGCGAGCCTGGCAAGGCACTTTGCGCGGGAAGTAAAGGGGAGCGATGCACATCCACCGGGGCGGTCCGGAAGCCTTGCGCGTGAAGAGGCTCCAGCCGGGCCATCTCCGAGGCAGACACCGGAGTCTGTCGCACAGACATGGGCGTCTCCTGGGGCCGAGTAGCAGCATGGGTCAGCACCGTGGCCGGAACCTCGCGTCGATCTTCGGCAAAATAACCCAGACGGGGTCCCTGGATCCGCCCCGGCAAGGCGGCCTGAGAACTCATCGTGCGGGCAGGATCTTCCAGCATAGGGCCGCCGGGCATTGGGGCACTGGCGGCTTGCGCAAGTGGTGGGTAGCGCGAAACCCCGCGGTCCTTCTCCTGGGATGGGCGGGTGTGAAGAGGCACGGATTGAGGGGTCGGGCCGACTTGTTTGCTTTTAGGCCCAAGCCGACTTTCATCGGGATCCGGCACGGCCTCGGTGTGCGGCGCCAGAGGTCGAGGCATGATGATGGAAGACGGTGTAGCTTCGTAACGCCGTTTAGAGGCAAAGTTCGGAACGGGCAAAGGACCTGTGGGCTCACCACGAGCTTTCTTCGCTTCTGCATCGGCCACAATATCTTCAAAATCCTTCTGGCCGGAGTCGATGCGACGCTGAAAGTAGTTCTTGACCTGAAGAAAGTTAGCATAACCGCCGCTGGGCCAAAAAGAAAGAGACTTACCATCACAGTAGTTTTGGTCTTCATAAAGTTCGAAATACCCTCAAAGTCGCGACCAAAGTGTGCCAGCAGCAACGGGAAATCGCGTTGCTCCGGCACCGACCAGTAGCTGGTCGGCTGCAGAGATCCGTATCCGCCCCCCTCAGGCTGCCGGGCCGGTGCCGGAGCCTCCTGTTCAGTCGACTCAAACACATAAACACCCTCCTTCTGACGTCCTCGACCAGATCTCGCGCGAGGTGGCACATCGCTCGCCTCCCGTTCCTGCGGCTCTTTGGCCCGCACCGTCGGTGCCTCCGAGGCTCCATCTAGAGAGGGTTCGGTGGTCTCTACCTTGGGCGCCGGAGTGACAGCAGCCCCAGGCACGGGAACTGGCGTCGTCTGAACCGATTCCGACGGGGTGGGTTGCGGTGTTTGTTGCTGCTGTTGCTGGGCAGCTTTGCCGCGTCGGCCACCTCGGGTGCCTGCACCACTCCGGGGCCCTCGGCGAGGTTTCTCGACCGGTTCGCCGTCCTTGGACGCATTCCCCCGACGGCCGTTGTTGTCCGTATCGGCAGAGGAGTCGCCAAAGGTCGGTGCAGCAGCCCGTCGAGGACGACCGGTGTCCGTAACCGGTGCCGGCTCTTCGTCGCCTTCGTAATCCGGTTTCACCACACCCAGATCCGCCATAAGCGCATTGGACTTGGGTCGCGCAGATCTCCGGGCACGCCCGCGACGGCTCCATCGCTTGTTGAGCTTGGCCTTGTACTTGATCTCCTCCTTGGTGAGATAGTAATGAATAATACACTGCTGGAAATCTCGCCCAGGAAGCGATTCGGCAATCTTGCCCCATTTCTTCGGGTGAGCCATAAAGGCATCCGTGAACACCTCATGTTCCTCTTGCGTGAAATCATTCCGTGGTGGCAGGAACCCAAAGACATCCATGGCCTTGGACGGATCAATAATATTGTTGGTATCCTTATAGATACCAGCCTTCACCTCCGGAGGCTCAAGCATATCGGGGATCACTGCCTCGCGACCTAGATCGGGTTGTGCCGTAGCCTTGTTACCACGCCGCCGCTCGAGTTCCTCCTGGGCGGAAATCTCAGACGCCCGGAGGGCATTCTGGAAATCCAGCTCACTGTTGCCCTTGTACCGTCTTCCGCTTTCCACCGTGGGGGTGGGTGTCGCCGTCGCCGGAGCAGCAGGTGGTGTGGTAGGACCCGGGCTGGCCGACCCTTTCTCCTTGGCGTGATCCAGCTCCCAGACATTCATCCTCCACGGCTTGTAATGCGACAAATACTCCAGTCTCAGCTCGGCATTCTTATGCGCCACACCCTTGCGCCGTTTCATGAGGACGTCGCGGAAGGTGTCCTTCAGACGCGCATGAGTGGCGGCATTCTCCTGGTAAATCTCCAGGTCGGAGAGGGGTGTGGGTGGTCCAGAGTTGAGAAACGGCAAGCTCTCGACAGTAAGTACATCTGCAGCAGGGATGGAGTCCAGGACCACCTTGGTCGGCGGCTCATGTTCTTCAGCCTTTCCGTTTGGCTCGGCATCCACCGCGGTGGCCACCGGCTCCTCCTTTGCTGTTTTATTTTCTTCTACTGGCACAGCCGCTGGCGCCTTTTCTGCAACAGCATCATGGGCAATCATCCCCAGGACTTGTATGCGCATGAGCAGCGCCACGATGTTCGGGTCTTCCAATGGCGGCACCGGCAGCTCTGCTCGAAGGGCATTCATGTCCTTCTCAAAAATCTGTTTGCGCTCCTCCAAATAGTCCTGGGTAAAGACCACGTTCTCGTCTTCTTCTTCATCGCTAGAGCGCCCGAAATCCGGTATGACCACGGCCTGATCCTGAGATACCTCCTTTTCGGTAGGTTGCTCCTCTACGACGGGCTTTACCACGCCGGGATCGGGAAGTTCGGTTGCAATGGGAGGCTCGGATGGGGCTGGCTCTTGTGGCTTTGATTCCCGAACCTCATCCTCGGCTACAATCTCACCCGCTTCAGGCCCTGTGGATGAGTCCTCAGCTTGACTTTGCGATTCATGTTTATGCTCTTCACTAAGAGATAGGCTTCGTTCCTTGCCATCGATCGAATCACGTTTGGCCGGGAGCGCCGAACTAGGTCCGGAAGGCGGTCGGCTATAGCCAGGCCGAACCCATTGTTTGTTGCCCTTGGACGGGCCACGGGATACCGAAGGACGTTGCTGGAGAGCGCGTGGACCGGTAGGGATACTCGACGTATGCATACGAGGCGATGTATGCGGACCGGGCGAAGTGGCTAATCCAGTGGCAGATGGTCTCCTTCCGATTTCCGGGGAGGTCACTACGGGCCCGAGCTTACTAGGAGATGGTGTCTCATGAAGCCCGGGCGCCTCCTTATGAACCATGGCAGCTGGAGCAGTGGGTGGTGAAATGTCCATCGGCTTCGGTGCACTGACAGCTGCGGTTGCTGGATGCGGCTTCGCAGGGCGAACAGGTGGCTCCGGTTTCACCGGGGTCACAGGAGCTTCGTCCCGCCGAGTCTCATCTCGTCGAACCCGTTGCTCCAGCGGTTGTTGCGGAGGACCACGGTCTGCCTTGGGAGCGGTCGGGGGGTGCATGGGGGCTCGGGGCAGCGGCTCATGTCGTTCCTTCTCCGGCTTGGGGATTGAAGGAGCAGCGGGTGTCGCGTCGAGCGGGGGCTTCTCCACAGGAATTTCAGGAATGGGTGCCGTGACGGAGCCAAAGGCCGGTACCTGCGGAGCAGCAGGAGGGGGTGATCGCTTAACGGGGGGAGGGATGAAGTCTTTAGGGGGCTCCGGGTGAGGTGCAGGCGGTTCAATCCGTTCGATACGCTGTGAATCCCGGCGAGTGTCGCCTCCAGACGGCTTCCGGGGTGGCTCTGCTGGTGGTGGATGATCGGGAAGTCTGTCGGGTACTCCAGGACTAGGGTGCACAACAGGACCGGTAACAGATGAAACGGTAGAGCTGCTAGGAAGTCGATTCTCCGCGCGACTAGGAGGCCGGTCCCTCTTCCAATGATCGCCGGGTCGCTCGCGGTCGTCGCGTTCAATGCGTCGGTCGACTTCGTCCCGGCGCTCGAACCTCTCACGTCGTTCGAGGTCCCGTTCCCTGTCACGATCACGCCGGTCATTATCCCGATCCCGATCTAGAATCACACGCTCTCGGTCACGTTCACGATCGCGATCTCGGTCTCGATCCAAAATGCGGTCTCTTTCACGATCCCGATCCCTCTCACGCTCACGGTCGCGCTCGCGCTCGCGCTCTCGTTCCCGATCCCACCGAGCATCGCGTGACCGACTGCGTCGTCTAAAGGAATCTCGATCGTCGATATAGGGCATCCGACCACGACCACGTCCCGCATCCCACTCACCCCGGCCACGACCTCGCATGGGGGGACCGCCGCGGGGATGGTGGCTGCCACCGGAGGGGACATCGGGCACTGCCGAGGAAACCGAAATCAAACTGTCGCGGGAACCACGTCGCATCCGAACGATATCAGCATCCCGTCCTAGGGGCTCTCTCATATCTCGAAAGTCACGGGGAGGCGGAGGAGAGCGGGAACGACCGCGACCAAAACCGATGCGTGATTCTCGGGGGTCGAAATCGCGGTCGCGGCGACCCCAATCCCGTTCCCGGTCGATGTCGCGGCGAAAAGGCGGAGGTCCATCACGGATATCTCGAAAGTCACGGTCGCGTTCTCGATCGCGATCCCGTATATCTCGGTCCCGTTCGCGAAAGTCTCCACGGCCGGGATAGCCTCTGCCACGACCGCCAAACGGGGCTCCTCGAGGGGGGTCGATCAACGCCTTGGGACCGCGAGGCGGCTCCCTACCGAGAGGAGGCAAATTCGTATCGTCCGAGCCGCGCGGGCCAGAGGGAGGTCGACGGTCACCAAAGCGCTGGGGCGAACGGTCACGGGAATTGAACCCAGACAATGGAGGGTATCGTGAAGACATCACCAGGTCATGCTAGTGAGCAAGAGCTAGAGTAACCGGGCAGGAGAGCCTGCCACAGGTTAGTTGGAAAGAATCTAACGAAGGATTCAACGAGGGAATGAAGTGCAATGACAAAAGGAGTAAAAGAATGACCGTGAATAGGAAAAGAGGCAGGACAGAACAGTCCCAGCAGCGGCAGCAGCAGCAGCAGCAGCAGCAGCAGAGTAGCCGGCGAAGCAGAGCCGAGCGCGCGCAAGACGGCGAACGAATGTGGAGAACACGTGATGTGGAAGCATGGGAAGGGCACGGGCCAGGCAGGCCCGAAGGAGCTTAGCTAAGCCGCCAATAGGCCGGCGCGAAATCTGGGCGGATCCCAGTTGGGAACAAGTCAAGATGGATGATTGACGGATTCCATCACCTTAGCGGCAGCCACTTGGCGCGGCCTGTTTCAGCCGGAACTGGCAGGCTTGTGGGACACCCAGGCCGAGAGGGGAGACCAGCAACAAACAAAGACCGTCAACGACATCCCGACTCGATCATCCGATCAGCAGCAGTACCAGCTGGGGATTGATTGAAGGGCGGGTGGTGGTGGTCAAGCCTGGTCAGTGGCCACAGCCGATCCCGTCTCCCCGGGAGCAAAGTGAAGCACGATCCCGCATCCATGGCCACCCCCGACCAAAGGGGAGGGTAGAGATAGGCCGAAAAATCAAAACCGGGCATAAAATGGACAGCTAACCAGAAATCTCCGCACCTTGAAGTCAATGCAACGTGTCAGGCAGTGAACCCAACGGACACCTGCAAGGAGTCGAAGCTGGGCAGCAAAATCGAACCGCTACGGAAAGCTGCCTGTATTGGAGACGGATCCTTGGTGATCTCGGAAGTAAGAGCCGGAAATGGGGGAGGACCAGCCTGTGGAGGAGAAAACGATGAAAAGAAGAGTGACGGGGATCAAAAGGGACAGGTAGAAGGGAATAGACAAAGCGAAGGGGTTGAGAGAGTGAAAGAGACGGGGAGGTTTGAGGATCTTGAAAGACGGACGGAGGAACGAGAAATGGGGCAGAGACGATGGATCCGAGGCGAGCCAGGCGTTTGGATGGTTTAGTTGGTCAGGGACTCTTCTAGGGGAACTCAAAAATAACTTGACCTGGAGGGAACTAGGCGTGCATGCCTAAGGCCAGACCCTCCTGCCTAGTCAGGATGCACGATATCATGCCTCAGGCAGGACGATGACCCGGTTCTCTCCCGGCGAAGGCTCGGTCTCTGTCACTCCGCTGCCGCTGCCAGTTTCCCGAGCAATGACGGGTGCCTGAGGCAGAGAACCATCGGCCCATGCGATGGCGCGTGTCACCGTCCCCGCCATCGCCCTGCAGAAAAATTGTTTCCAGAAGGAGGGGACATTCAACGACCCGCATTACTGAGCGTCCCATCCATTTCTGCTTATAGATCTTATTATATTGTCATCATTAGACTCAACTCTACCGCTTCTGTTCTTTTCTCTTCTGCTTCTCAACTAAATCTCTTCCTAACTAAATAGTCATGTCTTCCCACGAAGCTGCGGGAAACGCCCCTCCCTCCGCCGTCATGGATGCGGTTCTGGTGGCCTCGGAGCCCGTGCCTGAGGGTACCCAGAAGGTTAGCGGCGTGGACTTCGACCGCTTCCAGGGCCGTGATATCACGGTCGCGGAGATGGTGGACAACATGAAATACATGGGGTTTCAGGGTAGTGCGGTCGCCGAAGCTGCCCGCATCGTGAACGACATGGTTAGAGTCCCAATTCCCATTGAGCCTACACCGCGGCTAATTCGTTTCTTATTTACGCAGCGAGCCTATCGCCATCCAGAATCCGGCGAGAAAACGACCATCTTCCTCGGATATACCTCCAATCTGATCTCGTCCGGCCTCCGAGACACCATCCGCTACCTGGTTCGCAACCGTCATGTCTCCGCCATTGTCACCACGGCGGGCGGAGTGGAGGAGGATCTCATCAAGTGCTTGGCTCCAACCTATATGGGCTCCTTCACCGCTCCCGGTGCTGGGCTTCGGGCCAAAGGATTGAACCGGATCGGCAACCTTATCGTACCGAATAGTAACTACTGTGCTTTTGAGGACTGGTTGATTCCTATTCTGGATAAGATGCTGGAAGAGCAGGAGGCGGCTAAGAAGAAGGCACTGGAGACGGGCGATGAGGAGGACGAGTTGCATTGGACCCCCAGCAAGATCATTGAACGCCTGGGCCGTGAGATCAACCACGAAGACTCCGTGCTGTACTGGGCGGCTCGTAACAATATCCCGATCTTCTGCCCCGCCCTCACCGACGGCTCTCTGGGCGATATGCTCTACTTCCACACTTACCGGTCCTCTCCCCAACGGCTGCGGGTAGATATCGTTGATGACGTGCGTCGCATCAACACCATGGCCGCCCGGGCCGCCCGTGCGGGCATGATTATCCTCGGCGGAGGAATCGTCAAACACCACATTGCCAATGCCTGTCTGATGCGGAACGGAGCCGAGCATGCGGTATACATCAACACGGCGCAGGAATTTGACGGCAGTGATGCGGGGGCCCGACCGGACGAGGCAGTGAGCTGGGGTAAGATCAAGGCCGATGCCAAGGCCGTCAAGGTCTATGCGGAAGCAACCGTGGTCTTCCCCCTCATTGTCGCCGCCTCATTTGCACGAGCCAGTGAGGAGGCCCCCAACGGTGAAGCGTCTCAGAACTGAGAGTCGGCATCACACGTGACATGGAGGAACACTCCTTGCTCATTTCATACCTACGCCTCCATACTCTTCTCCTTCAACAATTGCTCTTTCTGTACCCAACCATTTTCTGCCTGCCGGGAGAGCCTCCTCAACATCGGCGGGTCCAGGCGTGGCAGAGACGCTAGACCCCACGGGAGAAGGGAACCGCGAAAAAATCTAGAAGGGGGCAAACCGGATGGTGAGTTCCGATGAGCACGCAAAAGGTTCAGAGTAAAATCTGCATGGAGGGAGGACCCCTTGGAGACCCGGAACCTCGGGACCAAATGGCATCAACCTCGGGGGGCAAAAGTTTCAAAGACGAGAGCAATGGTCGATGGCAAATCATAGTGCTTCGTTTGACTGGATCGTCGGAGCGTTCCACCGGTCGATCAGGGCGGTCGGCACGGGGCTTTTCAGGCAAGAGGGTTCGCCATCCGAGTCCCTTGCCACCATTCGTACACCCAGTGGGGGAGACAAATTGTCAATCGGGGACGAAGCAGAAGAAGCAGAGGGGCTGCGAAGAGGAACATCGACATGGGCGTTGGAGGAGGGCAGCATGATAAGATTAATAACTAAGCGTCTAGGATAGAGAGAGCCAAATGACAGGTCAGTTCCTGCTTTTTTTGCCTACAGGGATGCGATGCTCCGCGTAGTCGATCAATCACTGGGGGGGCGGGCGGGCGGTCGAATCGCAGGCGGGTATCATATCGATTCCCCACCATTTCCTGGGAGGGTGGCAATCGTGGAAGAATTCCATCGGTGGGTTCGAGGGGGATGAAGAGGAGAGGGGCAGCAGCAGCGATGAAGTGTCCACTGGCCAGTCAGGCAACATGCCAACCAGCGGTGAGGGCCCGTGATTTGGCTCCCGGCTGCGTTGCCGCCTCATCCTCGATCCCCTCGACCCTCGCTGTTTCTTTTGGCGGCCTCGAGTTTTTCCCCCATCGTTTCTTTTCTTTTTTAATTGCCCGTTCACTCCTGACCTTCGATCGACCTTGGCTGGCTCCGGGGTTGACCTCTTTTTCTTCTTTCGTTTCGGATCTTCCTCTCCTCTCTCCTTTTTCCCTTCCCTCCATCTTTCACTGTTGCGTCTCTCCCGCCGACTCCCTCGTCTGATCGTTCGTATACTCCTCCGTCCGTTACTAGTCAGCCGCTGTGCCTTAATTTTTGCCGCTCTGGGCCTAGGCTCCCCCCGGTCGGCCCCCCTGATAAGCTCCTGTTGCCTGTTCTTATCGCCCCATTCTAGACTTTCATTGCTTCGTGGTGTTGTCTGCTCTGTGCTGTCTGCTGGCCAGGATCTGCCTGTGCTGGACTTTCCCCTCCATCCCCCCTCCTCCCCTTGCGTTCGTGGGAGGTCTCCTCGAGCACCAGGTGACATTGCCTCAGCCTTCTCCGCGTTTGCATGTCCCTTTCCTTTTGAGCAGTCGCATCCAGCCTGGCTGCCAAGGCTGCTCGTGTTTCTCGCCTTGACTCAGCTGCTGTTCTACCGTCATTTGATTATCGGCTCTTTTATTCCTTTCTTGTGTCTTGTGGAGTTTGACCTAGTCATCTCTCTCGCTTCGATCGTGCTCTGACACTCAAGCTCATTCTTCACAATGGATCCCACACCCGACGTTGGTGTCACCGTGGAGGAACACCTACCACCGATCATCCTCAGCACTCAAATCTCGTCCACTGAGCCGGTCAGAGAGACCACCGTGACCATCGATGCAGCTTCAGAGGACCTTACAGACCCTCCCACAGACACCATACTATCAAGTGCGCCCTCACAACCCGACTCTCGGGAGGATGTACATCGGGTGGAGGAACAATCCCCGGTGCAAGCCGACCCAGTATCGGCTATCCGTCCGCCGCAGCCCGAACTTGAACACGCTTATTGGGCAGACATCGAGGAGGATTTGTCGGTTCCGGACGATGCAGAAATGAAGGAAATCGAATCCGCAGCCGATGGCGATTACAGTGCTTATGAGTGTAGGTCACCAAAATACGTTGATGGACACGTCAAGACTATGATCGCTGACAGTACTAGATGACTACTGGGAGAAGAATTTCCACCCCGATCTCGATGATCCCGAGTACCGCCCGGTGGAGAAGGCTCGCATGACATGGAAAATCAAGGGAGTTCGAGGCACTCCAGACTCTCCGAACCGGGCTAAGATCATGCGTTCGCCGCCGGCCTACATGGGAGGTTATTGGTGGACCATCAAGTTCTTCCCTCGTGGAAACAACGTCGGGTCACTGAGTATCTACATTGAGTGTTCCCCGACGATGCCCACTCCTGACAAGAACCTGCCCGAGTGCGACTTCAAAGTGCTTCACGGCCCAGCCGACGCACCTCTGGATGTCAACACGCCGGATGTTGACACGACGCTCGCTCAGACCGACGACACGGCGGCTTGGTTGGAGAATTTCAAGGCCCAGTATCGTCCTGCAGCCGACCAGGCCGGATCCTCCTCAAAGTCCTGGCGAGTGTCAGCCCAGATTGGCGTTATTCTATACAATCCAGACGAACCGCGGACTGGGTGGATGCAGTCGTCGTGCCATCAGTTCAACCCACACAACCTGGACTGGGGCTGGACTAACTTCCACGGCCCGTGGGACCAGATCCACCGCCGGCAGCGGGGCCAGCGCCAGGCGCTCCTCCGCAATGACACCCTGGCGTTCGATGCTTATATCCGCATTGTTGACGATCCCACGCGCTCACTTTGGTGGCATGCCAGTGACACCGAGCCGACCTGGGACAGTCTGAGTCTGACAGGCTATCGGCCCTTGGGCGACTCGGTTATCAACCATAGCGCGGAGGTCGCGGGGTTGGCCACTTGGGTGCATCTGGCTCCTTTCTGCAAGATCATCCAAAATGCCAATGTTCTGGAGCACCTCAACGACTGTGATGTCAAGCCTAAGCCTCTTTGCGATGCACTCCAGAAGTTTCTGTGGCAGCTGCGTTCTCGGGGCCAGTCTCTCCAATATGTGGACACTGACATGATCACCTCGACCTTGCGGAATCTGCACGAGTATTCCGGGGATGTGTGTGAGTTCTGGGAACGGCTGCGCCGTACCCTCGAGATTGAACTTGCTGGTACAGACGCGGTAAAGGAACTTGCCAAGCTGTTTGACAGCCCCTCCCTTGACTCGCTTCCACAGGAAGCGCAGGGTCAGGATGTGATTAATACCGTCCCCAAGGATTACAACTCGCGCATCTGCGTGCCCGCTGACCAAGCCAAGACCACCAGCGAAGCGTTCAGCTGGTACTTGGGTGCGAAGCCCGGACGCTGGGTGCTTCCACCCGTCCTCCACTTGGAATTGGGCCGCCAGAAGCTGGACAAGGCAGCTCGCCAATGGCGATTGCTCTATAATCGGGTCGACCTAGACGAGGAGCTGGACTTGACACCATGGCTGCTGGATGGCCAGTGCGGCAAATACGTCCTATACGGTTACATCGTCCACCGTGGTCGGCGCACCTCGGGCAAGTTCTTCAGCATTCTTCGACCTGGAGGTCCCGGGACCAGATGGCTCGCCTTCGATGATGGCAGCGACAATCGTGTGGAATGCCTGACTCGCAAGACAGCTCTGGGACCTCACCTCGGTCTTGACGCTTCGCAAAAGGTGGACCATAAGACTGGTCACGATGTCGCCATTGCTGCGATGTACATCCGCACCGATGTCGTCCAGGAATTCTTGCCTGGCCCCCAAGGGCCATGGGATGCTCCTGAGAGACTTAAGGAGTATTATGAAACAGGAATCTATCCTGTGCAGTCGGAACCCCAGTCCGAAAAGGATGAAATTCAAGTGGAAGTCTACTCGCTGCCCAAGTACGATCAGCTGGGCAGCTTGTTCGATACATATGATCTGATGTCGCAGTCGAAGGCAGAAAATAGTGTCATGTATCTGACTGTGCCTCGATCGTCCAACTATGTTGACCTTCGCAAGAAAATTGCGATGTGGGCATCTGCAAAGTCTGGCGAAAGCGCCTGTGCGGAGCATGTTCGTCTCTGGCAGATTGGTCACACTCGTGACCAGTTTGGTCCTACCCTTGCATTTGCTCGGATTTCAGATTTGACGAGCACCTTGAACTTCCCTCTGAAGACCGCTCGTTTCTGGATGCAGATTGTTTCAGATGGTATGTCTTCTCACCTCTTACTTGCCATTTGGCTCATCGACTGACTGAACAACAGAGAATGCGAAATTTTTCGCCATCGCGGATCCGCCACAGGCGATTGAGATTCAATCGAAGCCTGAAGAGGCTGTTGTCGAGCGCGCTGGCTCGGAATCCTCGGAGGACAGACTCTCCCTCCCCGAAGGTGAGGCCCGCGCAAGCTCATCCGGCACGCTGGGTGGCATTGAGCAGCCGGCATATGGCAACGCAGTCAATGTGTCCCACATCGAAGTAGTTTCTCAGGACACCGTGCCTGCAGAGCTGAGTGGTACCGATGAGCTTGTTCCTGGCAATTCGGAGAACGATGCGGTGATCGCTGCCATCATTGCGGAAGATATCCAGCAGTTGGATACCGACAGAATCTCCGATGAAGTGCCCCCAGCTATCGAGGAGCCCAGCGAGGCACTGGCGCCTCAGACTGAGACTGAATCCAACCCGACTGCGGACGTGCCCGCTCCCTCAGTCGAGTCTGAGATCACTCAGCCCGTTGACCACGTCTACTACTTCATTCAGAAGTTTGATGTCGATGCCCAGGCCCTACGGACAGTGGGATCTTTCTTCTCGAAGAAGGAGGAGAACATCAAAACTGCCGTCAGGAGGCATCTGAAGTTGCCGCCGATGAAGGACTTCCAGATTTGGCAGCGTGTGGATGGCACCACTGTGACAACAATGTCATCTGGCGAAACATTCGAGGTCTATGTCCCCGATGGCACATGCTTCATCGTCGGTGACAAGTTGACCAAGGACAGGTAGGCATCTTCCCCAACCATAAAACATTAACTGGTGCTAACTTTCTTTCAGACGCTCTCAGCTTAACGTGGCCGGTCTCTTCGGCAACCCCGATCAAATGGTCCGCTACCTGTGGGCTGAATCACGTAGCCACCCCACCCGTGCTTTCACAGGTTCTAAGACCATCGACGCGACCTTCACCAATGATTACTATAGCGGCGAGTTCAAGAAGGGCTACTTCCACGGCAAGGGCAAACACATCTCCGACCTCGCCGCTACCTATGTGGGCGACTTTGTCCTCGGCAAGCGGCACGGAAACGGGTTCATGGAGTACCCGACCGGAGACACGTACGACGGCGACTGGTTTGAGGGTATTTGTCACGGACAGGGTACCTACGTCGAGCGCAAGACCGGCAACAAATATGTCGGTGGTTACAAGGATGGCAAGCGCCACGGTAAAGGCATCAGCTACTGGGAAGTGGCCGACGAAGAAATGGATCTGTGTCAGATCTGCTACGGCGAGGAACAAGACGCCCTGTTCTATGATTGCGGTCACGTTTGCGCATGCGTTACCTGCGCCCGACAGGTCGACCTGTGCCCGATCTGCCGCAAGAGCATTGTCAGTGTGGTGAAGATCTACCGGACATAGAGCATAGAGCACAAGTGCTACGCTGATACTTCAGTGCATCGCACGGTGCATCAGGGGGTTCCCTTGAGCCCCTTCATTTGATTTAAGTAATCTTGCATCGGAGAATATATCATACCCAGGATGTTTTAAAGACGGAGTTTTGGTTTGATTTGGTTATCAGATTCAATGTTGTCAGATTTGGAGTTCTAGATGTATTGTTGATGTTTTATTTATCTACTTCTTTTCTATTACCTTGCTGCAATCAGAATATAGTACTACAGCTGAAATAGAAGCATACAAGACACAATTCACTATAGCTCATAGTGACAAACATCCCATACAAAACCCCTACAACCGCAACAAATCCCATCCGAACGTTTTTGTCCCCATAAAAACCGAGACAAAATACTCCCGAGGTACTACAGGTAAATAGTCCCTCAGCGGAATCACAAGAAGCACGATATAAATTGGACAGCCGACTAATCTCACATAAATGCTAAATCTATCAATCAATGATTCGACTGAGCTATCTGTACGAAGAATTACTTACAAGGAAATCATAGTATATTTGCCTGATAGAAAAGGCGCCGTCAATATCGAGGCCTCACGTATGATATGCTTTGGAATAGATTTCTACATAAACAAGCTACGCACGCACACATTGGCTAGGAAAAGAATTGGAATCATCGAAAGAAAATAATGGTATCTATTGACTCAACCAGCCCAGTAACTAGAAGCTATCTATGTACCACCATCATATAGGAAGAAAAAGATTCAGATGCGCATGCGCCGCCCATACATAACCAGACACGACAAAGAAAAACAAGACAAGATAAGCGAGATGAAGATGCTTTTGGTCAACCACAACGTAGAATACAAGAATGAAGAAGAAGATGAGGAAGATGAAGGATCATAGACGAAGACAAGCCGGATTAGGTGGGTATGTATTCATTTATTTCTTGCCTGCTTTCTTGGCCTTCGTAGCGGGCTTCTTCTCCGTGGTGGTGGAAGGGGATTCTTGTGTGGCGGCGGGTTGTTGTTGCTTCTTCGTGACTTTCTTGGCGGGTTTGTTGTCGGTGGTGGTGGTCTCCTTGACCTTCTTTTCGATGGCCGGGGCGGGCTCGTCCTTCTTCTGCTCCTTGGTGGGGGCTTCCTTCTTTTCCTTCTTGTCGGCGGGCTTGGGGGAGGCTTCCGTGGCGGGGGTTTCGGTGGTCTCCTTCTTGGATTTCGAGGGCTTGTTGAGGACAGCCTTGGGGTTCAGACCCTTGCGACGGAGGCGGTTGCGCTCTGCGCGGGCGATGCGTTCGGCGTCTGCTGGGTCCTCCTCGAAGGGTCCGAAGCTGCCGCCTTCGGTCTCAACGACCATGCCGTCCTCGTCGGCGATGGGGGTCTTGTCGATGATCTCGTCGTCGGTGGAGGTCACGGAGGGGGTCTTGGAGGGCTTAGCCTCGCCGGTGGAAGGGGCAGCCGCGGCATCGCCGGCCTTGGTGGCAGGGGAGGGGCCGGTCTTCTTGAACTTGGAGACGAAGAAACCGTCGACGTTCTCGCGGTGGGGGAAGTAACGTCTCGTCAGGGTCATCTTGGCATCGAAGTGCTTGCCCATGTAGCTCGTCATACCGGGGCTACCGAAGTCGCCGAGACCGGTGTCGACCAGCTTGACGTTGGGGCGCTTGCGCAGGACGTACTGAACGACGGCCTCGTTCTCTTCCACGGTGACACTACAGGTCGAGTAGACGACGTAACCGCCAGTTTTGGAGTTGTGGTCAACCGAGTCGATGGCGGCGAGGAGAAGCTGGCGCTGCATGTGGGGGATAGCGAGGAAGTCACGCTCGTTCTTGGAAGTCTTAACACTGGGGTCCTTGGAAATGACACCAGTACCGGTGCAAGGAGCGTCAAGAAGAACACGGTCGAAACCACCCATGGCCCTGGGGAAGGCGGTACGGGCATCCATGTGGGTCACAATGGTGTTCTTGCATCCCAGACGGTGAATGTTACCAATCAGACCCTTGGCACGGGGCTTGCTGGCATCGTTGGCGATGACACAGCCAGTGTTGCGCATGAGGGCGGAGATGTAGGTGGTCTTACCACCGGGGGCGGAGGCCATATCGAGAACGCGCTCGTTGGGCTGCGGGGCGAGTGCCATGACGGGAAGGAAGGAAGAGGCAGCTTGGAGAATGTAGTGACCAGCCAGATATTCGGGAGTAGCACCAAGGGGCACAGCGGATTCGAAGACCTGGAGACCGACCTTAGACCACTTGCCGACGGGCTCGAGCACCACACCACGGTTGATCAGGGCCTGGGCGAGAGAACGACGGTTGGTGCGCAGGGTGTTGGTACGGATGACGACGGGACGGGGGGTTTCGTTGGCCTCGAAGAAGGCGAAGGCTTCCATGGGAGTGAAAAGGTTGAAAAGCTTCTCCGCGAGGAAGGGGGTGTAGCCGTAGTATGTGCAGATGTCGCCGAGAAGGAGCTCGGTGTAATCGGTACGAGACTTGCCGGGCTGGCCGAGGGTCTTCAGATCGCCCAGGATGCGAATGGTGTCGGTAATTCTCGTGCGGAGCAGCTGGAGGTCAGGCGCCAGACCGGGCTGGACATCATCGCCGAAGACATCGGGACGGTCGCCAGCGATGTTAGTCTGCATAGCCGATTCCTGCAATTCTCGCTCGGCCTCTTCTTCCTCCTCCTGTCTGGCGAGATCCAACTTCCGCGACAAACCCTCGATGTTGGCTGCTGTGAGCTTCTCTTCTGCGTCGGAAAGGTCTTCGTCGGAGAACATGGTTTCGCGAGGGTGGTCGTCTTCGTCCGAATCCATGATCGAGTCGTCGTCGTCCTCCTCCTCCTGGCTGTCCATCGAGCCATCACTGACACCATCCAGATCCTCAAACTCATCAAGCATCGACTCGTCCAACTCCTCGAGTTCTTCCTCCTCATCGTCCGAATCCATGAACTGGGGCTTCTTCTCGACGGGCTTGGCCTTAGCTTTGCCCTCAGCCTTGGTCGCCTTGGTCGTCTTGGTCTCCTTAGCGTTAGCAGCACCATTGGCCTTCTTCTTCAGCACGGGCTTCGCGACCTCCTCCTCGTCGGCATCAGCTCTTCTCCGCTTCTTGCCCGCCTCGGCCTTCGACTCGGCCTCACCAGCCTTGCGTTTCTTGAGCATGGTGATTTTGGACTCATCGAGCGGGGCCGGGGGGCCCTGCTTCTTCATACGACGACCACGACCCATTGTGAACTGTGAATGTGATGCGGGATAAAAGTTGGTTGTTCTTCCGCGCAACTGAAGCGGAGAATCTCAACTTTTTCTTCGCTTCTTTTTTTTCTGCGGGCGGTCGACACCGGCAAATCGATCCCGCAAAGGCGGTGTGTATGCTTCATGCTGCCTGAGGCAGAAACTGAAGTCACCGGCGGCTTCAGGACCTCCCGATTGGGTAATGCGAATGGCCGCAATCCACGATTACAACACCTCAACGTCCCCGCCATCACCACATACAGACCCCTTTCCTCACCACACTCGACCGGCATACTCTACCGAAGAATACCGTCACCATGTCGGAAGTCTCCTTCGTCAAAACCTTCCTCTCAGCGCTGGACTCCCGCCCCATCAAGCTCCGCGCCGACTATGTCCTTGACGAAGAGCAAGTCGGACCACGAGTCCCTGTACGTCCTGTCCACCCTCTCCCAAACACCCTCCCAATTCTTATCCCCCTCTCCATATCAAACCCAACTAACCCAATCCCAAACAATCCAGTACCTCCTCCCTCGCCTCCAAGCCCCTCACCCGGAGATGCCCAAAAAAGTAACCCCCACCCTGGCGCCCGGCTCCTCGAGATCCATAACCGTGCATCTGAAATCGGCCCGGAACCCCGTTCTCGAATTCTCCCTCCCCAACGCCCCCATCTCCACAACCTCCGTCCAGGACCTCAAAGACGCAGTCCGGGACCGTGTCGCCGACGCACAAGACAACAAGATCTCCCTGGACAAGATCAAGATCCTGTATAAGCGGAAGCCGGTGACGGGGAAGACGATCGCGGAGGTATTGGCTGATGAGCCGGGGATGTTGGCGGGGGGGAAGGAGGTGGAGTTTGGGGTGATGATTATGGGGGGTGCGAAGGTTGTTGTTGATGATGATGCTGTGGGGGGGCAGGAGAAGGAGGAGGGGGGTGTTTCTTCTACGCCTAAGCCGGCGGTTGGACCGAGTGGGGAGGAAGTGTTGCAGACGGAGGCGTTTTGGGATGATTTGCAGGGGTTCTTGGAGCAGAGGGTGAAGGATACGGAGGAGGCGAGGAAGTTGAGGGAGTTGTTTAATGGGGCTTGGGTGGCGAGGAGGTGATGGGTTGTCTGTCTGTCTTTCTTTTTTGTTCTTTTAGTTAAATAATATCTTGGTATTGGTATCGGGTGTGAGTGGGGGTTGGTGTGTAAGTATGTGTGTATGTCTGTATGTGATACCTTCTATTGAATACTTTGGGATTGAGCTGTGTCTTTGGGTCGACGGTTGTATATGGGAGAGCGCATGCATGTCAAGTAGTAGAGGAAAAGGAAGAATATTTTCAGGCTAGAATACTACCTACAGCCCGGCTATTTAATGCGTCTATCATTCACATTGATGCCCTTTTCCATTCACTCATCAACAGGGGCTAGCAAATTGAAATTGGGGCAGAAATCAGACAATGTACAGGCTGGTTCGAGGCTCTAACAGACGGGGAAGGAAAATCATCATACAACATTCGTGCATAGGATCCCGGGTGCGCTGAAAACATCATGAGGGCCGAGGATATTCAAGACATCCAATATGGTTGGCCCATGGTCTGCAAAGTCTTATTCATGAGAACACACCAAGAAAGTCACAGGTATCAAAATGGTCGTGTTGAGAAGACATCTTCCAGACGATGGCAGGCAAACACTTGAACATCATGGGGGAGTATAAAAGCACACATTATATCCTCTCGCCGGTACCACATGGGGTATGTGTATCATGAGAGCGGAGGGAAATAGGAAACAGAATAGGTATGGATAAACAAAAGCTCGTGCCATCCGGATAGGATAGCCGAGCGAAACAGCTGATTGTCAATAGAAAGGGTAAAAGTAGAAGGAACTATAACCACAGGAGTAGAAAGGAACATATGCCAGGTAGATTGACACCGGTGCAAATGCTCGAGAGTCGGCCAATCGCTCATCCATCTCATGCGTTCAAAGAACATGCCGTAAGCAAAGAAAGAATCAGCTGCAAGAGAAGAAATCATACATCAACACAAGGGCCTCGCTATCTCGAGAACACCTTGACTACACCGTCGCCACCCCCACTGATAACCCAGCGGCCGTCACGGCTCCAGACGGCGGCACACACTCCCTCACCACGCATCAGCCGGTGACTCGTGATTTCTTGAGTGCAGCTCCGCTTCTCGAGGTTCCAGAACCGCAAGCTGGCATCATGACCCGCAGAGACTAGCTCACGTCCATCAGGGGAGAGCGAAAGCGAGGCAATCGCCGAAGGATGGGCCAACATGGTATATGTGCATTGGCCTAAATCTAAGGTCAGTAGACGCGCAGGAAACAGGAGGCTTTCGGGAACATACCACTGTTGGCATCGAAAAAGCGAATATAACGGTCTTCATATCCGCTGATAATCACGCCTTCAACACCACTGGAGCCAGTCGCGCCGTGGACGACTTCTTCCTCGCCCATTGTCCGACTAGGGTCAAGTCCGGCGGACCCATCGAATCCAACTGTAGTAGCGACCACCGAGTTCACACCAGTTGAAGGTGTGCCGTCATACGTCTCCAGACTCGCCATACCTACAATTTCTTCGCCGGTCCTTGTATCATACACGAGAATTGAAGCGTCTGTGTAGGACACGACAAAGTTGATGCCTGCAAGCGACAACGGGCTGATGCAAGTCGGGGAAGGTGACTCAGTCCGAACGATTTGACGAACCATTGTGTAGTGGAACGGCGTTGTAGTTGCCGTGCTGGGTTGCGGTGATGACGGGAAGTTAGAGCCAGAGGAGATCGAATTGGCTCGCCGGCTTCCCCCAGCGCGTCTAGAGCCTGCTTGGGGCGAAGAAAGCTGCGGGGGAGCGCTGACAGCCCATATGATTATGCGACCGTCCGCACCACCAGATGCGAGTAGGATACGGTCAGGCCCTCCGTAATGGTTGCAGGAATCGCCAAACACAGAGCCCGCAGTGCCCGGGAGAACGCAAAGACCCCAGACAGCGTCCGTGTGGCCATCAAGAGTCGCCTTAGGATCAACCCTTCCGCGTTCCCACACACGCACACTGGCGTCTTGTCCACCGGAGAAGACCCAACCATCACCTAATGCACGTCCTCCGTTAGAGAAGTTTTGCGAGGGAGAGCACGCAGCAAGCGCAGTCACAGCTCCCACATGTCCACGGTGGGTGAAATAGCTGGTGATGTCTAGGTCGCTGCTCGAGCTCGCGCCAAATGTGCCGTAGGTTGCGGGTATAATCCACCGTTTGATCGTTCCGTCGTCACTGCATGTACAGATCTCGGGCTCAGAAGGACTTCCACCACCAGTAAATATCACCGAGCGAACGACATCCAGATGACCGCGGAGGGCGAACCGGACCTTGAACGTAGGTTCTGGTTTAGGACCCGCTGCAAGATCAACGGCACCGTCGCTCTTCCTCCTAGTACCAGAACTCTTCCTTCTATGAGAAAGTGACCCGGACCGTTGCGGAGACTTCGACCCGACAAAATTAGCGTTCGGAAAAGCGTCAACATCAGGCCGATGCGGCGGCACCTGTTCCGTCGGTGGTGCTTGGTCGGTCGGCTCATCGAAGTTCCAGCCATCCGTATCCTCCGCATTCTCTTCTGTCTGCTGTCTTGTGGGGTTCTGTCCCGCTGCTTGCGTACCATACCCATCATATGCCTGCTCCCCCTGGGCAGCGCGCTCATCCATCAAAGAATTGTTAAGGCCTTGCTTCCGATTGTCAATAGCGGTGAGCGGGGTCTGTTGTGGCTCAAGGGGCCGTCTTTCCATCGCTTCTCTAGTAGCGGGTGGGAAGCCAAACTGGCTTTGCGCGCGGGACAAGGCCGCGGTATCTGAGTAGTGTGTGATCACGGGTTGGTGGTTCTGCAGCGCCACCTCTCGGGCCATTACATCGTTCGCTTGTTGCTGTTGGTGATGTTGCTGCTGTTTCTGACGCTGTTGCTGAATGTACGCCTCCTCCAAGGTCTGCTGTGACAGCTGCTGGTTGCCGTAGATATGGTTTTGGAGATCCTGCTCACTGAGCTCCGGAGGCGGGTGTGACGAAGGAATAACATGGAACGCAACCTCCTGAGAGCACTTTGACAGATACAGTCGCGACTTCTCTCGCTCGGTCTCTTGCCGGAACTCGTGTTCATTCTCAAGGTTCACGTCGGCGTCATTTGGGCCCGTATGAGACTTGGGACGTTGAGCTGGATTCTGATCAGTACACAGATGCAGCAACACTAATTAGCCAGAATCTTACCTTTCAAGGCGTTAATGCTCTCCCGGGCAATCTCCTTGGGATCTCTCGCGTCCTCAATCTTCTCGTTGTTGCTGAGCTTCTTGACCTTCTCTCGCTCCTTCTTCAAGGCCGCCTCAAGCAGCCTCACGTGCTTTCCCAGTGATTCGTGTAGTCGTTTACTCGTGCGAACATCTCCCTCCAGCTTTCCAATGCGAGACTTCATCTCCGCGCGTTCGATTTCCCACGCATTGCGGTCTCGCTCGTGCCGGTGCCACTCCGTCTGCAGAAAGCGCATCACCCCTACAACCCCAAAATACAATTAGCCTCGACATATATCGTAATTCCATGTCCCACACAACCCACCTTGCAGAGTATATTCCGTCCCCTGGGGGTGCCCGCCGTTGGAAGACCCGTCGCCCCCGGGTCCGACATACCCTCCGCCCCCAGCCATGGCCGAGGGAGACTGCCAAGCCATGCAAAATCGACAATCGAGGGGGGGAGAATCGTAGAAGTCGTAGCGACTGAGCTGTGTAGCTCACAGCGTCGCCGACAGGAGGGTCGGGGGGGGGGGGTTCAAATCCGAACAACAGTGGGTGACCTGGTGATCGCAGCCGAGGAGTTGTTGTCGTGGTGTAAGCCAACAGGTCAGGGACGGGCGACAACGGCAGGAAGCGAAGTTCCAGGCCGTGTCAACTCCGAGAAGAAGGAAAACAAACAATGGAATATTCCAAAAGGCGGCAAGGACCCGTTCAGCGGCAGGGAAAGGAGACGGTCAGCGATGCGAGCTTGAGCCAAGACGATCGGACTGGTGCGCGTTCTCCTCGCTGAGGTCGGGGAAAGCCACCACCACCGCTGAGCTTTCGTTGGCTCCTTAGGCGCCCACGCGGCCGTAACCGCTTTTAGCGCTGGAGACCTGGCCTTTCCAGCCCCATGAAGATGTGGTCTGCGACCTGGGCGCGGGCTCAATTCACTCCAGGCCGGTATTCACTTGGGGGGTTGTACAAAAACTATCTGGTTTACGTGGTGGGAGCTTCAATTGCATGGCCCAGGTGTCGCAGACCCTGGCGACCTCCACCCAGCCGCTGGACGCTTCAGCTCCTGCGATAGACAGATCCGACTACAACAAACCTAAGGCACTAAACCCCAGCCCAGCCGCCAATCAGCGTAATAGCGGGCCTCGATTGCGGTTTAGCCTGGCAGGCCATGTAAGCACAACGTGTCGCTATTTTTATGGTTTTTGGGTTCACCAGCCATTGGGGTGGAATGCGGCCAGGGTGGCACCGCGCTGTCAATGAGCTTGGAACTTAGGAACAATGTTCAGCCCACATACCGGAACTCTCCTCTCCGGTTCTCTTCACAATTTACACAGTCTGCAGAGGGCAATCATGCATTCTCTTTTTTTACTTCCCTTGCATTCGTGATCTTTCAAAATATCCCCCCAACGCTCTATTCTAATTTTCTTAATGCTCCTTGCGCTCGCGATTCCTTCAGGACCTGTCACGTGGAGATAAGGATCCTGGATCAATCGGCTAAAGGGATAAAGGATCCGCGTTGCTTTGTTTCGAGTCACCCCGGGCCAATCTACAGTATCGCTCAATGGATGTCAACCTCTTTATACCAGACCTTACTATATTTGTAATAAATTTGGGCCTATGAGAATGCTGACAACTCATCACACAATTCATCATCATCCCTCTCCTGCCCATATAGCACTTCGCAGACTCCGCCTACTGGCACATCAAGCACAGCATCTGTCCCTTCACTCCATATCTCCTTCCAATTCACCTTTCGGTTTTGCGGGCCCATGATTTGATACGATGTCGCACCAGGCCTCATCTTTGCGGCTCCACCAGGTCGTCGCCGGCCCTTGCCATCAATGACTGCTACATTGGCCACCTCGTCCACAATATTCTCCATGCTTTTCATCGGCAGAGTTAGGTACCCCGTGTTATATGACGCCAGGGCAACGTATATGTAGATGATCGACATCACCAGCCACGAGGGAAACGCTAGCGACCACCAGCGGTTCGGGTAATAGTATATTCCGAGCTGGTGTAGGAAGGGGGACGGAAGGTAGGACCAGAGTATATAGATCACTAGTATCAAAAGTGTTAGTTTCACTCCAGAGCCACCGCACCCACTGATAGCAACTTACAAAAGGCTAAAGAAGACGCAAGGTATAGAACGAATCCGTAGTATTCATATGTCGGCACTTTGGGGCTCGCTCGCGGAACAGTCGTCGCACGTCGGGCTGACTTTGCGACAGCTGCCTCCGTATCGTTTGGTGTTTCAACATCGGAACTGTCAGGAGTGGTGGGTCGGGAAGTAGTCGTAGAGAAGGGGGGTCGAAGAAGGGATGTCAACGAGGGGGATGGGGGAAGCGGGGTAGGTGGTCGGTTGTAGAAGGGTGGAGCAAAGGCATTGGGTCCATGAAGTGAGCTAGAAGACTGTCGAAATGGGTGATGCATAGAAAGACCGTCCTCTGGCGACTGCTCGTCCGAGTCAGTGGATGCATCCGAAAAGGCCTGGTCCTCAAGGGAATATTGTGATTGAAAGTCAACATCATCTTCCGCCTCAATATCCGCATGAGAAGGCGAGGTTGGTTCCGGGTCATCCTCTTCGACGTAATCGTTGGTTTGCAGGCTTTGGGTTGTTGTCGCAAGGTCATCGGGGAGCGGCGGGAATGGTTGTTTAGGTTCGAATGAGGATAATACTGGTGGTGACTCCGAGTCATTCGACAAATATCCAGGATGTTCCTCTTCGTCATTACCGAGGCGAGACATCTTCCCGGATGATGGACCGCGACCAGAGACTGGTCATGCGCATAAAATTAGAAGTAGTCGCGCAACTGGATGTCGGCGATACTCCGCGCGGTATATACTGCCGCTATTCACCGCTCATGGTTCTTGCAAGAGATGTGTCACATCGTGAAATTAATCGAAACTAGCATTGATCTGTATGAAGAGAGTGTATGTGGCAATCAGACTAGCTAATATAATATATAACTGTTCAGTTTCCAAGAAACAGCATATCCCATCGCCACATTGGACGGTTCCGTTTGCAAGTTGGTTTCTGAGACTTGGCAAAATATATACTCCGTAATGGGCTACCAAAAGGGTTGGTAAGATTAGTGTATAGAAGTCTCAGCTTTGATTCTAGTAGTATCCCGATCAACGATCTATAGCCCAATATTTGAGACAAATTCAATGAGTACTAGGCAGATTCTGGCAATAGTTAGCTAGATATTTTGCTAGCATGACTTATACCGGGTATCATGCCATACTGTAGGCTATATTCATGAGTTTTACGATCAATGCCATTCTTTTCTATTCTGTCCCGAATTTAGTGCCCCCAGTATGGGAAGACTATATGTTGCACCCTGTTTCTGGAATCTATATTGTGCGGAGTTCCTTGCAGCTAAGCTAACGATGATAAGGCTTCTGGAATGGAGTTCAAGATACTTCTACTAACATGAACCAAACACCTTTTCTAGAACACTGGACAGAGTTGTTCTCCCGCCCCTCGGCAATCAGTTTCTCGGTTGGCTTCGGGTGCTTGACCCTGCTACACTACCGATTTCACTCGGACTACTATACAGTGTATGCCGTTGTTGAGTACAGTCAGCAGCTCACAGTAAGCAAGTGTGTGGGTCTCTTAAGAGAGACCTATTACTACATAATAGCAACGGACAGAGTCCAGATCAGCTTATTTCGGACCCAGCCTTGCGGCTTCCTTCACATGACAAAACATGCTCCAGTCCAGCCTGGCTTGATGGAATGCGAAATCCTGCTTTTCCTTTACTACCGCTAACAAATTTCGACAGTATGTTCTTCACCATAGGCAAGGCGTGACTTAGACCCTGGTCCCTACGGCGTATGACTGTGGTGATTGTCGGCTGACCGGCTCAGCCTTGTTACCACCACCCGGTCTAGTTCGTATCTATCAGTGAATAGACCCGCTTCACCAACAGGAGGTATCCGTTGTGATTGGGTGTCTTTACTCATACTAAATGCTTGCACTGAAATGTTCGGCCCCGCCTTGGGATCATTGACGTGTCCCTCATGTGGTATCGGCCCAGATGAGACTGGCCAGGCGGTTTAATTATCCATCGCTGCCCATAGTATATTTCAAGTCACCTCCTTGCGAGCTACGTGACGTGGAAAAGGCACAGAGCATCAGCCATGATGGGCATTTTGAGTAAGGCAACGTTCAACCTGCTCTACCGAGATCAGAGGAAGAAAATCGCTCGGTTTCATCGCAATACCACACCTGGTTAGTCAGTCAATAGCTGGTGGCATCGAAGGATAAACAGTGAACCTGAACAAAAGCATTCTAGACTCTGTTCTTTCAGACCTGCACACCTGCCTCGTTCGGGAAGCAATCACCCCCATCACACCGCAAGCCGTCTTCTACGCGTCTAGCATCCAGGACTCGCCCCAGGAGCAGCCTTGTAAGTGATCCTTACCTACATGAGAGCTCAAGACACCAGTGAGCAATTTAGCTAGCCCATACCAGGAGAGACTGATAACATCCTGCATACTGTTCCAGATTGGACGAAAAAGAGTTTCAAAAATCATCTTGCCAGAACCCATCCGGACACGGACATCCCAGATGTAGCTATTAATGTCCTGTGGTCTTGCTTCTACTTCTACGCGTATTACCCGTTTCCGCTCCCCGGGGCGGCCGACAAAAAGCTGGAGCTGCCAGCCTTTGAGCGTGGATTGATCCTGCTGTCTCTCCAAGGCACGAGACTCCTCGGAGTCCTAGATTGTGAGTTAGGTCGCTCCTGGGGGCGGTACAAGGAGCTATGTAACTGCAGATTCAGGGTTAATCGGATTTTCCGAAGCATCAGCCCGGTCAATCGTCAGTCAAGTTCAGATCCACAAGTCGCTGGTTTTGAGTCCTGCATCACCGACGATGTGATAGATGCTATATTTCCAATATTCCCTTTCCACCCACTGCTGTGCCCATCCCTTGAACAGCTAAAGCCGCTGAGCGAACGTTTAGTCCAAGGGAGAACAGACCAATATCAGACGAAGGTCAACGACTTGGCTGCTTTACTCTGCCTGGTAATGAGGCTAGAAGTCCATAAAGTGACCTGGGGCCGAGACTTTCATTATGCCTCCTTCGAGGAATCTAGTCCGGAGAAGGAAGAGTTGGCTGATATTCTAGCCCGGTCATTCTGCCGTGGTTTGGACGAGTACCTGCCCCCCGACTTAGTAGTCCGGGGTTTGGATATCTTGGTAAGAATGGATCTATTTGTTGTCGTTCATCCTCTCAGCTGTGAGTCTAACAAGATTGCTGGTACCAGCCAAATCTCGAGCAATCGTTTCATCAGCTGTGGGCAACCATCTTTCAACCTTGCACGTCCACAGGGATCCCAAACCTGGAAACTGTAACCTCCCCCGACACCACAATGGACGGAATTCTTCGCTCAGTATCGTTATTTATTCCTCCTTTTGAGGCCCATAAAAGAGATGAAACAGCACGCAAGGTCAAGATGATCACTTTTCAAAAGTACTATGACACAACATTTCAGGGCTCGACAGACAGCCTTGATTTAGGTCATATACTCTCGCCAATTTCTCACGACAACCCGAACCGTCAGTCGCACCTTGTTCTTTTCCTGGGACATCAAGCCCAGGACTCGACAAGGGTAGTTGTGGGGGCATTCTTCCCCAGCTGTCCGCCGACCCCTGCTGCGAAAGAGGAAAAGGAGCCGGAAAAACCAGGCAACTCGAGAATCGCACTTCCACGGCTTCTATTCCAGCTTCAGCCAAGCTTCAGTCTGTTTCGATGGAACGGAGAGGACGACATGTCTTCCTCTCAAGCATACAACAGTGCCACATGGCATACCGATCACCCCGATTGCATAGGGGATTCCAAACGATCGAGGGTGGGAGTGAAGATTGACCCCGTCACAAGACAGGCTACCTTTCTGCGAGGCACAGCGACTGCCGCCAATCGAATGTCAGGCGGGTATGAAGAGGTAACCAGGAAGTATCCCGGGACTGAGAGCATTGATGGGGATCAGCAAGAGCCAAAAACAGACTTCACAGTGACCCGTATTGCCACATTTAATGTGGAAGGTGGACCAGATTACAATATCGAAAAGCCTTGGTGATTCGGGCAAGATTATATAACGATTCTCAAAGAACAGATATAGTAGTGTTTTACATCGTTTTTTCCATCTGTATTGGTCTCAAAGCAGTTGATGCTAGTATTTCTCAATGGCATCAATGCCACTCCACCATTCAGGGGCCTCGCGCGCGATAAGCAGTGATCCGGTCTTCAAGACTTGCGACGCATACGGAAGATATAAGACTAGAGGTACGCTTCTGAAGCGAGGTACAAGAGGATTCCGCGAATTTATATCGATAAAAATTTGGTCTTTTACCCTGAACCAACCAAGAATCGTCGAATGAGTTTCAGACACTCGTTGACCAGGACCCCGCAGGGCTTATCTTATCGGCCAGCCGGTCAGCGACCAGATCAGTCGGGGGCATCCAGGGTCTGAGAAACCCCCACGGTTCTTCAGACTGGCAATGGAAATTATCTTGACTAGTGGAAAGGCTTAAACACAGTAAGCAATGGACCATTAAAACTATTGTTCATTAAATGAATACTGTGTAGGTTTGAGGCTCACTCTATTAAAGTCTAATATTCATGTCGATTTCTATGATAAGCATAGAATATCTAACAACTTTCTGAAACAGAATTTACAAGTTAGACCACTAGTTCATCAGGCTATCCAATGCTAACACGAATAGTGCACCCGTCTTTGTTTCGAATGACCGAGTATAACCGTTCGCCTATCGCTCCATATATCCTTTGCTCAGCTTGGTTGTTTCCGACCATCGTGAGACATTAAGCCACCGAAAGCTTAGCATAGGTACTCTCAACCGCACATGGCTTCATCACGCTGGCTCATGCGAGAAGCACACCCAATAGAGTTGTATGGAAAAGACAAACGTATATTCTTGACAGTTGCTGTCGTACAACTATGAGATACCTCGGTTCATGCACCGTGTGGTGGGAACGATCGGTGAAACCATCAGAACGGCGGCATGACGCATCCCAAGCTGCAGAGTGCGCGTACAACTTTCATGGCAAGACCGGCCCTTCGTATATGTACGATAGGCTCAAGGCAGACAAGTACCACGGCCCAAGCTATGCAGTAGGCCTTATTGCTTTTTCACCGGAGCAGATACCCACCCAATTGCTTTGCCTTGCGGAGGCACGTCCATGTTATGATGTTCCAAGTCCACCTGTTAAAGCCAAAATCGGTCAATTTCCGAGATGTCCGTGAAGTTTTACTGGAATTTGAGTGGCTAGGGTCTGCACATTATGTGGCAGCCTGGCCAAGCCATGATCGCAAGCCAAACTATCTAGATCGACCCCGTCGATCTGCGGTGCCTACGGCCGAATACATGACCGAGCGGTGATGGTCCTGCAGGACAGTAGGCTGAACTTTCTACTCCGTAGGCGTATCAGAGTATCCAGCCCGATAAAATATCTGACGGATCATTGCGACTCCCCATTCGTTAAGCCGCCATCCTTGAAGTTCGGTTTTATCTCGATTGTCTCGCCTGAGGCATCGAATTCCGGATTGGGGTAACGGAGTCACCAGACCGGAACACGAGGGACTTCCTTCGTCCGTCTTCCCACTTACCTTTTTGTCTCTCATTCCCCACCAATTCATACCAAGGACTTTTTACAGAAATACCGCAGATCAGGTATTCCATCGCTTGTAAAGAACAGAACTCGTCTTTCAGCTCGTGCGAAGCATGATCGGCAGTACACGGTCGGGGGAGGGAGATGACCCTCAGCTCTGATGTCTTAAAAAGCTGCTGTTCACAAGGTACAGGGATCTCGTCCCCGTCACAGTGGATGACAGTTTTCCCTGATGGTTCCACAACCCAGCTTCCCATGGGTGTGCCTTACGAGGTTGCAGGGATAGCCTCTGTCAACCAAGCGGCAGCTCCCGCCCAACCTAAGTAAGTGCGTGGAATACCAAAGAAACCGTGCATTAAAGTGCAGAACCTGACACCTGACGGCAGCACGGCTCAACTGGCATTGGCTCAATACTGTGGGACTGGAGATACTTTCGGCCTTTTGCAGACTTACCGTCGGTCAACCCCCAATAGCACCGGGTCTACGGAGTATATCAGGAGAGTTGATGGGTGAGGGGAAGATCTGGTCGTCATGCAGATGGCGCTAATATGGTCCAGGGTAGGAAGCTTTAGGGTGGTCGACGGTTCCCCTTAGGCTCGGTCACTGTTACTCTTCTGAGTCCTATCATCCACAGGCCCCGCTTGGGATGTGACGAGGATAGGCTCGTCGACAGTCATAATGGGGTAGACTCTGAAAGGTTTCTGATACAATAGGCTATGTCACGGTGTAACCAACCCGCAGCGGTCGTACTCCGGCCGAGACTATCTACGGAGGACCTGGTGGGCAAGAGCCAGGGCATCCCTTGCGGAGGTCTGAGAGCGAGACAGTGCTGAGATATCGCTGATCGGCGGGACCCATCGTCTATTGGGTAATTCGTCCTCCAGCTTATGGGCACTAGTGGCGATTAGCGAATGCAGTGCCCTTCCTGCAGTCGATCTCATGCGCGTTCCGTAAAAGGGGTCAATCAGGACTACGCGGGCTGACCGCGGTTGCTGTCCGACGACCACTCGATCTGGTTCGCAATTGGACGTTCTCGAGTCTCGACCCCTGGATTGGATTGACACACTGCGTGTCGCTGGCTAGCTGCCCCATAACCCAGCCTGCGTTTGCGTTCCAGCGTCCACCCACCGTGCCCGACGGCAAGTGGATCCAACCTCCAGGTCGCTCGGTCGCTTAACTGTAAAAGCCTCGGAATTGCAATTTAGTACTTCCGGACGGTGGTTCCCCTCGAGGGCAGGGCGCATAAGCGAGCCATGATTGGTGATGGCTGATAAAATCCACGATAAACATTGCACACACGCACATTCCGAACATTTGGATTTACTGGTTCACCAATCATAACCCGGCCACACCGCACTAGACGCATGCTTCAGCCTTTTAGGGCCGGCTAGTTTGGCTCACACCTTGGAGTGACAGGTCCGACACGCTTTTTCCTCGTGAATTACACCCCATGGAATCCGGGAGTGTGCGGAGGCAGGGGCCCATTCCAGGAATGGACAGGATCTGTACAGAGTAGGGCATGCTATATTATGTATGCTGCCGCCCTTGACGACTACCCTTGCCTGCTCCCATCCAAGAGCTGCCAGAGGAAGGCCATCCGTGAGTTTACAACAACCACCATGGCCTACTCAGCGGCTTTTGACGTCCTCTTCAGGCGGGATCTTCTCGTATGTAGCATCCCAGCCGAATACCTCCCGTCTTCCCAACATGCTAACACTCTACTGGTCAGAACCCCGCAAATGACCCTAATATTGGTTCCTCACGGGGCAACGCGTCTTCGACGACGTCGGACGCGATATCAGATCTAGGGCTTGGTGGCGGCTCAACTTCCCTTTCTGCATTGCTGACCACACTGATACCGGCGCTGGTGATCGCGGCATTTTGGTTCGGCTTGTTTTTGATCTGCCGGCGAACACAACTGCGGTGGTACGCACCGCGAACTCACCTGCCATGCTGGCATCAGCAGTATGTTGTCTTCAATCCTTTTGCCCAGAAGCAGTCGCTAAGGGGTGTGCAGTGAGCGTGCCCCGCAATTACCATCGGGGTTTGTCAATTGGTTCGGCCAGTTCCTGAAGATATCCGACGCCCAGGTTCTACGTCATTCTTCTATGGACGGGTATCTTTTTCTTCGATTTCTCCGAGTGCTCGCTGCCACTTGCTTTACTGGTTGCGTCATAACGTGGCCTATCCTGCTGCCTATCCATGCCACTGGTGGCGCAGGAAACACCCAATTAGACGCTCTGAGTTTCAGCAATGTCAAAAACCCGAAACGTTACTATGCCCACGCGATTATTGCGATTGTGTATTTCAGTAAGATAAGCCCAGCGGTAACGAGAGCAGCGCTAACATCTGCGACAGCCTTTGTGTTCTTCGTGGTAACCCGTGAGAGCATTTTCTATGCGAACCTACGCCAGGCGTATTTCAACTCCCCGGCCTATGCGGAACGTATTTCCTCCCGGACCGTCTTGTTCATGTCAGTGCCGGACGAGTATAAGAATGAGAAAACACTACGACAGGTATTCGGAGACAACATCCGGCGAGTCTGGATTACTTCCGACTGCAAGGAGCTGGACAAGAAGGTGATGGAGAGAGCAAAGCTCGCGTATAAATTGGAGCATGCTGAGACGAAATTGATCCGGGCGGCAAACAAGACACGGCTGAAGGCAATCAAGAAAGGGATTATTACTTCGAAGCCGTGTCTGGATTCGGACAGTTGTGAAGAGTGTCAATCGAATACCTCTACGTCTTATCATGGGATTCGCAGGCCAACTCATCGGATCAAGTTCTTCGGCAGAAAGGTCGACACGATCCGCTGGCTTCGCGCTGAGCTGGCCAAAGTCATTGAGGAGATCCAAATGATGCAGAAAAAGCACCGAAACGGGGAGATGAAAAATCTGACCGCAGTCTTCATCGAGTTCGGCACCCAAAAAGATGCGCAGGTTGCTATCCAGACCGTGTCCCACCACCAGCCACTGCACATGACTCCCCGATACATTGGGATCTCACCGAATGAAGTCGTCTGGTCTGCCTTGAACCTGAGCTGGTGGCAGCGGATCGCGCGTCGATTTCTGGTTCAAGGTGGCCTTGCTGCCCTCGTTATTTTCTGGTCCATTCCGTCCGCTATGGTTGGCACGATCTCAAACATCACCTACCTCACCAGCATGATTCCCTTCTTGGGTTTCATCAATAAGCTCCCTTCCGTCATCTTGGGTCTTATCTCTGGGCTTCTTCCTTCTGCCGCCCTTGCTATGCTAATGTCTTTGGTTCCAATCATTTGCCGAGGTATGTGTCCCAACTAAGATGAATTCTGGCGTCTAATCATGATATGTAGCCTGTGCTAGATGCTCCGGTATACCTTCAACAGCCCGCGTCGAGCTTTTCACCCAGAGTGCACACTTTTGCTTCCAGGTCGTGCAAGTGTTTCTCGTCACGACTTTGACGTCGGCAGCATCGGCTGCGACTGCTCAAATTATCAAGGACCCTCTATCAGCCAAGGATCTCCTCGCTGAGAACCTGCCGAAAGCGACCAACTTCTACATCTCATACTTTCTGCTGCAGGGTCTGACAATGAGCTCCATGGCGGTTGTGCAAGTTGCTGGAGCGGTCGTCTTTAAATTTATCACGACCTTCTTTGACCGTACACCACGACGACTGTACCAGAGATGGGCTGCGCTTAGTGGTGTCGGTTGGGGCAATGTCTTCCCCGTCTTCACCAACATGGGTGTTATCGGTACGCTAGCCACTGCCTTCGTTTACCTCGTTGCTAACATGAGCTTGGTAGCAATTACGTATTCGTGCATTGCGCCTCTGATCCTGGGATTCGCATTCATCGGCCTTTACCTTGTGTACCAAGCATACCGGTACAACTTTCTGTTTGTGTACGATCTCCGCATCGATACCCGAGGCCTGGTCTACCCGCGCGCACTCCAGCATCTTTTGACCGGCCTCTACCTCGCCGATATCTGCCTGATCGGTCTCTTCGCCATCAAAGGAGCCGTCGGCCCGCTTATCATCATGGCCCTGTTTCTGATCCTAACTATTCTGGCCCATATATCTCTCAACGATGCCTTGGAGCCGCTGTACTCCTTCCTTCCGCGCAACCTCGACGTCGAAGAAGAATCCCAACAGGCTAAAGCGGAGGCCGACGCTATGAACCCGCGCCTAGTCGGCAAATGGGAGGCGGCCTGGAAATGGTTCCACCCCAACCTATACCGAGACTACGCGGCATTGCGCGGGAAAGTTCCTCGCGACCACGTGGAGATTCGATACAGCGAGGAGGAAAGAAACAATGCCTACTTCGAGCCATGCATCTCCGAACGGACCCCGACGATCTGGATTCCGCGAGATAAATGGGGATTCAGTCAGCAAGAGGTGCTCGACACGGATCCTTGCATCCCGATTACAGACGAGGGCGCTCATCTGAACGAGAAGAACCGGATCGTCTGGGACAAGTATGATCCGAAGCTACCACTCTGGGAGCTGAAGATTCTGTATTAGTGTTGGTTTACGATTAACGATGTAATGCCAGATTGACCTCGGCTCAGCTATCACTGGTCGGTAATATAATGATATCTTAGTCTTCCAAATAAGGACCATCTATCCCACAAATCATCTACTCCATTCCTCTCTAAGTAACAAACCAAACTCCCAAAACCAATCCCACCAAAAGCAAACCCAATCCCAGAGTAGATCCGCTCCAGGCTCCCACAATACCTCCTATAACCAACCCAACCCAACCCATCTCAATAACCCCAGCCACCCGACCCGTTAAACTTTCATAGATCGTGCCCGACGATCTAGCACTACCTACCTACCTATCTACTTATCTAGTATCTATCTACCGGCAGGCTGTATCTAGCATCTATCATATCCCAAACCTAATCCCCAGCCCCAAACTCAATGACAAAAAGCCACCCACCTTCCTTCCCGTCCCGAACCGACTGAGTCTAGATTCAGCTATTCATCCCTTACAGGGTGCAGAAGCGTCGAACTTTAATTTCTAGACATTCATTATAATGGTGGGGTATTGTTAAATGACAGAAGTACGGAGTGGTGGGAGGAGGGAGGTTGGGTGGGTGGGTTAATACAGACTGGACTGATCTGACACAACCTCAATTAATTTGGTGTAACCGTTATTGCATGTCTTAGTCTATTGGGATGGGATAGGGAGGATAGGGGGGAGTGTGCACTGCATAACTGGGCTTAACACTCTTAGTACTCTACGGAGCCTAAACCGAAGGATAGAAATGAGAATGAAAACCACATATGGGGTTTTGGCTTAGCGGTCATTTGTCAGGAATAGGAATGAATGGGGGGTAATGTCCGATTACAATGACGGAGGGAGGTAGTCTCTTTTGATGGTGATTTTTTACCATAGCGCTTGTCTTCCAAAGTGGGATCTGCCTTGGGGTTTAAGGGGGGGGGGAGGGGATCATATTGGTTCGATGGTCGGTAAATGGTAGGTAGGATTTGCACGCTCGTAATAAATGAAGTGGTCGAGGAGTATTATATTACAGCTTATCATATTCAGAATATGATTCCTTACTATTGCACAATGTTCACACCTGGACATCGTTGGCGATGGTAGCCGTGGAAGGTACAGGAAACGAGTCTGAGACTTTAGTGTCTTTGTATTCGTCCAGTTTCACAGGTGGTTTTAAACTGGATATGACGATCTCCGCTATGGCTGGTCACCGTAGAGTCGCTGTGATCGTTATTGCTGAACTTAAGACTCGCGTCGATTGTAGAGTGCTGCTTGAGGGGAGATGAAAGAGGTGCCATTCGGCGCCTAAGAGATAAGGCTAGGCTTAAGCATAAGGCCAGTTCAATGTCCCGATATAGAATATTAAGCATCATACCGCGCTCACGGAATGGGATGCAGTGCACAGATATCATGGCAAGGCGATATTATTACCAAAGTTGACTATATTGCCAAGCAAAATGACTGTATTTCTACCGGAATAAATAGACAATCGAAAGCAAAAATAAACCTCCCAAAGCCGACACGGCCTCCATATTGCACTCGTAATGATCGTCGTAGGGCATGATAGACATTAAATCCGCCTGCTTGCATGGCGGCTGGATAGAATACATAAAGTCGTGTACATCGTCCGTCATCACTGAGAACCGGGCTCATGAGAATCCGAAAGGACGCTCACATGACAACGCAATCCTTGCTCCGCTCTCGGACACGTTCCGAGGGTCCCGTGGAAATGGGCATTCCGGGAGGCCGTCTTCCGAGCTGGGTCCTCTGGTATTGAGACGCATTAGGTATGTCGGGGAAGTTGGGACTTCGCTGCGGGGACGGGTATACTGGAGTCCTAGCGGCCTGCTCATATGAAGGAGGGGCTTCGTCGTCATCGGCTGGCCGGACAGTAGGTAGCTGCGATTGCGAATATCGGCCAGGACGCTGGCTTTGCCTTGACGAGCGATTGCCTGATACGGCTGTGGCGTACGAGCCGTTACTGCTGTGCACGGCGCTGGATGAACGGTTACGAGAATAGGTTGTCCCGGACGCAAGCCCAGAAGGGGGGTGAGAGATCGAGGCTCGCTGAGACGGATTCCTGTTGTTCGCTGCATTTTCTCGCTGCTCTTCTTCCTGGTACTGTAGAGCGAGTGCATAGGCATAATCTGCATCTGCTTGCTCCTGAGGAGTCATGGCGCTGTTACGTTGTGTCTCAGAAGTGTGGTCCGAATTGCTCGATGTTCGTGGGCCAGATGGGTCCGAGTGTTGGGGTGCATTGTGGCTGACAGGACGAAAGTCTCCGGAATAGAAACCGGCTTCAGATCCGTTAACATCGACGAGTCTCTCCCAAACAACTTCTGCATGGCTCGAGTAACCCGCATCAGTGACCAGTGTGAAGAGTCGACAAAGCTGTGGATGTTTGTACAGCGTCGAGAAATGATCGTTGCGGAAAAGGATCGAGAATGACCCGGGTTGTAACTTTGTCGCCAAATGCTCTAGGCCAAAGGCGCTCAGCTGAGTTGCATTGTCGAAATTCGTAAATTTCTGGATGGTCTGAATATCGTCCATCACGAGTTCCTCCTGCGGAGTCAACGAGTTGCCTCGCATGACGGTGTCTTCCAGGTCTTGTTTCCGGAAAGGAAGTAACTGGATATCCTCGTGATACTGGGCCGTGCGGGCCAATGCTGCATCGGCTTCCGTAGATGGCGCGGCGACCCAGCCGTGAATTAATGGCACCCCAAATGTACCATAAAGACGAATATCCTCGGTTTCTAAGAATGTACCCAGCGCATCATTCGACTCCTGTATGGTTTAGCCCATTGTAGATGACATGTGACAGGGTTCTTACCAAAGTGAGTCGTGGATTGACGTTCATCCCAGTATGCAGCATGGTCAAGAAACGACTGAGGGCTTCAATATCTGGAAGTTCGTCATCCGGCCCCAAACGCGTCGTGAGTTCGTCAAACAATGCCTCAATCAACAACCCTAGAGAGATTTGCTCCCGAGTTTGCAAGGCTTTTACAATGGGCGATTGCGAGTCGTGGCTTGCGGAACGTAGCACCAAAGCATTGACCAATGCCAACAGAGGACAGGGTCCGTTTTTGTTCTGCACAAGGACCGGCGATTCACGTAACGTTCTGGAGCTGTCCATCCAGTTCACGTGCCGGATCGAATAGGTCTCAGACCGCTGCTCTTGCTGCCGCTTTGCCTCGGCTTCTGAGATCGGTCCACTCCAGGCCGACTTTGGGACTACACCGGATCCTGCGACCTTGGAGCGGTCGGGCAAGGGCGGAGCTTCAACAAGTTTCTCTTGCTGGGGGTCAACCGGAGGGTCCATCGGCGGTTCGTACTCATACCCCTGAGGGACTTCCTTGAGGCCAGGCTCGGGTGGCGGATTGGTCGCTTCATCGAATTCGATCAGAACATGAGACGAGCCCGTTGTATTGCTAGATAGAGTCACTGGGGTACTCATGCTTCTCGCCGGAGATTGCCTGCCATCGTCATGCAATTGCGTAGGCTGCAGATAGGTCTGTTGAGTCGCATACGGCGCGGCCGGGGCGTTCGCAGAGCTGTATTGATTGTCGGGCGATAGACCAGGATATTGTTGATTCGGGTCATGAGATCCGTACGGCTGCGCAGGTATGCCCGGTGGCATGGAGGCTGTCTGCTCCCCGACCCACGGTGACTCTGCCTCGGGTTGATCAAAGAGCGATAAGCGCGCTGTCATCGGGATGTAGCCCTCGTCTAAGTAGGTCAGCTCTGCTCAGAAGGGGACTCAGACAGGTATACCTTGCCCCAGACGGACACTGGCCCCATCCTGAGACTGGAACGACTCTCCATATGATGCGCGAGCATTTCTATCTTCCCATGGGTTCGGCTCGGGCGACCTGGGTTTCAGAAACGGGTTGTTCGACTGTAGCTGAACCGGTGACTGCCCTGTGTAATCACGGTCGGGCTGCCGACCATCAGGCCTCTCATGAGCGCCAGGGACCGAAATGGACGGAACTTGATTCGTATCACTCGCCATCTCCCCACTCGGCGCGCGATGCTCGACTGCTGCCTGGGGAGACTCGTGATCCAACCCAAACCTCGCTGTCAGTTCGTCGGCCCAAGGATTCGACCCGTCACCAGCGGAAGTTCGGATCGGCGACCTCTGTGCTTGTTCTAATGGCATCAGGTCAAAAGCCGGTGAGGTGTTAAGGTCAGGGGAGAAGACCGATTCCTCGGAGGCAACCCGGTGAGGTTGGGGAGAGCTTTGAGCCCGTCGCGGGCGAGTCAGGCGCTTGGGCGATGAGGATGACAGAGATTTGGAAGTGGGCGAGAGTTTGGAGTTGGGAAAACGGGACCCTGCGCGGTCATTCCCTTGGGTGAGGCTATGAAGGCGTGGCGGAGCTCGCTTTCGCAGGACCATGAGGCGGACTCTTAGCGTAGGCCTGGGGCGGCCGAGCTCACGGGTGAATCAATGAAACGTTGGACAAGCTTGGGGGCCAATGAGGCGCGGGGGTGACGCCAGTCAGGAAAGCTAGACCGACGGAGCCCTCTGTCAATAGGTAAGATGGCCCAGTCCGATTATCTGACGCATGAATAGGCGCCAAAGTGTGCAGCGTGGTTGAATGGATGTATACGTAACCAGGACTGGCTCGAAGGGGCAGGGAGGCAAGGATTAGCCAGTATACGCGAGAAGCAGAGCGGCAGCCAAAGCCATGCCTTTTGCAGCGTTGAGGTTGGTTGATCGGGCTAGGGGAGAACTAGAATTGAAGAGGAACAAATACGAAAATGACAACAATCGCGGGTATGACCGTGATGGTCACAGGCACCCGGATTCCCTGACTGACGGAATGATGGATGCAGCGATGGATGGATCATCCGTGGATTGGCGGTGGAGCGCCGCCGTCCCGCCATTACCGTTATTACACCATTTCTTTCACCGAGACCGCAATCTGGCTGCCTGGCAACGGTATGGTAAGGTTATAGCCCCGCTGGCACGGCCACTGTCTCCGCGCGAGACACCGCCACAGCCATCGTGACGTCGACGGTTCGGCAGGCGGCAGAATAATGATCCGGACACTCCCGTATCATTACATAATCTATCATTATCGCCAGCTTCGCGGTCCGTGCGCTATCGCAGAAAAAAGTAAACCGAGATCGAGCAGGAGCAGCTGTTGGTGGGTACGTTGGCTTGATTTACCTCCTTGCGTGCCATGCGCTAGTCGCTCCCTTCTTCTTTCCGAAGTCATCCGTCCAAATGCATTCCTACGTGCGACCAAATCAATTCGTGGCCTTCAGGCTCCCGTCCGAGGCGACGAGGATCCAGAAGGTCGTTCCTAATACGTATGGACCCATTCGCCGTTACTGCTCGGGGCCTTGCATGGTGCTAACGACGTGGCTAGATCTATCTCTTTGGGAAAATACGGCACCTTCCCCGCCAACCAAATCATCGGCCGTCCGTTCTACCTGACCTTTGAAATCCACGAGACCCCGGGTGAAGCCGACAGCACATACCTCCGCATTGTATCCGCGGCGGAACTTCACGCGGAATCACTTATCACCGAGGGCGAAGGCGATGGCGACGATGTCGAGCTCAATGAAGACGGCACGCCGGTGCGGTCGAATCGCGAAACCATCGATGATCGATCGACGCAAAAGCTAACGCTGGAGGAGATTCTGGCGCTGAAGAAAGAGAGTACGGGAGCTGGCAAGGACATCATCGCGAAGCTGCTGGAGTCGCATCAGGCTTTGGACCAGAAGACGGCATTCTCCCTCGCTAAATACAAGCTGCGCAAGGAGAAGAAATATATGAAACGGTTCACAGTCATCCCATTAGATGTGAGCCTCCTGGCCAATTACATGCTGGAGGATAAGGATGCGGCGAGAACGATGGAATTGCGCGATGAGTTGATCGGGCTGATCGGGTGCTGGGGCAATGTGCACCACGGGGGCAGTACTTCCTTTGATGAGACTGTGACAGAGAGACCCAACGGGCGCTATCTCGTTGTCGATGACACGGGCGGTCTCGTCATCGCAGCCTTGGCTGAACGGATGGGCATCCTTTACCCCCACGACGGCGACTACGATGAGGAACAGCAAGATGCCATTGAGAGGCCAGCTGTGGCGGAAGGCGATGAGGCCGAGAAGCCCCAGGACGGAGAGGGGCAATCCTCTGATACTCCCCGTCGGCCTCGTCGGCCACACATGTCCGCTTCCGGAAACACCATCACCCTTCTCCACGCCAACAAGCAACCGAACCTCAGTCTTTTGAAATACTTTGGCTACGACCAAGACAGCCCGAGCGAGTCCCACCCCCTTTACACGAACCTGAAGACTGTTTCCTTCATGCAGCTTCTGGACCCCAATGCCGACAACATCTATGCCGAGGAGCCCCCTGTCGTACCCGAGGAGGAGCTGGCTACATACAAGCCCAGCAAGCGCAGTTCATATCACCGGAAACGCGGACGCTGGATGCGCGTCCGCAAGGTCGTGGACGATGCTCGGTCCGGTGGGTTTGATGGTCTGGTCATCGCTTCTTTGATGAATCCGAGCAGCATCATGAAGCACGCGGTCCCGCTCGTGGCCGGCTCTGGTCCAGTCGTTATCTACTCCCCGACCGTGGAACCGTTGACGGAGGTGATGGACTTGTATTCTACGGCCCGGAAGAACGCATATATCGCGCGCAAACGAGAATTGCAGGAGCGGAAGGAGCAGCAGCCCGAGGACCAAAATGAAGAGGGCGCAAAGACGTACCCCGAACTGGAGGAGGAGTTCACCCTGGATCCCACGATGTTGCTCGCGCCGACGCTGCAGACCTCGCGGGTGCGTGCCTGGCAGGTGCTTCCTGGACGCACGCATCCGCTCATGTCGGGACGTGGTGGTGCCGAGGGGTACATCTTCCACGGAATCCGGGTTCTCCCTACGCAGGAGATCATCGAGGCTGCTGGTAACCCGGGCCGGAAGAGGAGAAAGATTGCAAAGCCGACGGAGACTGAAACGCCGACCGCTAGCGGCATCGATATTGAGATGACGTCGTGATTATTCCCTACATTATTACCCGTGTAACATAGCACTTGGCCATTGGCAGCCACGACGATACGAGATCCGCCGCTGCAAGCGAGGAACACGATAGACTTGTCTATCACAGGATGATACCACTGATCTCAGTCAAAACGCTTCATGTTGAAATATACAGAGTAGCAGAACTAGGCTGACGTTCATACGCTGAGTGTACGCCGAGAGCAACAAAACAATCTATCCTAGAAGCTCTTTCCCATGAACTTTCTCTTTGCGAAACTAAGCCACCACTGTAATCATTAGCGGGGCCCGGCTACCGGAGGCCACACGTACCTTGGAAGGCCCAACACCACCGGGGTATAATCTAGCAAGCAACCGAATAGCAATCTCCTGTCTGACCTGGGAGAGGTATCTACCGGAATTAGCACCAATGCATTGCCACACCGGAAATACCTACTGTCTCAACGTCTCGGCATCCTGGCGATCACGGGGGGGTTCGAAGGCCTGGTTCAAAGGGAAGGCCACGTCACCGGGAATGGCGAAGTGGTCGAGCGCGACATTGATGAGAGCCTGCACCATGTAGCTGTTAGCCCAGCCAATCCAGTAACACACCTCCGGGTATAATACCTTCTCGGCCTCACGGGAGGTCATGGAGGGCTTGACCTTGCCCAAACACTCGCTGATGAAGAGGGTACCGTAGATGAGCATGCGGTCGGCGGGGCCATTGATCTCGAAGTTACGGAACAGGACATTGGCGCGGAATAGGGAGAGGATCTCATCGACGCAATCGTAGGACTCGCTATCGGCGGGCACTTCAATGTCGGCGGTGGGAGGGAGCGGGGGGAGAGTGTATGCGGGGCCACGCGTGCGGGTGCGGAGGGGAAGGACGGGGAAGTTGCCTGCAGGCGTTAGTTGAGGTTGAAGTAATTCAGTGGTTGCGGTGGGATGTCGGCATGGAGGGGCGCATCGGCGTACCGATTACGGGGACGTCCCGGTCCTCGAGGAAGATGGAGTGGTATGCCTATACATATTAGAAATATGCTGAAGCCGAGGTGGAATACTGACAGGCATTGTAAAGTGGAATACTGGTTGTCCTCAGAGCCGGTCTAGAGGATAAGGAGGGGAGGAGACGGAGCTGCCAGCGGGAGCATGTCATCACCCGCTGCCTGTCGCTGGGGAGATTTTCCGGCCCGAACCTCTTTACGCGCGACGCGTCTGGCTACATCGATATCCGTTCTACACATTCATTGTTAGACTGGCACAGCATGTCCGACTACGAAGATTCTATGGACGTGGACGCCCCGTCTAGGGCGATCCAATTCAGCTCCGACAATACGAGTGGAAAGGCAAAGAGAGTGGCTGCGGATTTGCCAGTGGAAGCTCTGGACAATCTTCCTTGGTGGGTTTATCCATTGATGTTTTGACTCTATCTAACAGTTTAGGGTCGAGAAATACCGTCCCAACACTCTCGACGATGTCTCCGGTCACCAGGACATTCTCGCGACGATCAACAAATTCGTCGATGCCAATGTAAGCGCCCACGCACTGCGATATATCCATGCTAATTGTACAGCGCCTACCACATCTCCTTCTCTACGGGCCTCCGGGAACGGGAAAAACCTCCACAATTCTTGCGCTCGCACGGCGGATATACGGGAACAAGAACATGCGACAGATGGTGTTGGAGTTGAACGCCAGTGACGACCGTGGTATCGATGTTGTTCGCGAACAGATCAAGACGTTTGCCAGTATGTGAATCCCTCGTACTGAAACCATGCTTACTGGATTAGGCACGAAACAAATCTTCTCCATGGCCCCTTCGTCTGGGAGCTCCCTCGCATCTTACAAATTGATTGTGCTTGATGAAGCCGACGCCATGACGGCCACCGCACAGATGGCCCTGCGTCGAATCATGGAGAAATACACCGCCAACACACGATTCTGCATCATCGCCAACTACACACACAAGCTGTCACCAGCGCTACTGTCCCGATGTACCCGGTTCCGGTTCAGTCCGTTGAAGGAGCAGGATATCCGGGTGTTAGTGGACCAAGTGGTGGAAAAGGAGCAGGTGAACATCCAGCCCGAGGCAGTGGACAGTCTAGTCCGATTGAGCAAGGGTGATATGCGTCGTGCGTTGAACGTCCTACAAGCGTGCCACGCGAGCAGCATACCACTCCCGATGAAGAATGCCCCGAAGGATGAGCCCCGGGCGGAGGCGGAGGTGATCACGAACGAGACGATTTACGACTGCATTGCGGCGCCGCATCCGTCGGACATTGAAGAGATCATGACGACGTTGTTGTCCACGAGTGATGTGACGTCGTGTCTGAACACGGTGAATACGCTCAAGGCGAACAAGGGTCTGGCCCTGGCGGATATTCTGTCGGCATTGGGCGAACAGCTGCAACGGCTGGAGGTACCGGCGCAGACACGAGTGACCTGGTTGGAGGGATTGGCGGAGATTGAGTGGCGGTTGTCGGGGGGAGGATCGGAGACGGTGCAAACGGGAGGATTGGTGGGAGTGGTACGGAATGGGTGTGAGTTGATGGGATAATCAAATAGTAATAGACAATACCATATACCAGCTGATCCGATACAGAGTATACTCTAACTATCATAGCTGTCCACGGAGGTACTCGATGCCCTAAGAACTCCGCCGAGCTCGGCGGAGAGCTTAACTAGCAATCACCCGGCTGAATAATACCAGCGAGCTAGCTGTAACCACAGCTCCGTAGCTACGGAGTATAGCTTCATCCGAAGGATTAATCCCGAGACATCAGATGATTCCACCGAGCTTCCACCGAGATGACAAATTATACGATTAGCAACTGCTTCAATACCATCATCATAGTGCAGATCAGAAATGAGAGAAGTATATAAGTGAGCTTCGCCTACCGTAGATGTATCCCAAGCATCGGCTCCAGTATTTGCTATCTATAGTTCACAACACCACCACCACAATCATCACTACCATCACCACCACCACAACACCACCCAACACCAAAATGTCCGACCCATCCACCACAACCAACATCCTCATCACCGGGGTCAACCGCGGTACCCCCTCCCTCCCCATTCCCCCCAACCCATCCCTAACCCAAACATACTAAAAAAAAAAACAGGAATCGGCCTCTCCCTCCTCCAAACCCTCCTCCTCCGCCCCAACCACACCATAATCGGCACTGTGCGCACCTCTCCCCCCGCCACCTCCCCACTATACACCCTCCCAACGCACCCAACCACAACCCTGCACCTCCTCCCCCTCGAACTCACCACCCCGAATGCCTACACCACCCTTCACACCACCCTCACCACAACCCTCAATATCCCTTACCTGGACACCGTAATCTGCAACGCCGGAATCTGTCCCCCCGAAGGAACTCCCTATACCGTGCCCATCTCCGATATCAGCGCGGCATTCGAAGTGAATACCCTCGGTCCGATCCGGCTCTTCCAATCCCTGCGGGGGTTATTGGTGAAGGGAAGTGAGAAAGGACGGGTAGTCAAGTGGGTGAATGTGGGGACTGGGGCGGCGAGTTTGGGTCTGTTTGGGGTTACGAGGGTTGGGTGGAATACGGCGTATGGGGTTTCGAAGGTTGGGGTGAATTGGGTTACTTTGTGAGTTTATTCCCTTTGGCTTTTTGGGGGGAGGAGGTTGGCTAATGGGGAATAGGGCTATGCATGATGAGGAACCGTGGTTGGTGACCTTTGTGGTGCATCCGGGGTGAGTTTCTCCTTCTTCTTCTCCTTCTTCTTCTTCTGTTCTTGTTATGTTTGGTTGTACTTGTGGGGAGGGGGAGGGGGGGGGGGGAGGATATGGCTAATGGATGGATAGGCTGGTACAAACGGAAATGGGTAATCGAGGGGCGAGAAGAATTGGCATGGAGGAGGCGCCGAATACCCTGGAGGAGTCTGCTACTAAGACTTTGGCTGTGGTGAGTGAATGTCGCTGAGGGGAGGAATATGCATGCTGACTTGGTGTAGATTGACAAGGCGACGCGTGAGGAGACGTCCGGCAAGTTTATTAATGTTATTGATGGGACGGAGTTGCCGTGGTGATGCTGTCTTTCATGGATAGTTGATTGATGTGATGTATCTGTGTACTCAGATACTCAGGAGAAGCTAGAGTATACATTGTGTTACTTGGATTCGATTGTGTTAGTCTGATATGTTTGTTGCACTGATGTATAATTGAACAGTACTGGAAGCAGCTCAATTGGAATTGAACGTAAAGGCATCACCACTCAACTAGCTACCTGATCAGGCACCTGCCAGCCATCTGCTCCTCTCTTCTCAAACAACTCCTCAATCCCCTCCAAGCTCCGTCCCTTGGTCTCCGGCATCACCACACACACCGCCACCGCCACCAAGGTCGAAAATCCATACAGAAAGTATGGCCCCGACGGGGACCGATGCAGAAACAGCGGTGCTGTCAGGGTGACGATGAAATTGACAATCCAGTTGGCCAGCAGTTCCACCGCACATACCTTGGCTCGCAGCCGCGTGGGAATAATCTCCGAGGCGTAGATTTTGCCGACCTATTTCATTAGCATCGTCTGATGAGAAGAGAATATACTTACGACGGCCCATGACCAGGAAAAGTTGGCCACGAAGATAAAAATGAGGACAACTACCGCCCACTGCGCCGAGTGGGATTCCAAGATCACTTCCTCTTTGGTGATATGTCCGTATCGAGCATACAACGAGCCGATGACAATGAAACAGATGGCCATCGCGGCACCCCCCGTAATCAATGGCTTGCGACGTCCCCATCGATCCACCCAGATCTGGGCAGGAATGGTAAACACCAGCATCACGATACCAATGATTCCGGAGGAGAGGAACGATGCTTTGGTAGAGGTGAAGCCAGCCTGTTGGAAGAGAATGGGCGCATAGTATAAAACCACGTCGATCTGTATTATCAGCTCATGTACGGTGCATTAACTAGGAAGAAATAATTCAAAATGCGGGGGGGCATACTCCCGTCAACTGCTGAAACGTCATCAAAAACACTCCTAGTGCCGTCCGACTGATATATTTCCGTCCGAAAATCTCCGCCATACTGGCAGTCGCTCGACGAGAGTGCAAACTGTTCTCAATCTCCCGCAGCTCTTCATTCACTGCCGACTCAGGTCGCAGTTTGCGTAAAACCACACGGGCATCCTCGATGCGTCCGACCTGGACCAGCCACCTCGGCGAGAACGGCATCAGAAGCATCACGACCGACAGCACTGCTGCCATAGCCGCCTGGATGATAAACGGCACCCGCCATGCCATACTACCAGGAAGGTACTGGGTACCGTATGTGATAAAGTATCCCGCCATGATTCCAATCACCACGTACAGCTGCAGCGAGCAAGCCACCACGCCCCGCACATTCGCCGGAGCGATCTCGACCAGGTACACGGTCGTCACGGAAATGGCCTGGCCCATGCCGACACCGGTGATCAGCCGGGCGACGATCAGACTAGCGAAATTGGGCGAGCACGCGGAGAGGATGGTCCCCACCAGCGACAGCAGGCTGCTGATGAGGATGCCGTACTTTCGTGACAGACGGTCCGAGACATGGCCGCTGACCAGAGACGACGCGGACGAGGAGAGCAGGATACAGGCGACATAGACACCCTGCTGCATCGAGGATAACCGGCCGATGGAGGACTCAAACTGGTGCATCTGGGTGATCGGGCCGATCGAGCCTGAATGATGAGCATACGGAAGACAACCGCTGGAATGACTCACCAGTGTCCAGGCCGTACAACAGCCCAGCCAGGGACACATGCCCGGCAATGAGAAAAACCTTTCCCTTGGAGGAGACCATCGGATCGATTGGAGTATGAAGAGAATCGGAAGATGCTGAAGGCGAAGCGATTCGAACAGACCTCTTTAGCAGGCTTGACCCCTCCCTGAGGTAGCATCGCTCGGACAGCGCAGAGATCGACACTCATCTTTGTTCGAACATATCGACTGGTCTCGCCTTACCCTGGTTACACCATCTCCTCTGATAGGCCGCGGCTGCAATATAATGCATGCAACAGCGGAAGGACGGTGTGAAGCGGTGGGATCAGCGCCCAGCGAGGTGGGATCACTGTTGGATTTAGATTGCGCCCTCAGCCCGGGGAATACCAGCCGTGGATGGGAGCAATGGACTACCAATCACTCTAGGTTGGAGCCTGGCTAGGGTTACATTCCGCCGCGTGTTTTGACGCTGACACCGATCCCTGCGCCTCCATATTAGCCAAGCCAGAACTAACGGTGCCCATCCCGGAGGCAGGCCTGATCTCACCCCACAGACATTCCATCACAGCCAGTCTATGGGCCACGGGCATAATCACATTGTAACACCGTATCCGGGTGCAACCAACACCTCGTGATTCGTGCACCTGCGTCTCACCATGTTCCGTGCCGAGTCGATATAGCCTCATGGTCTTACTCATCTCGGCCATTAAAGTACATACAGGGATACTTGCAGATGATCGTCTACTCATGTAGGAACCGGAGTCACTCATTGGCACGCCTGACAGCCAATGCAAGAGCTGCATTGAGGTACGCAAGCAGTATGCGATGTTGCATCAACAAATTGGACTGACGATGAGCCATCACCCCGCACGGTGAATCGCGCCTTGCCATTGACTGTATAGGGTTTGCCACGGACTTTCTAGCCATGCTGTTGCTGACGAGAGCCCTGCTCGGGCTGAGAGGAATTGAACCCCAGAATTCACCGGAGGAACTTATTTAAGGGCCGCAGCCTGCTTGATCGGATACCAACAACTCAACCTCAATCAAGAAAAGACAGGGTCAAGTCTTACGATGGATATCAAAAGATGCGGTCTGGGGCCTCAAGGTGGGTCATCTCATTGGTATATTGAGCATTGAATAACCTGTCTAGTCCCCACCTTTCATGCTCCATCTGCCGTCGATGCGATCCGTGACTCCGTTTATACCACTGGAGTAGCATTCGTTGAAGGTTGTGACGAAGACTCCTTGGTCACTCTGGCAAACCAGCTGGGACAAGTCGTCAGACCACGGAATGAGAAGACTCCTGGTAGTGGGATCAGCAACATTCGGTTCGCATCGAACTTGGTCGGGAAAGGCTATAGCTCAGAAGGTCAGTCATAGCATCGATGACAAGACGGGTGCTGACCAGCCAGAGCTATTCTTCCACACCGATCGCAGCGGCTGGGATCAGCCTCCACGGATTCTGATGTCTACTCTCCGTAGCCAATCGGAGGCTGGAGGCGAATCACTACTGGTGGACGGCCGAAAGGTCCTCGAGACGCTGAGGCAGCAGGAAAAAGCTCTCTATGACCTTTTCACAAACCCAAAGCACACCAGTTTCCGTGCTGACGACGGAACGTTTGTGCCACGGGCAATGCTCGACGAGCAAACTGGTATCTTTCGCTTTCAGTTCGACGATGGCATTCAGATGTCGGCATCCATGGTTGTTGCCTTTGCCAAACTGCGAGACATGATCTATGAGAATGCGTATTTTGTATCGTTGCAGCCGGGTCAGGGATACATTCTGGATAATCACCGATATCTGCATGGCCGGGCCTCTTTTACAGGCTCGCGGGAGCTGCTCCGTGTCCTTGTCAGCCCGTCCATCCCAGGGTCGGAGAAGGTGATGCTGTTTGACATCGATGGCACTCTCTGCCGGTCCGAGGCGCTCAGCATTGACGCGTATTATTCCTGCGTCAGTGATATCGTGGGCAAGGACATTACTCATGCAAACACTCCAGTGAATCTGCACGGGCGAACCGACCTTGGCTTACTGCATGATATCCTCGATTATCACCAAGTGCCCGAAAAGGCTCTGGTCGTGGAGAAGTTCCTTCGCCTTCACCCGCAGTACCTTGAGCAGTCCTTGTCCAAAGGCCTACCATCAGTGGTATGCCCCGGTGCAATGGAGGCCTTGGCCTGGCTGGTAAGATACAAAGAGAGTCTGAGCCATCCGAAGCTCCACATCGGCTTAATCACAGGCAACTCGCGTCCGAATGCGCTGCTCAAACTCCGCGGAGCGGGCATCGACACCAGTATCTTCGACCTCGAGATTTCTTCGTTTGGGGACAGCCATCATAATCGACTGTCGCTGTTTCAAGAATCCCTCACCAAGTTGCAGACCCGTCTGGGCCCTCATATCCGCGCAAGTGATATGTTGGTCGTCGGAGACACCCCTTTGGACGTGGAATGCGCAAAGCAGGCGGGCTGTTCGGTCGTGGCGGTGGCAACCGGAAACTATAAGGTGGAGGAGCTGGCCTCACTGCAGCCCAACTTCTGCTGCAGCCAGTTGATGGAAACCAAGGAATACCTGCAGATGGCTTTTTGAGGGGGCAAGTCTGTTCACAGCTCGATCAGGCGCACAGTTCATGGAGGATAGTATCAGATGACCAGAATGAATTTTTAAAGCTTTGCCAGATGGTGTATGCCATCCGAAGTAGTCTGAGTACTTTTATCGAACTGGTTTAGCTCTGTTTCCAGCTTCTATCTGGCTGCGTTCCGATTCTAATGTCGAGCCAACGATTCCCTCAATCTCCCCGGCCACAGAGCCTGCTAGAACACCCACGCCCACGATCCCACCATCACTGGCCTCTCGCAGGAAGACGCTCTTTCCTTCGCCTTGGGGCCCAGCGCTGAGAATCAACCGGTCAATATGCCGCTGAATCCGGTCTTTGTAATGTGGATAGTGCTGGATGACACCACCAGACACGGCCACCACCAGTTCCTCGGGGCCTTTTTGCCATCCGGGTATTGCTCCAAGGTTCGGTACTGTATGCTCTGTTGTTGCAACCTCTTCTTGACTCGAGTTGCCTGGAATGTCAAGGACTGTCGTGTTTTGGAATTCAATTTCGCGGGTACATGCGAGAAGTCCAACTGTCGCGGCAGCAACCAAAGCAGCCGATCGCTCTTGGACTGCAGCTGCTATGGAACGAATGTGACCGGCAAACTCAGGAGTCCAAATCCAGTCACTGGAGGCTGGCGACGGCAGCTGATTTGACAAAGCAACCGCTAGACGTTCATCCGAGGTGCTGGAGGCCACCACCAGGGAGAGAAACTCAGTCGAGAGAGAGTACCCCTCTACCAGCTTCACTGGCAATGAAGACCGGGGGATCTTCTTCACTTTATGGAACCAATCATAGCTGATGATCCGAACGAGCTCGCCAATATACCGACCACCAACCATGTACTCGAGCGGCTGGAACCCTGGCCGGTTGGAATGCTCTTCCAGTTCAGAATCCCACTTATTCACGATGCCGAGCCCCTCCAGCGGTCCGGTGGCCCCGCGGAGCGTCCATTCAGTCGAGACAACGGTTTCCACCGCTTCCGGCTGTTTCTCTCGGATATGAGCCGTTTTGGATTCTTGCAGATCAGCCAGTTTCATCGGGATCGCCGAATTGCAGCCCGCGCCTACGATCAGCCCCATGACGACCCGAGTGTTGGGTAGAGCCCGGATCGAATACGCCAGAGACGCCAGTGTCGCGACCGTATCATTGGTCATGACGGTGATTTTCAACTTGGGCAGACAATATGTCTTGCGTCGCTTGGCTGGCATATCACTGGAATTCTGACCTGAGCGTCGGGTATGGCACTCATACCCGTCCAGCAACGCCTGATGAAGATTCAGCGAAGAGCTCAAAGCGAAGCCCTTTCCGGTCGGCATCAGAATGGCCTCGTTGAGAAACTTCTGCCTGATACCAGTTAGTCCAGTCCGACGCAGAGAAGAGGAGGCAGCACTTGGTCGGAAAGCAAAAAGAAATGCCCATGATCAGCTCCGCGGGGGAGTCCCCCTTGGCGTTGGCAAGATCATCAGCAATAACTTCAGCGATACAGTCGCCGATCCAAGCAAACAGGGACTGGGCCTGATCGCGGCGCAGACGCTCTTCGATGGGCCACGCCTTCTCGAGCGTACGTCTCACATGTGGTTGTCTGCCCAGAGGTGGGTGACCCAGCAGGTCGATAAAGGCCACGCGGAGATACGACAGGCCGAGATAGACGGCCAGATAACGTCCGGTTTCATGGCCGGTGGGCAACCGCGTGATGGCGGTGGGGAAGAACTGCTCCGACGAGCTGGCGGCCAGCTCGCGGTAGGTGTGGGAGAACTGATGCGAGAGTCGGTAGAGCGTCTGGTGGTCGATACTCAGTGGGTGCAGGAAGTCCTGGAGATTTGCATCCGGCTTCACCATGCTGGCGGTGGTTGCTCACGGACAAGAGCGATTAGCAATAGATAGTAGTCATGGTTGTTGGGCAACCAAGGGCGGCGGCGGCCGGGAGTTCCGCCGGGAATTCCACCGCGCGTCGCGGTGGCACCCGAGGTCGTGGCCATACCAGCCTGCGAAAAGTTATACAAGGTGGCCTTCTCTGCCTTTATAACATCTGCAATGGGTTGGTGTAATCTTCCTACAATCGATGCGAAAATATGCAAGGTACAAGAAGACCGGATTAACCAGCTCTTTACACTCACCCTGGCAGGGAAATCTATAAATGCCTTTCCGATCTACTCGCTCGAGATAAATACCTTTTCACTAGCGGGAGGTTGTATACCTTAATGTCCCGGAACCCGTCGTTCTTCATGCTCCAAGTCACCTTCTGAAGGCATTCGGCGCTCCAGGGGGCAGGCAGGTGAAGAATTGATGTCGGGGGATGTTTTGCAAACATCTGTTGAAACAAGATCTCAGTAAGCATGCCAGGGAATAGGTGGCCAGCGAGCTCACGGAAACTGCAGTAATCCCCCCAGGACCTTTGGTTGCGACAACTAGTCGCCATGCACACATCTATCAGACATTTTCGTCAGAGGAGGTTGAAACCCAGGCTGGAAGAAAAGGTTGGGGTCAGGAAAGGAAAGCAAAAGTATCTCACGACTGGCGCAGTAGTCACTGTCGCTCCATCTCCCATCTCGACAATTATTTTCCGTGCAACGATCTTGTAGACAGCATTACATCAGAACACACATTCTTGACACTTGGAATCAATGTGTCAGGTGGTTATTACGCTTTGTACAGAAGTTGTTAGGCGTAAAGCCGAGGCATCCATCTGCCTTGCACTTTGTTCTGCCGGGAATATAGACAAGACTCATCGTTTCAATAACCAGAGAGAGACGTGATGAAGTGTGTTTCTGTGGACAAGATAGAACAGGGACAACACCTTGTGGGGAGGGGGAAAACGGGGTAGAGGGCCATTATATACACATAAGGATACCCGTGCAAACGGTCCAGTCATCCTATGAACGGGGTTCGGGCTCCAGTGGCATGGCAGCCTAACGTATATCCAATGAATGCACCATTCATCTCGTTTTCAGTCTCAGCCTTCTCCCATCCTTCCGAGGGTTGCCTCCGCCCACTTTCAGCCTGATCTAGATTGCATTACAGGCAACCAGATCCATGCCGCAGTAGCCGATTATTGTCCATGATATGCAATCTGAGGGTTCATGGCCCGATCGAAAGCTTCTATCAGAGCTAGTGGCCTGAAGGAGTCCTGTTTCAGGTTCAACCAAGTCCACCCGTCTAAGACGCTGCCATGTCTTCTTATCAAGCCTGCCGCACACCGGATACTGAGGGCCATTGGAGACCAAATGGTAAATTCAGGCCTTGGGACCTGTTTCCATTATTTCCTGATATGACTTGGACCACCAGGCTGAGCCGCTGAGGGGAAACCTGCAGGTCTCCTATCCAGCGAAATCACCCTATCTCCCCAATGATATGCGGGGGGTGTCACATGCTGCGCCCCTTGGAACAATGATATCAGCATAATGTCCAAGTCAGCGCAAGTCTAGACAGAGAAGACTTTGATGTGGCCCGAAGGCAATGCCTCAAAGTGGAAAGTGGTCTCTCAGCGGCCAGCGTGACAGGGTTCTTTCCGGTAGCGCCTCAGCCTCGCAGTTACAGGTCTTATGAAACGCTTGAATTGTTAGTTCCGATTGAGCGGAGACAAGGCGAAAGGAGATGGTATGAATTCAACATTCTCCATCAACGAGAGTATCTCTCCAGGATATCCTGATATATTATTGTTTGAACACGTCATGTACCTGCGTTTTAACGGCACGCCTCGCACAGAGGTTCCTTCTTGATCGATCGATCTCATCCAACAAAGTACGTTCCACGAGTGTGGGTGCATGCATGATCCGGGGTCGGGATGTTGTTTGCTTTATGTCCACGGGATCACGAGAATACAGTCCTCTCAGGTATCGTTAGTCATTAGAATTTTCGAAAAATAGCCTAGTCGCTATCGACAGATAGATCCATTGCTCATGGAAAGGAGACATTGAATATGAAAGCGTCGGGTATCATATGATTGTCCGGGATATGTACAAACCACAGCAACCACTTCGGGTCATCTCCGCGGATTAGTCGCAGGAGTTGGGGGTCCTTTCGCATGGGATGGCCCTCAACCCACCCTGCTTGCACTCTCAAGCCTTCAAGGCCTCGGCCGGCCGAATGCTGCGGAGATAGGTTCCGCAGCGCTTAGACCTTGCGCTAGTCACGGCGTGCTCGGATTTCGCCATGATTGGTGTCTTCAAGGATCAGAGGCAGATATCATTCGTTAAATACATGAACCATCCAGTACTAGTACTTAATACTTCTCGCTTCCATGGCCTTGTGACCTTTCTCTCATTGGTTCGGATAGCTTACATCTTACCCCGACGCGAATATGGTATCATAGTACTAAGTATGCGCGGAGTGGATGCCCAATAGCCGTAACAAAAACAAAACCCACTATCTTCGTGTAAGGTAACGGAGCCGCACGTCCACTCGGTGAAAACCAGTCGTAGGAGATAGAAAAATCAGTCTCTCAGTCCAAAGCTTACATTTCTAGCGCCCTGCTAGCCATCGAGCACCCAAGGCCGCGACCCTGAAAACTACTAATAGACGTACCGCTGTAAACAAGGCAGCAGACCTCAGAACCACTCATCAAAGGAAAAAAAAAAAACTACTATCTCCGATCTACATCCATCCCGCTACTCTCCAGATCCAAAGACATTCTGGAAGCAAAACAGCCAATTCAACTCCAAGACTAGCCCGAACAGTCACTTGATTCCCATCCCCTTCACCATGGAGTATAGCTCCTGATTGACTGGCTACATACTGTACATGCTCTTGGGGCTGTGGCTGCGTCGTTCTTGGTCCTGGGTCTTCCGGATCAGGTGAATCGGGAGGATAGGAGAGAGGGAGGGATAGGGCTGGGTATACCGCCTAAGATGATGGGCGATGATAGGGCTTGATGAAATGGGTGGGGAGAGGCAGGCGCGGAGATGGTCCGTGATAGTGGGGCTGGATATAGGAAAGGTCGTGGATATGGGGAGGGGGAGTGGACGATCTGGCCGGTACTACATCTGGAGAATTGGTTACTGGCTGGTTTTGCGGAATATGAGTAGTGAGCCGCAGATCGCCTGGAGGAAAGCACAAATATCTAGTAGATGAGTTCAGTCACTATCTACGTGATAATGTCGTTACGAGCAGCGATAGACGTACTCAGAGTAGTGTATGAAAGCACTGCTGTATATCCCATGTATATCATAAGGGACAATATATTGGGAATGTTCTAGCTAAGCTACCCAGGAATAGAAGCCCCTGTGGCGTTCTGTGACCGCTCCTCGCAGTAATTGTCAAACAGGTTCTGGATCATTAGCCCGCCCGCAGCATCAAGGAACTCGGCGTTGAACGACCCAGGCGCATAGCCGGCTAGGCTATCATCCAGCCCAAAGGAAACGGGTTTGTATGTCGGTTGATCGCCCGGGAACCAGAGAGGCCGGTAGGGCCCTGCGGATTGGCTCGAACCGTAGGGAGCAATGTCGCCAGCAGCCGCCATTCCGTGACCATGTTCTACGATCCATCGATCAATATCTATTATTTAATGCATAAGTATCATCAGGGAAAGGGCTGCCTACCAAGTATATTTTGAAGCACGTCTCGGGCCCGCAGAGCCATGTCGTGGGAAGATCCAAGACTTCCTAAGCAGTCAACAGCACGCTGAATATGACACTTCCATGCAGGTGCCAGGCTATGGGCTGGCTCGTAAATGTAGCATGTTGCCTGAACAAAGCTGGCTGTCAGCAGCCAACAAGTCGCGTACCATGTCAGGCCGCGACGCCGGTTGTCTGTTGCCTCGAGGAAGCTACAGATAGAGGCGACACATTCGTCTGCGGCTGCGAGACAGGTGGCAACTGGACCTGCAGCAGTGTCAAGTTCGGACTTGGCCGCAATGCTCTGGAAGAGAAAGGGGCGGTTAATAACAATCCGTAGATGGAATGAGCGCCATAGCAAGACTCGACGGGGAATGTCAAAGCGTGGTTCTAACAGAACATTGAACCCAAAATGAGGTGGTAGTTCATGGTACCATGTATGAATACGCTGCTCGAGATCTGTGGCTTTCTGGTAAGTAGGCAGATGGTGCGTCAGTAGCTCCACCTGGACAACATTCGCAATCTTTGCAAGATTCACTTGGGCAATGAGGCAAGACGTGATCGTCGGGCCGCTGCCACATTCGGGTAGCTCATCCATGTCTACTGCGAGATCATGATCATCAACGTTGGCTGGAAGACGAACGTTAACACCAACAAGCGACACGGCTTGTCGGCCAAGAGTTAACTGGACGCCGGAGACAAACACAAATAGCGTCCACCAGACACGCCGGCGGATCTCCATAGTGAAAGGCGAGGTGCTAGGCATGCCGAATTCCCGGTGCAGACCGATAGCTAACCCCATGCTCCAGCCAATTCCGATCAAAATAAAAGCTGCATTTGGCTTGTTGCGCTTTTGCATGTAGTTTGCCATGAGGACGATACCCTGCACATAACTCAGAGACCCCTTTTCGAGAACATCCATCGACAAATGCTTGCGTGCTTCCTTGTAGAAGGGAACATCAATCTTGGTGCCCTGGGAGTCTCCCACGAAAGCCCCGATAGCGAGCACGATGTTGTACAATATAGGCCACGAGCCGTCGCGGGGTTTGGCTAGGGCGCCTGCTGCTTGTTAGATAGTCTGTTCCTTTATCGCTTTCGGTGATAGGGACGGAATGTACCCGAGACCCGAGCACGGAATGTCCCTTCATGAAGAATTGGGTACGCAGGATGGTAAAAAGCGAAGTAATCATCTAGATAGCGGAGTACGTCCTGCCGTCTCTGCTGCATTGTGTTGGGAGAGGCTCCTTCATCGTCGTCATCGAGAGAGGAGGGTGGACTGAAGCTGGTTAAGGGTAGATACAGTGGGAGCGACTGCAGAAACTTGAGGGCAGCTATGCCCGACTGTGGCCCAGTATAGCCAGCTTTGTGCGGATCGACCGTCAGGAACCCCATGCCGTCGGTGGAGTTGTCAAAGTCCTGTGACTCGTCGAACTCGTAGTCTTCAGCGTTACTGGGCTCAACAAAGCCAGAAGGAGGCTGCTCTATTGCATGTGTAACGTCGTTGAGATGTTTCTGTCTGTGTTGGCCCTGTTGGGTAGCAGGGATGGAGTCGTTTTGGAGGCGAACTGTCTGCAGTGCATCCTGGAGGTCAACCGAAGGGAGATATACGGACCATGCCCGTTCCATGTCAGCTCTCAGGCGCTCGGATTCATGGAGGCGTCTACGATGGTTAGCATTGTTATCGAAAACCGAGGGAAAGTAGTCCTCGAACTCTACCGTTGTAATGTAGAAAGACGCTGGGACGGTGAGGAGTAGCGGCAAGGTTTAGCATCCCGGCGACAGTTGCTGCAGTTGTCATTGCCGGAGCAGCGAATCTTGCGTCGCTTGCACTCATCACAGGCAAATGTTTTGCGGAGGATGCGTCGTGACTGAGATAGATCCATGGTTAATGCAGCAGTTCAAAGTGAAGGGGCAGAAGTCGACCGCGGGGGCGGAGATATTCCCGGGCGCGCCAAAACCCGCTCCCCGCAAAGTCTGGGAAGCCCATCGCCATCCCTCATTCGGTCCATCTGTCACCCACGAGCCAGGTGGGGTAGTGAGTGGGTAACGCTCTGTAATTTGGTCATTTGAAACTTCCGACGCTCTTCAGTGAGCTCAGAAAGTGGCGAAACCCCAGGTGGCCCGATGCCGAGCCGAGACCAACTCATCGGCACGCGGAGATAGACCCGATGCGTGACGGCGGTAGATCCGCCTGCCCCTAAGGACCCCAACGAAGACACCAATCTCTCATATTATGATGCGACACCATTTGAACAATAAGTTAGCTGTCTGAAGCTGTTGGCGGAGAAATGAAAGCACAACGTCTATCACACGAAGTCCTGCCATAACCATCATGTCCCTCAAAGGCAAAGTCGCGATCGTCACCGGGGGAGCCCGAGGAATCGGCTCAGGGATCGTCCGCAGCCTGAGCAAACTGGGTGCAAAGGTAAGTGCCATATCACGAATCCCTCCAGGAGAACGATAAGACTAATCATGATGATCCAGGTCGCATTCAACTATGTGTCTCCCTCCTCTCGCGAAGCCGCAGATGCCTTGATCGATTCGCTCCGACAAGACAACGGCGAAGCCATTGCAGTTCAAGCCGACATCACCGACCCAGATGCCCCGAAGATCATTATCCAAGCCGCACTCGAAGCATTCCAAACCGACGAGATCCACATTCTAGTCAACAACGCCGGCGCGGGTGACAATCGACCTCTGGAAGAAGTGACGCTAGACAGCTACACGCGGCTCATGGACACCAACGTGCGAGCAGTGGTCTTCATGACACAAGCTGTGCTCCCAGTCATCGCTCGTGGAGGGCGGATCATCAATTTGTCGTCGATCTCTGCTCGGGCCGGATATTCAACCCAGTCAGTATATGCTGCCAGTAAGGCCGCGGTGGAGGGCCTCACGCGCGTGTGGGCCACCGAACTGGGTCATAAATATGGGGTAACAGTGAATGCTGTTAATCCGGGCCCTGTCGATACGGAGATGTATCGGGCGGCTGGCGAGGTCCATCTGGCGCGGATGGCGGAGGAGAATAAGAAGGTCCCAGCTGGGCAGCGATGTGGAACGATAGAGGACATTGGAGATATTGTGTCCTTCTTGGCCGAAGAGAGGGCGCGGTGGGTGACGGGTGATGTGATATGCGCCAACGGGGGGATTTTGTATACATAGTCAGGAAGCTATAGTGAAATTTTGTGTCAATCTGATGTCACCAAGTCTATTAGCCTTTTGGCTGGCCAACAAGATCGGGATCATTGATATACTTGACATCCCTTTTTGAGGGCTTTAAGAATCTCGCACTACGACCATATATCCCTCAACAGGACTGGTTGGGCAGAAGATAACGGAAGGGGAGAAATAACCCATACCGTCACCTAGTGGTTAGGGGCAACACCTCTTATCATTTCACTTAGGATACTCTGAGGGCGTCTCCTGGGACTTTCAATATTGTTACTTGTCTCTTCAGCTACTGGTACCCGGTACCAAGTATATTCCTCTCTAGTATTCATTCCCTGTTCAATGAAATCTGATAGATACTTTATCGGGCCGAGTTCTGATGTTAAGGCGTTATCAGAGCCTATTCTGAGCTGGCATCCATTCGCGACTCTCCAAGACTCAGCATCTTGCCAGATCAACGGGGCCTTCTTCCAGGACCAAACGGACCTTTTCATTCCACCAATTACGGGGGTAAGGCTGCTAGATGATTGCGGTCAACAGTCAACTGCCTCAATGACATGCTAGATCTGGCCGAGCCAAGGAGTGGGTACCGGAGATGTTCTCGGGGGTAGCACCGTTTTTTGCAGCGGCGATAGCTCCGTGAGTCGGGCCACGATGATCCAGGTCCGTCCCGAGTGCTTTCCGATAGGGTCCCATTTGACCTGCTCAATTCCGCTAAATTGCCAAGGGCATAACTTCTCCGATAGAACATCCTCCACGATTCTACCGTACACTGGTATACCATGGCCTACCTCTGGCTAGCTTAATAGCTCGTAGCCCGGGATAATGCTTCTGTGTGCGTCATATTGCTGGTATAGGCAGGTTGAATAGTGCCTAAATGTATCAGGATATGGATTCTTTGCTTGGAAGGTTCAAGGCATCACCCGTAGTAAATAATTTAGAAGCAGTAATCTGCAGTGCGTGCCCGGCGAGTCGACGATGCCTTGCCGAGACTTGACCATTGCCAGTCGAGGAGAGCCCATTGCAGAAATCGACAGAATTCCGAGCTGACTGACAGTGCGGGGGCTTGGCTCTGGGGTTCTGGGGTAATATAAAATGCTGCTTGTTTTTGTACATGGTGTGCTCCTGCTTCTTCTCTGCTATGTTTCCCTGGGTCCCTTCCCTGTTGTTTCAGAGACTTTATATCTACCCATCAATATCAAAAAGACTTACCACCATGTCACCCATTGAACAAGCGCCGGGCATTCCCAATGCGTGTCACAGGAAGGATGCCCCCCAGCCTACCTGTGACCAGATCGAGATAGCATCGAACCCCCGAATTCTCACTGAGGCCGAGTGCTATTCCGAGCTGGGGTTTTCGTTCCCCACTGCCAAAAAGTGGACCATCATCCTCGTTATCTTCCTCGTGCAGACCTCCATGAACTTTAACACCAGCTTATATTCCAATGCTATCTCGGGAATCTCGGAGGAGTTTAGTGTGAGCAAGCAGGCGGCTCGCTGTGGTGCTATGATCTTTCTTGTTTTATACGCATTCGGCTGTGAGCTCTGGGCCCCTTGGAGCGAGGAAGTCGGTCGGAAACCTATCCTTCAACTCAGCCTGTTTCTGGTCAACATATGGCAGATACCTGTCGGGATTGCACCCAACTTTGCCACCATCATGGTTGGTCGAGCGCTGGGGGGACTTTGCACGGCTGGAGGCTCCGTAACATTAGGGATGATAGCCGATCTCTGGGAGGCTGACGACCAGCAGTATGCAGTTGCCTGTGTAGTGTTTTCGTCTGTGGGTGGTTCGGTTCTTGGACCGGTCGTTGGAGGCTTCGTGGAAGAGTACCTCCCGTGGCGATGGAACATCTGGATCCAACTGATCTTTGGTGGCTTCGTCCAGCTAGCCCATTTGGTTCTTGTGCCGGAGACAAGAACCTCTGTCATGATCGACCGGATTGCTAAGCGGCGAAGAGCCAAAGGGGAGAATGTGTACGGTCCCAGTGAATTGACCCCCCTTCTAGACCGGTTCTCGGGGGAAGAAATCCTCCACACGTGGCTCCGCCCCTTTCGCATGTTACTCACCGAACCCATTGTGCTGTGCCTGTCCCTCCTCAGCGGTTTCACCGACGCGCTGATTTTCATTTTTATTCAATCCTTCGGTTTGGTATACGCACAATGGAACTTTGGTACGGTCGCAGTTGGTCTGTCCTTTCTCCCTATCATGGTAGGCTATGTTATTACTTGGATCATGGTCATTCCAGTGATCAAACGCAACATCCACGAGCGCCGTACGAAACCCAATGACGAGCGAGCTCAGTATGAGTCTCGACTCTGGTGGCTTCTCTATACAGCCCCGTGCCTTCCCATTGGAATGATCGGTTTTGCGTGGACTAGTCTTCCTCAGGTTCATTGGATTGGCAGCATGTTCTTCTCAGCCTTGGTCGGTATCGCTAACTTCAGTATCTTCATGGCCACAATTGATTACATGATTTGTGCTTATGGGCCTTATTCGGCATCGGCCACCGGTGGCAATGGATGGGCTCGGGACTTTTTGGCTGGTATCTTGACAGTCCCTGCGACGCCGTTTTATGAAAGTATGTTCTCCATCCTCGAGTTGCGCCTATATTGCCCCCTTGTGGTACTAAGTAGCTCTGCCAGATATCGGTGGCAAGTATCATCTAGAATACGCATCAACCATTCTCTGTAAGTCTTATAGGTAGTGGCAGATTGGATACAACCTGATGATTTGATTATAGTCTGCATCTCCACCCTCCTCGTTGCAACCGTCTACATCATATATTTCTACGGCCCCGAACTTCGCAAGCGATCGCCGTTTGCCCAGAAACTCCTAGATGCGAGGGCAGATATGCACCACATGATGGAAGGAAATATGCAATGATAGACTAGGACAATGGTGGAGTCGAACTACATCAAGGAACGAAGGGCATCTGGCAGTCGTTCATTAAGAGACCAACCTAGGTCAGAGACGGGAAAGAGGAGTTTTCATCAAAGAGTCTCCAGGACTTGAGACTTTGTGGTAAATTCCTGGTTTCGTCATTAACAGAGTCCTGTGGGCACTGCTATGGGACATGCGTTGTAGTGGGTACTTCGTGGCTCATTGTAATTCCCTCAACAGATTCCTTCTCATGCGCTAGTCTGGCGGGTCAAACTATAGTAGCAGGTGGAAAAAGCCTTAGTCAAATGGATTCGTTATACGGAAAACACGGTCTTGAGTGATGTCAAGAACCACGTAGGCCAAAAGGAATATATCCCTAGGTAGAAATATGGCATGTCTCAACAAGTGATAACATAAAGAACGAGCCTATCTATGTAAGTATTTCCTACATATCCATCCTCAGGGATTTGTAGATGTCAATTCATCACATATTGTTCCAGTGTTGTTTCCATCTTCTTGTCTCGAACTCTACTCTATCCGATGCGGGAACACCATCTCATATTCAGCTACAATGCCGTCCGTCTCACCAAAGTCTTGCACAAGTTGTCTTTATGATTATGTTTTTTAATGACTATCCTATCCTCAGATCGCTGCTGTAGCTCGTGCGTTTGGAGCCGTGAAGGTGGTTGTTATTGATGTTGTGGAAGAGAGGTTGGAATGTGCGCGCCGGTATGGTGCAACGAACACGTATCAGATGCAAACTGCCCAGGGAGATAGTAGCAATGCGGACCAGCTACATTATGCCACAGAGCTACCAGAGGGTGCTGATGTTGTCCTCGATGCCACTGGGGCAGAAGCTTGTCTGGCATGCGGCATTGAGGTTCTGTCAGCTGGGGAACGTTTGTGCAAGTTGGACTCGGAAAGCCCAGCGTGACATTCCCAGTTGGCATGGTCTGTGATAAAGAAATTGTCTTCAAAGGTAGTTTTCGTTATGGACCAGGTGATTATGAGCTGGCCATTGGCCTGCTGAGCTCTGGTCAGGTTCATGTTAATGGACTGGTAACTCATGAATATGTCTTTGAGAAGGCGGAGGAGGCCTTTCAGAATGCTGCCGGCAGGAAGGGTATCAAGACTGTTATCTACGGACCATTGATCGGAAGAGCAGAGCAGTCCCACGGGTCCAGCGCCAAAGACAACGACATTGCGATTTTGCATATCGCCGCCGAGCCGGCAGGCATGCACCGCGACACTCAGGGGTTCGACTAGCGCCCCATTTCGAAAGGAGACATGCGCGGGGAGCTTGTAGCAGCACTGTGCGGGGACTCGATAATAAGTACAAAGGGTTCCGTCGACGGGAGGGGTGGCGGCAAATTGCATCGATGTACACAGGTTGTAGCGTCCGCTGCGGCAATGCGCGCAGATGTTGCAGGAAATGCCAGGCTCCAAGGCTACGCGGTCGTTGAATTTCAGTACGTCCACCTTGCTCCCTATGGCCACAATCACCCCGGAGGATTCGTGGCCGAGGATGAGGGGTTGTTTGACTTCATTGCGACCGAGCTTTCCATGTTGCCAGTAGTGAATCTGGTAAGAGGTAGAGTATTAGAGGTCAATGCTCACGATGATATCGGAAAGACGATCACATGCATCTGAGCCACAGAGGCCGGTTGCTACGACGCGGACGAGTACATCCCGATCAGACTGAATAGTTGGGATATCGCGCTCGGTGTAGCTGAATGTGCCTCCTGGGTGGAGGACCAAGGCGCGGTTTATTGAGGGTTGCTCAATTGACGTGGTGATACGCTGGTTGCTGCTGGCGATCTCTCTACTACTAAGCTGCACTTTCTTTCAATTGCGTCGGGCAAGTCTTATGGAAATTGCCTCGTAGATTGAGGTCTGCATCGTGATTGGTCCGGCGATACCTCCGAGCCAATCATTCGGCCCCGCGCTCCTGGAATTACCACCGACGGCCGATCCACCCCGCCTTATCCATCGTCCGCCATCTTTCCCCGCGGTTTCGGTGCTAACACCGTTCACAATCCAAGAACCTCAAGGTTGCGTCTCCAATGAAATCAATGTGATCCATAGATGCACATAAATATCGCGCTTTTTTCTCGTCAGGTACAAATTTTTGCTCAACCACAAATCCAACAGCTAACACGATGGAAGTTCTTCAACAAAAGCCCTCGAACTACGCTATCCATACCAGCCCAGCTCATGACCTGCGGCTGGTAGAATGCGAGATTCCCAAGCTCGCACCCAATGAATGCCTCGTTCACGTACGCGCCACCGGTATCTGCGGCTCTGACGTACACTTTTGGAAACATGGACACATCGGACCGATGATTGTGACCGGCGACAACGGTCTCGGCCATGAGAGTGCCGGAGTGGTCCTAGACGTCGGCGAGGCTGTCACGCGCTTCAAGCCCGGTAACTATCCCTTCTTTGCGAAATAATTATGGTTCCTGTGCTGATATAGCGAGCCTTGTGTTGCAGGTGATCGAGTTGCTATGGAATGCGGTGTCCCTTGTTCCAAAGCCACCTGTGACTTCTGTCGGACCGGCCTCTACCATGCCTGCCCAGACGTGGTGTTTTTCTCGACTCCCCCACATCACGGTACACTACGCAGATACCATGCCCACCCCGAGGCATGGCTGCATAAAATTCCCGACAATGTGACCTACGAGGAGGGCTCACTGCTGGAACCACTGACAGTCGCATTGGCGGGAATTGACCGCTCGGGGTTGCGACTGGCTGATCCATTGGTTATCTGCGGTGCTGGCCCGATAGGCCTAGTTACCTTGCTGGCTGCCAATGCAGCCGGTGCCGAACCCATCGTTATAACCGATCTCGACGAAAATCGGCTCGCCAAGGCAAAGGAGCTGGTACCCCGTGTGAGACCGGTAAAGGTAGAGAAGGGAGAGAGTTCGTCGGATCTCGGACAGCGGATTATAAAGGAGCTTGGGCAGGAAGCCAAGCTCGTGATGGAGTGTACGGGTGTAGAGAGCAGCGTGCATGCTGGGATTTATGTGAGGCTTTTCCCTTTTCCGATATCATAAAAAGCTGCGTGTTATCATTCCTAACCGACCGCTAATTGATACTGGTTTTATTAGGCAACGCGCTTCGGAGGTACTGTGTTTGTGATCGGCGTCGGGAAAGATTTCCAGAACATTCCCTTTATGCATATGTCGGCAAAGGAAATCAACCTGAAATTCCAATATCGGTACCATGACATTTACCCGAAGTCAATTAGTCTAGTGGCTGCAGGCATGATTGACCTCAAACCGCTCGTGTCGCACCGGTACAAGTTGGAGGACGGGCTACAGGCGTTTGCTACTGCTAGTAACCCTAGTTCTGGGGCCATTAAGGTGCAGATTCTGGATGATTAGATGATGTTGCAATAAAGAGCAATAGGAAGTAAATTACAATTTGGATAAGGAGTTCCGGTTTTTGGATGGATGGAGTTGGAGTCATTCAACTCGTGGACTGCACTGGTGATCTAGTCCTCCTGGCTGGCAATGTACGGGCAGCATTCTATCCAGATGCACTTTAACCGCCATCCAGCAGCAAATGGTTTTCACTAAGTCTTCGCGTTTATTTAGCTGAGCCATCATCGAATCATGGTTGGGAAGTCAGGTGATCGTGTCCCATCTTCACCCTGGGATTTCCTTCCCTTTCTAACGTAGCAAGTCATTGGACGAGATTCAGTCTACCATCTTAACAATATTCCTAGTATCGTTCATCATGTCTTCGCGATGTTTCTCTGCTGGCAACTCACAGTCTCCAGGCATACAACCTTCCTGGAGCCATTGACGAGTGCCATTTAGAACCTTCGCACCACGCCAGCTTTGAGCCACTCAAACACAGCTCAGACACATCTCAACACTACACATGAATGTCAAATTATCGTACAAATACAGCATACTTCGATCAATTGATCACCTCCGGGGTATCTTCCATTTCATTCTAGATCTGTTAAAATCGACTAATTAGTCAGCGTGCTGACACGGCGGAGAAAGCGCAGGATCACCGAGCTTCGGCGGAGGAAGATAGCCTCGCTCGCATCATCCTCGATGTGAATCTTGGCCGATCGACCACAATCCGCACCAAGCCCGCTACCTTGCAATGGCCACGGGGTCTTCCGGTGTCAATACTCATGTGGGCCTAGATCCCCCTGCTAAGCGGAGAAAGATTCGCAAAGGGACAAGCAGTTGCTGGGAATGCAAGCGCAGGAAGATCCGCTGCACCTTCGCTGCGAAATCAAATGCAACTTGTATCGGATGTCAGCGACGAGGGTCCAAATGCCTGAGTCAAGAGTTCCCCGACGAGGTCGGCGAGGAGGGGCAGCCCATTGGCGACCGCATTGGCCGTGTCGAAGCGCTAGTCAATCAGCTTGTTAAGAATACCCCCGTTCGCAGCATTGCGTCGAGATGCGGGAGCGATGGGCCGACAGAAACGACCACACCGACGCCGACCAGGACGTTCTCACCCAGTTGTACTTCTGCTTCCACTTCTATCACCAATGCTGCAGGAAACTCACAGATACCGGCTTCACTAGAACCCTCGGCAGTATGAAACACCCGTGCAGGCGTTTTCTCCATGTGCTGACCAGTGTTTCAGGACGGGCTCGACTGGGACTACTCGGATGCGCCTCCAATGTCACATCAATCGACTAGTGTCCCTGCTAGATATGTAAAGGTCTCTCAGGCATTGCACGCCAGCTTACCGTCGCGTGAGGATATGGAAGTCCTCTGGAAGGTGCATGCTCACGCGTCCATTTCGTTTAGCAGAGTCATGGTGGTTCCTTATCCGGACTTGGAACGTGACGGTCTAAACTGTTCCAGCATGAACAACGTACCTGGTCCTGAATCCCATCCGGTACAGCTAGCCACATATATGTTCATTGTTGCAACAGTCTTGCAATACATGGATCTAGAGAAATCGAAAGAGCAAGTTAAGGCCTTGTCAGAGCCGCCACGGGCGATGATGAAGCGGCTTGCCGAGACGGCTATCCGCCTGGTGACAACCCATGAGGAACTATTAGACACGGTCGAAGGCTTGACATGCGTTATGCTAGAAGGTATCTACCAGGCTAACTGTGGAAACCTGCGCCCGGCCTGGATTGCCTTCCGGCGGGCGATGGCCCTCGCCCAGCTGATGGGGATTCACCGTCCGGGAGGGTCCCCTTCGCTCCGGCTACTCGATCCCAACTATAAATTCAATGCGCGTTTCTTATGGTACCGCATTGTTTACACTGACCGATTTCTCTGCCTCATGCTGGGTCTGCCTCAAGGTTCACTGGATCGCAGCATGGCGGCCGACGCGGCCCTCGCCCACGACACTCCCCTCGGCCGACTCGAACGTACACATTGTGCCATTGCCTCACGCATTCTGGAACGTAACGATGCCGACCCGGCTTCCTACAACATGTCTACCGTCCGAGAGATTGATCTGGAGCTCCAAGATATAGCCCAGACAATGCCTAGCGGGTGGTGGCTGGCGCCAAACCTGGCCAGCACGAACGGCGACCCCACCATCGAATTCTGGGAAATGCTTCGGCTTGTCACTCAGGTTTACCACTTCAACCTCTTGAACCAACTCCATCTCCCCTTTATGCTTCAATTTGCCTCCACCACCCAAATGCACAACTATTGCGCATCAACATGCGTGAACGCATCCCGCGAAATCCTCTCCCGCTTCATTGCCTTCCGCGCCTTCAACCGCGTGGCCTACTGCTGTCGCGCGGTGGACTTCTTCGCGTTAATAGCCTCGCTCCTCCTACTTATCGCCCACCTGCGGCAGCACGCACGACCCCCGGAGGAGCTGAACCTGCTCGCTCACCAGCGACAGGGCGACCGCGCGATGGTGGAGCAGGCCGTTGCGAGCATGGACCAGCTCGGCCGCGTGAGCCAAGATCCGTTGAGCGCCAGGAGTGCCGACCTACTTCGTCGATTGTTAGGCATTGAAGCAGAGGCAGCCAGAGGACGCATCTATAGGACACAAAGTGTACGTATCGATGATGAGCCGGCAGCAGGAATCGGCCCGACTGGGAGCGTGCTCCGTATTCGCATTCCGTACTTTGGGACGGTGAAAATTGCGCCCGAGGGTGGCGTCTCGAAAGAGAGTCCCGTTGTGGGAGAAACGGGAGATCCGGCTGGTGGTCATGGGCAAAATATGGCTGATCACCCGGATTCCCTGGCCGCCGCGCAGCCGATAAGTACAACGCAAGAAAGCCATATCTCGACGGGCGGAGTCAGTCTCCCGGCGGAGTACTTGTACCCGGGTTTAACAGCGGGAGCAGAAGATTGGGCCTTTCAGGGTGTGGACATGGCGTTTTTTGAAAACTTGATGCGGGGAACGATGCAATACACGGCATTGAGGGAGTAGACGGATCGGATTTATTCTGCGTGTAGCCGCCCTGGTTTAGAAATACTTCGATCTCCCGTAAGTCTACATTTCATAGCCCATATCTGCTCTGAATCCATTCTTACAAATAATATGATCTTTGCGTATGTCTTCATGAAACAGACAACTTAGGAGTACTCAACTCTATAGCACCTCTACAATGAAAGAAATACGAAAACAACAATATCACAACACTCAACTTCCCGATGACCTACCTATACCTTGCAACCCCCTTCTTACGAGTCTACATAACGAAGCTACAACCCGAAGCCAACCCAGACCCCATCACGAATTCGCTTGATCATCCCGTCGAAGATATAACCCTCCCCTCATCCCTCTTTGCAGCACGGGGACTTATCCTTATAATAATAATCCCCCAGGAGTTCTAGAAAGATCCTTTGCAGTCCTTCGTACGGAAAGAAGGGATACAATATACCCAGAACCATCTCCAAATACCAGTGTTACCCTTCTCTCAGCACCTCCATCTAGCCTTATGATTTCCAACCTTGATAGTGTTATTTTGTATTGCGGTGCGTAATCTGGCGGCTTTTCACGTAGGGGAGGCATCTTCGACGTGGGTGAGTGGCATGGAGGGGGGAAGTTCTCGAAATGTTGTATTGTTTTGTTAATTGTGGTCTTTTGTGGGATATGGCTTGGCTTTGATTTGGCGTCTCATATCGTGGCTGGGTAGAGTCTTTGGGTCAGTATCATGGTTCAGTAATCTGGAATTCATAGTGAGGGTCTTTCAAGAACCATGGTAAGCCTGTGACTAATAATCTCTGAGGGAATGGAAGTGGACTCAGCTGGCTGGTATGACAGAAGGGGACGCATCACTCGGAGATATGGTCACTAGCTGCTGGATTCAAATTTCAACGTAGCTCTGAGATAGTTATATGACTCAGGGCTATAGAGTCATCTTGATGATGGATTCAACGTGGCTCTGAGATCTCAAACTAACTCGGGGTTATAGAGTCATCTTGATGATGGATTCGAGACGTAGGTTGATGAGAGAAGGCCAAGAATACCAATCCGGGACAATGGTGTTATACTCCTGTCAATCCAGGCTGTCATTTAACGTTTGCATTTGCATTTCCTAAACGAGAAGCAAGCAAATCAGTCTAACAGGAACAAACACACTGCAGTGAAACTACTTCATGACAAAATTCACTTTCTCTTTCAGTCTCTCTTCGCTGATTATTCGGAAGTGCCAAACTCGATGATGTTGATCTCATCATGTCCTTTTGTTGTTGTTGTGTATCTTATGTTTATGCTTATACTAGGCATAGCATTGCCTGTTCAAGGGCCACAAATATCACCATTTCTCAATATCCCTGTGTGTGTAGGGTATTAAGCACAATGAGATTGAACCGCGGTGTGCATGTATACCAGACGTAACAAGCAAGTTTGATACAGGCATTGGAGGCAGGGATGGCACGGTAGAGGATAGTAATTCGCAATTGGATAATTGGATACATCTTATTGTGAGATTTTAGTTCTCTTGTAGATAGCTCTGCGGCCTTTCCTTCTTCCATACGTATGGTTTTCCGCGGTGCTTAATGCAGAAAAGGTATAGGGCTTGAGATACGTGCGTCCTATTCTTGCGAGAGTAATGAAGCTACTACATAGCAATTGACACACTTGGCGGCCTTTAAGACTAGTCAAGTATGACTTAGCTTGACCTGATATGGGACCGAGAATCTAGCAGGGCTCTCCTAGATCTGGCTTTTCAACCTTTTCTGTTCCTCGGCCCACGCCAATGCACTCTTTTTGGCACTCTCCTCACCTACCTCGTCGAAAATATCGACGCCTAGCCGGGCTGGGAAGTTCATTCGTTGGTGTCGTTCCAGGGACTGAATGGCGTCGAAAGCATCTTCAGGGAGGATGAAATCTGATGCAATTCACGGGACACAATTAACCAGGAATTCTCCATTGAAAAGGGTACTGCATACCGAGAAAGTTACTTTGGATTCTCTCCGGGGTGACTGATTTGGGGAGGACGACCGTGCCCCGTTGTACGGCCCAGCTGATCAGGACTTGCGCAGGGGTTTTGTTCAATGCTTTGGCTGTTTCGATCACAAGGGGATCATCCACCGCTCTTTATAGTCTGTCAGTCTGCTGTGCAACTCAGGTAGAGATGGGTCACGTACCGAGGAATATTGTATATGTTGTTACCCAGAGGAGAGTACCCGGCGACAACAATTCCCTAATTATGCATCAATCAGCGTGAACTCTCCCAACAGACCTCTCATTCATACCTTATCCTTTGACCACTCTAGAAGATCCCGCTGTTGAAGGTACGGATGTGCCTCGATTTGGTTGACGGCCGGAGGAATCTTGGCTCTTTGATATGTCAGTTAGCTCTCCTCGACACGTACCATGCACACTCACGTCTTCAGCAACTCCTCGATTTTACCGCGAGTGAAATTGCTAACTCCGATGGAGCGAATCTTTCCCTTTGCCACAAGTTCCTCCATGGCCGCCCATGTATCCTTGATCGGCACGTCCACCACGTCGATCAAGCCCGTTTGCTCATTGACTGGCTGGTTGGTCGTGGTTGAGTAACTGAATGCTACTGGCCAGTGGATCTGACAGAACGGGTGGTTAGCATCACCCCAATATGCTGGACTAGCGCAATCCGTCCAACTTACAAGATAGAGGTCAAGATAGTCCGTTTGGAGATCTGCAAGGGTTTTGTCCACAGCAGCTTCGACATTTTCGGGGTGATGGTGGGTATTCCACAATTTGCTCGTCAGCTATGTACCCCGAGGTTAGCTCGCGTCGACTTTTTCAAGCAGACTATAAACGCAGAATACGTCAATACTCACAAAGATATCCTCACGAGGAACCCCAGATTCTCTAATTCCATCGCCTACCTCCCGTTCGTTGCCGTAAATTGCGGCGGCATCGATATGACGATAGCCGCCCTTCAAAGCTGCAGCGACTGCTTCACGGACTTCATTTTTCTTCGATTGCTATTGGATTCCGTGTCATTTAGTGGTTCTATGTGTGTACTGGTGAGATTGACGTTCGCGTACCCATGTTCCTAGCCCGATGGCGGGCATGTTGTAGCCTGTGTTAAGCTTGAAGCTGCGTCCCAACGCCATGGCTATGGACTAGATGCCGAGGCTTTTTTGGAAGAATAAGATAGAAATAGTCAAAGAATGGCCAGACCAACCACGAAGGAGTGGGCTGATCGAGTCGAGATTGAACGTGGTACGCAACCTGGGAGAGTATGGTAGATCGGTCAGTAAAATAAGTTCAGGAATAATAACCTTCGGTGAATAGCTATCTCCACTTAGTACAGGATGTTAGTCGCAGAAGCCACAGATATATATATACTATGGCGTCATCATGGTCGGAAATGGCGCATGGTACTTTTCCGGATGCTTTTCCGGCGCGCTTTTCCGGCGCGCTTTTCCGGACCTCCACAGTATGGTGGATGTAATGTTAGATGTCGTTGAGTGGACACGGACCATCGAAAGCAAATTTACAGTATCAAAGGAACCCAAGTAGCCTGTGTAGGCTGGATCCATAGAGAATGGCATTTGTGGTGTGTAGAAGACCCTTCGATGGAGCTTTTCACTGGCGGTGCCCAATATGAACCAAGACAACCTAGCATAGATCATAGTGGGGGACTGACTGTAAGCCATATTAATTAGCACCATGTGGCTAAAAGAAAGTAAGAGAATAGCCACTAGCAAAGGAGAGAAAACAGGAACTTACCAAAGAGACTGAAGGCCAGGAGTGCTCTGGAGACTATCAGCCTCAGTATTAGCTGTGTGGTTTCCATTCAATCATTCTTAATACAGTCATCAAGTATGTAAAGGATCATGTTCCGTCAAAATCATTCGCTTCTTGCCAGTGTTCCTCCACAAATTGTTCCACCACACAGGCAACCCAACCAGCAGTCGTTATAGAAGGCAAAGAAAGACGATTAGCAGATGGGCAATACCGGCTCTAAGGAGAGACACCAGGTTAGTATAATGCCAATAACTCTAAGGACATAAGTACTCATTCTGAAAGTATGTTAAAGCTATGGGGCTAGCGATTTCATCTGAACTGAGGGGTTTAGCAAAAGACCTTCTCTGCGCGTTCACTCCTGATTCATAACTGCCCTCCTTGCGTATTGGGGATGAGAGATAATTAGTCGGTTCGGGTCACACTGTAAATGAGACACCCGATGCAGATTTAATGAGATGAAGTGATGATCGGAGTGGACAAACCCGACCTGTAGAACTGCAGGAGATCTGTTATAATTGAATCTCTATATCTCTATCACGCCTGTGTAGTTCTCATGGACAGGGAGTCATAAGACCGTGATCATCGCGCATCAAAGACAGGGTTGCAGAAGGTGCAATATGTTGCTAAAGGCCGGCTGTTCGATACCAACACATGATAAGGCATTAGAGTCAACGTATAAGGTATGATCTAGATTTGTCGCCAAAATGAGCAACCAGCATGAAATAGGTCAGGTGACCCCGGTCACGGTGAAGCAGTCATGCTTTTCCACGGAGCCAAGAGTTGACTTCCCCATTGGCCAATAGCACCGCGTATACAGCAGTTAATAGCAGCCATCTTATAAATATGTTGAAGTACTTTCACCGTCTAATCTACCACATCCTTAAAAAAAACTAAAATAACACTATACATAGAATCCTAACTATATTCTTTTATTTATTATACCTTTTTTTATTAATCTTAAATCTTTTAAGACTAAGATTATCAACTTATTCCATTAGAATTATTTAGCTAGTAATATTACTTTAATTATTCAGGAGAAATACTATATTAAAATTTATAAATATATAATCTAGAATTAATTAAATAATTAGAGTATTAGTAAATATAATTATATAACTACTACTAATTCTTTCTTATATAATTATTTTAAAGAATTATTCTATTAATAATATCTTTTAAATCTTAAATTTCTATATATTTTACATAAAGAAGACTATACAGTCTTTAAATAAATATTTTAATAGATATATATAGAATAAGATCTTATTTAATAAATAAATAATCCCAGTATATAATAAATCCAGAAGGATAAAGTTATAAAATATCTATTTAAAATATATAATAAAAAAATAATCTAAGATTATAAACGGAAATTTTTATTTATTTATATATATAGTGAATATCTTCTTATTCTATAGTCTATTTTTATATACTATTTCTAGCTTTAAAAACTCTAACTAACTAAGCTTTATTATCTATAGGTAATAATTATTTAATATTTATTATATAATTATACCTCTTACTATATAATAATAGAAGAATAATATATAGTAATAACATGGCTTATATATAGTTCTAAAACTAGATTATATCTAGTTAGTAGATAATTATATAAAATTAAAATTATATAATATTTAAATTTATACAGCAATTAATGCATATTTATAATTTATAATTTAAATCTATATTAGTATTAATACTTGTATATTAATCAGTATTATATAATAATATCTTAATATTATATAATAATAGAAGATTATATATAACAAAATCTAATTAAATTATAGATTAGAAATATCTATACTTACTAAAATTTATTATTATTTTTAAAAAATATACGAGCTAGAAATCCAGTTAAAGTAATACTATATTTTTAAAACTAGTACTATAAATTAAAAAATTAAGTCTTAGTAATTATAATTAAATAGATTATTTTTTTTTAATATCACGTATGTATGTACGGACTATTAAATTAAAGATCTTAATATTAATCTATATCTAAAACTATTTTAAAGCTCTATTAGAAAAGAATAATTTTTCTAAAGATCTTATTCTAAATTAGATTACTTTATATATTATTTATATATTTATTTTCTAATTTTAGATTCCATCCTACATACAAAGCTAAAATTATTATAATATATAAAAATAACTAAAGAGACTATATATTATCTCTAATTAATTATATATAAATTATAATCATCTAGAGAATATAATTAATTATAAATTTATTATATATAAAGAAATATTTCAGCAGCTATAAAACTCTATATAAAATTAAAATATAAATAAATATTTTTTAATTAAAATTTTCTAATAATGCCAGACCATATTTCAGAATATAAATTTTAATTTTAAAAAATTATTACTAATCTCTTTTAAGAAAGTAGAGAAAATTTTTTTTTATATAATTTATTTTAAGTTACGCCAGCAAGTAATAATATATATAAAATTATATATTAAATTATTTTTAGATTTATCTAAGACACTAACTGGAGTTTTTAATTAGATTAAATAATAAAAATCAGAATAATTATCTAAGAATCTTATATATTTTTTATTTATTATTCTTCTTATTTTACTATTATTTTAAAGACTTAAAGTCATGTATTTCTAATTTTATATAAAAATAATTATTTTTTTTTATTATCTAACTTATAATAGCTCTTTTATAATTAAAATTTTATTTAGTTAATAGCTTGTGTTATTCCAATTATCTTATATAATATTTAATTTATTATATTATTAATTCTTTACTATAACTATCTAGTTAGATTAAAAGATTTAGATAAATATATATAAAGATTAATCTTATTATATCTCCTGAATTATAGCTTTTATAATCTATTTTATTTATTTTATTTATTTTATTTATTTTATTTATTTTATTTATTTTATTTATTTTATTTATTTTATTTATTTTATTTATTTTATTTATTT